TTGTGGTTAGGAACGTCACAGGGAAATTTAATGAAAAGTATGGGATAAACTAATGATTAATGGGAAGATGTGTAAACATAGCATGCAAGTAAGTCAGGATAAATGCTCATTATTGCATAACCTCCCAATGATCAAATCGGAATAGTCTAATCACCATGTAAGCAAATCAGGATGTATACTAACAGGTCACCTGGAAGGGTCCCAAAAGCTTGAAAATGGTAGTTTTATTTTACTGAATGTCTTCCTCTGTCACAAGCGAGCCAGCAGTAAATCACATCATGCAAGTTAGAGTTAACTCTTTATTACTAAAAGTATGATCTGCACAGACTAGGCAGGGTGTCAGGCCTAGTGAGCACAGCAGCTCATCCCTGGTAGGCCTGGCCCCCATTCTTCTTCTTTGGCGATCACCCGCAGCCGAGTAAGATTGTCTTCCATAAACACGGTCTTAGCAATGAGTCCATAAGTGACTGTGGAGCCCAATTCTGGACCCACACGTCCTTCCACAGTGGGGACATAGGTTTCCGGGTGGGAGTTGATCACGGTGAGGGTTTGCCAAATGTGCCTTCCTCTTAACACATTTCTCCCTTTTGTCCTGAGTTCGAGCGTCTTCAAAGTCCATGACACATTTGGTAAAGGCTGTTCTCCAACTGGAATGCTTGCAGGCCAGTGTTTCCCAGTTGTCAGTGTTTATACTACTTTTTTTTAGATTTGCACTTCAATCGGGACAAAGCTGCACTCACAGAGCTCAGGTGATGCTGGATTTCGGTATCAGTGTCAGCCCTTGTGGAAAGATAACTGCCCAGGTAGGAGAAGTGATCGACACTTTCCAACATTACACAATTGAGTTGGATTTGTGGCACTGCAGAGCGGTTGTTTTGTGCTTGTTGGTACTGCACTTTGGTTTTTTGAATGTTAAGCAATAGGCCAAGCTTTTTGTAAGCTTCTGCGGAGATGTTTAGGAGGATTTGGAGGTCATTCTTTGAGTGTGCACACACCCTTAATAAACTACAGTTCCTAGGATTTTCCATGACTAAGAGTGCTTTAAATGTGTATTAAGGATGTGACCTCTGTTCATCCAAGCTTGGAAAGCTTTGTTGGAAGCAGAGGGTTCTTTAAAGTGTCCAGCTGGGGTTTGCCCTCTGTTGCCTGCTACTGGCAAGCAGATGAAGGCCCACTTAGACACAATGTTATCTGCATTTTTAGCCCTTGCATGGCTTAAAAAGAAACACATAGCTTGCAATGGGCCGGTAGAAACGTCTCCTTTTTGCGTGGCTGGACTGACACCTATTGTACATAGAGAAGCAACATTTCTTGCCCTGCCCATCATTGGCATGTGGCCCTTGGAAGGTTGCCCATGAAGGATTGCGGCCCTTGGGTTGCCAGAGACCCCCGGAGTGCCCAGAGCTTGCTCAGGAGAGCTCCCCAGGCGCCTCTGGCCCCTTTTGGATTCCTTGCCTTGACTCCAGCTGGTACTCCTCAAAGCAGATGTGGCGTGGAGGGTGCGTCATTGTATATACCACAGAAGAACGTTCCTTCCTGTTGCTCACATGCGATAAGCAATTGCACCCTGCCTGCCTCCATTCTGCAACCCACAGCAGGAAGCCAGACTGAAACGAACCCAGTGCCAACAGCCCCCCTGTCCTGCAGCCTAATTGATCCAGAAGAGTCCAGAAATTGTGCAAAAACAAGGCATCTAATTAGCTGCACAAATAAGTCCCATGTCTAAAAATAACAAAATGATCTTGGGCCACTTTAAATAGTAAATGCTATTAAAAAACAACAACAACTAGTTAAAAGACTATTAATAGTTTAATTCTATACTCACTTAGCTGGGCAAAAACCTTGTTAAATTCCAGGGGATTTATTTCAGGGTAGACATGGTAAAAGTTAATGTGTTAAATGCTATTTGTTCCTCTTTTAAGGAGCTGCTAGGGTCTTTAGTCATTTCTGTTTGCTTCAGCAGGCTAAATCTTTCCTCCTCACCACCACCCATGTCAGACCCTTTCCTCAGAGCATGGCAACGGGGCGAGAGGTGACATGGCCCCTGTAATTTTGGGAGCACTTTTTAAGAGCGCTGGTGGCGGCAGCAAAAACTGTGCAGATCAGGGAGAGGGAGAGGCAGAGGCAGCAACAGAAGTAGAGGTACATGCGGTGTGGCCATTGAAAGACTTCTCCTCTGTCAGTTGGTCTAATCCCCTATTAAGAATGGTTTGGAACTTCAAGCTTAGGGTCTGAATGCGGCCCTCCAGGCCTCTCCATTTGGCCCTCAGGACTTTCTACAAGCCACACCCCTCACAGACTCTGCTCTGTACTCAAGTATTTTTGCATCGCTGGAATGTGTCCATCTGATGATGGCTGTTCCTTGTCTGGAGAGAGGATAGAGAGGGATGTGTGAGTGTGTTTAGGAATCAACGTCCTGGACAAAGGCAAAATTCAAATTCATTGTTCCGCTCACTTTTGCTTCTGATCCCACCCACTATTCACATGTGGCCCTCGGAAGTTTGCCTGTAAGGGAATGTGGCCCTTGGACTGAAAATCGTTCCCCATCCCTGGCATAAAAAGTTTTATTTTGGGTGGGGGGTGATCTGTGGCTTTCCAGATGATTGCTGGATAATTTATTGGCCATGCTGGCTGGGGCTGATGGGAGCTTGAGTCAAAAAACACCTGGAGGGCCACAGGTGAGCAAACCCTGTTCCAATGAGCAGAAGAGATCTTCCTCTTTGGTGGTTGGAAGGAAACTTGGCGGGAGTAAAATCTCCCAAGTCTAATAATGGTGCAGTCCTCCCAGCCTTCCAAATCGGAAGACAGTCCCTGCATCAGAGCCCCTGGGGACAGAGAGGGATGAATGAAGGGACTTTGATTTTTGAGCAGGCTTTATCAGTACCCCCAATAGCTGAGTCCATCGTCCTCTACTCACCCGCTGTGCAAAGGTCCAGCCAGACAGCCCAAAGCGAGGTTAAATGTATGCCATGTTTAAATAGCTGATAAAAAGCCTTTGTGGTTGCTTGACCCTGTCTGGGCTGGATGCCTGACAGAGAGACAGGCCAAGACATGTGGGGGCCTGAGAGGGGGGAAGCCAAAATACCCCGCCCCAGACTGTGCATCCTGAATGCACTGCTTTTTAATGGGGCACAGACCTTCAATTCTAATTCCTGTTAGGGTTAGTCCTAGGGATACCCTATGGTAGGGTCTGTCTGAGCCCTAGTCTACCCTGTGGTAGAGCCTGCAGACAGTCCCAGGTTCAATCCCTGGTACCAGGGAACCAGTGGTGGTGCAATGGCTAGAGCATTGGATCAGGACCTGAGAGACCAGAATTCAAATCTCTACTCAGCCATGAAGCTTACTGGGTAACTTCCGTGCCGGATTCCCAAATACACAGAGTGGGCCCCATGCCTTTTAGGGCCCCCACAACAACGAATCAAAATAACAGTGTGTAATAAAATTCATTTATTAAAATTGTTGGTTGGTAAAATAAAAAAACGTATTAGGAGATAATTTGCGAGCCCTGAGATTTTGACTGCCTAGGGGCCTCTGCAGGGTTTAATCTGGCCCTAGGTAACTTCTGGTTAGTTACTGCCTCTCAACCTAAGCTTCCTCACAGCATTGTTGTGAGGATTAAATGAGGACGGGGAGAACCATGTAAAGTCCTTGGAGAAAAAGGTGAGATAGAAACGCAGTAAATAAATAAATCTCCAGGTATACCTGACTGAACTAGGGAGGCGAATGGTTGGACTTTGTATTGAAAGCATCTTCCAAGGGGCTACAATTCTCTCTTCCTGGCAGGGGGACTCAAGGCAAAGGAGGACCTCTGCTGTCCTGCTCTTAAAAAAAACTTGTGTAGAAGATGGAATTATCTTCTTAAAGACTACCTCCCCATATGCAGGCCTGTTGGATCCACTAAGGCTGTCACAGGAAGCTTCTTCCATGATTGCCCCCGTGGTTTGGAACACCCCTTCCACCTTCTTCTCTTTAAGCCATTAGGAGTATGAGGTCCCTGTGCTGAAACTAATTTTTGAGCAGAGAGGATTTTGCTGCAAGTTCCCCTGTGGAAGTGTGCCTATTCCCACCCTCTGGTACGTAAGAGTGAGGTGGACTTTTCAAGCCTGCAAGGCTGGTGTGTTGCAGGGAAGCCAGGAGGGAAAAGGAAAATGTGGATACCTGTGACTCACTGTGCCCAGAGGCAGGGCTGGCCACGCCTGCTCCAACCATCCCCACTGCAAGAACTGCAGAGATCCCAGGGAAGGGCTGTAACTCTGTGGTAGAACATCTGTTTTGTATGCAGAAGGTCCCAGGTTCAATTCCAGGTAAGGCTGGGAGCGTCCCCTCTTTGAAATCATGGAGCGCTGTCAGCAAAGAGGGGGAACTGGGCCCAGCCTGCAGGCCATTTGGGCAGGTGGATGCGGCTGCTCATCTGTCAATTACCTGATACCATCATGCCATTAGGTAAAGTGTTTTGCTTTGCCCCGGGCAATCTGAAGTCAAGCCACACAGGCAAAGGTTCAGGGGTTTGGCAAGTCCCACTTTTGGCAGGGAGCTGCATTTTTACCCGTCCCACAGCTGATGTCATATACGACAGCAGGTGCAGGACAGAGTGGCTTGGGGGAAACAGTCCTGCGGGCCAAATTAAGATGCCTAAAATGCATTTGGAAGCTCCCCATCACTGGGCGTAGACCATGCTGACTGAAATGGATCAACCGTCTGATTCAGTACAGAGCAGCTTCCTATGGAGGACTAGAGATCAGAAAATGGCTGCCAAGGAGTGATACTCTTCAGTTCCACTGCATAACGGGCAGTGCTGTTCCCAGGATTAGCACTGCCTGGCAAGGCATCCTGAGTAACCTGCTAGGAGCACTGGCGGAGGAACGGGAGTGCAGAGTGAGTGGTCCGCCCCCAGCACCACTATTCCAGTAGGGTTCCATTCCCCGATACAAGCTACGCACCCCCCCACACTGGGCGCCAAGGCCCCACAGGCGGTCCACCATGCCACCAGAATGCGCGCCATGCCTCTGAAGGTGGCATGCCCTCACGGGCGGCATGCCACACCACCAGGATGCATGCCACACCCCCAGGGTGCCGACTACGCCCCCGCCTGCTCGCCGCCCCCAGTAGCAGAGCATGCAGCTTCGCCACTGGCTAGGAGAGAGGGGAGATAAAATTGAGGAGTCTCACAAGCTGCTTCATTTTCTCTGTTCAAAGTCCGTTTATCTACATTAAAGTAAAGGTCACTGGAAGTCTTTCCAGTGGAAAATAACAAAAATACACAGTAGTTAGACTTCAGTAACATACCAGTACTATTACGTCAGTTGGCCTTCAGCTCAAGAAACAGCTAATTATTTCACCCAATTTATCGCAAAGACTCTCTTAGCAGCTTTGGCAAAGAACACTTTCCTGTAAGTTCTGAGACAGCTGTTCCCCAACTTTTTCTCCATGGACCACTTGAAAATTGCTAAGGGTCTTGAGGGTCAGTTAATGACTTTTCTGTTGTAATGGGATGTGTTAGATGCTGTATGATTTTTCATTTTATTTTCATTGCTTCCAATAGTTCATTTATTGTGTTTTAATACAATTTAAATTGTATTTTTACAGATGCCACAGATGATGATAATAATAATAATAATAATAATAATAATAATAATAATATAATGGTGTGTGCCAATCTGAACCTCTTCTATGGTTTGTAGGAGTTGGTCCCTATGATTGAAATACAAAAAATTAATCAACTTGAGTAGTGCAACTCAAATTGGGTCTAATGTTGCTTCTGGGGCCCCCACGGGATCAGGGGCTCTGTATTGTAAACAAAATCTGCCCTTCTTTCCTTATGGGGTATCCAAGAGCCCATATAGAGTCCTTAAGTGGGTTTTCTATCGGTAGGAGAAGATAACAGAGGCCAACCAGAGAATATTGAGAAGCAAAGCCGCTAGTAAACCTGATCTTTATTAAAGCTGTTGCAACAGCGTGCTCCCCTCACACGCAGGAGGACCCAGAACAAAGGTGTGCCTGCCCTTATATAGACATTTTAAATTCCCTGCCCTGGAGCTCAAGACCACCCCTCCATACATCATACATACATCACAGAAGGGGTGTAACCCAAGACCATTCTCCACAAACATCATACCTACATCACAGAAAAGGTGGTCTACAACAGAAATTTGAACGTTGTTGTTTTTCCTGTCTGCCAGGTTATCTGATAATGCCTTATCTGATTGCCTTTCCTGGTAGTCTGGCCATTCCTTTGAAATGGTGATTACCAAATTCCTGAGACAATGGGAAGGTTCCCTCACCCCCTCCCTCCTTGCAGAAAAAACATTTGGTCAGTTCGGGAGTCAAAATGGTTTCAGAACGGTCTTCCTGTGCTGCTCCAGACATGGTTTGGTTTATATATTTATGTACGTGTTTGCTTGGTACTGTAATAGAATTTTAAGGTCATATATATATAATAAATGTTCATAAATGTACCAATGTCTGGAGCAGCACAGGAAGACCTCATGAAACCATTTTGATTCCCTGAAACCATTTTGACTCCCAAAATCAGTCTCTGTATGCTCAGCCAGGATTTCCTGGCCTCTTTTCTTGGAAAATGCCCCCCTCCCTCCTTTCAGTCTCTTTCAGTCCCCCCCCTTACTTCTGTGCCTTAACAGGTAAATTTACTCCCAAGTAAGCTTCCTTTCATGAGGAGACTGCAAAAGGGGGGGGGGGGTGTTTGCTAGGAACTCCATTTGGTGTGGAAGGTACTCTCACCCCTTTTCACTTTCTGTGTGTGCTCATTTTAACCCTTAAGTTACTCCTATCCTATATACTAGGCTTACCCTTACGATGCAAGTTCAGGAAATTGGTCACTCCTTATTTTATAACTCTTCTCTAGAAACTTTGCCCAATCTGGGTATTTTGTGCGTTTTAAGCACCCCTTAGACTCTTTCGTTTAAGAAAGCAAATTCCCTCTTAAAATTGTTTATCTTAAGGTTTGTTAAAGGCTTTCTATATGAAGTTGGTACTTTTATCTTCCCCTTCCTTCTTTTTCCCCTTAGTACACATGTATGCTTGCATGATAGGGCATTTCCCAGTTGTGTGTCTGTACTTACGTGTGTGTCTCTCTGATAGTACAAATCTTGCTGTGAACCCTGTATTTTAGACGGTTAGACTAGGTGACCCCAGGGTCCCTTCCAACTGCCAATTTATGGCTACATGGAAGGCAATGTATCTGCAAGCATAGGAACTAATTCTTAAGTTCTGGTGTATGGTGATGGGTTGAAATTCAGCCCAGCTTTGCTTTTTGGGATGGAAAGATTGGTTTTTAGAGTTTAGAATAGATAGTTTTAAAGGGTGAGAGGTGGAAGCCGTGATGTTTTTGAAGCAGAACTGGTGATATCAAGCATTTGAGTGATTATCTAACAGTTTTAACATTTATTACATATCTAAGACCTTAAAATTCTTATAACATCTAAAACTTACCGTAAGCTTCATTAGTTTCATAGTAGATCTACCCGTTTCTCCTCCCAGACTTTGTGTTCTTTTAGGCTTCAAGAAAAGCTATAGCTATGGGCGGGGGGGGGGGGTGGTGGCTTCTAGCCAGTTGTTTTTTTTGCCCTGGGTGAAGCCTCCAGAGGTGCCCCACTTAAGGCTCCTAGCCTGTATATGTGTGTACGCAAATGTGCATGGAGGGTGTGTGTGAACTTCTTGTGGGCATAAGGTTAAGGGTAAACACATACTCATAACAGACGCTCATTACAACTCCAGTAGAAAGATCCTAAACTTCTTGGGAGTGTTCTATCTTTTGTGATGGCTTTGGCTAAACAAATAAATAGTATTTGTTTGCCTTGGGAGGGTGCCTAGGCCCTAGGGAGACACGTGGGTAGTGGACACACATGTGGATTAAAATGTACACCTTGAGACGATGACCCGCCCTTAGAAACAGATAAAACAAATTCCAGTCAGAGGAATCAGGTGGGTCCTGGAAACATACCTCATACATCTAAGGACAGGGTAAATGGGTGTGTCTTCAGCAGTCACTGAAAGCTGTAAAGCACCTCTGTGGGGAGGGAACTCCTCAGCTTTACGGATAGTGAAGAAAGAAGCTCTCAGTCCATGGATGCTCCAGGGACCAGCTTAGGAGCTCCTGTTCTAAGAACATAAGGCAAGCCCTTCTGGATCAGACCAGAGGACCCATTTAGTCCAGCATCCCCCCACTGGCCAACTAGATGTCCATGGGAAGCCCTACAAGCAAGGACATGAGGGCAGCATGGCTCTCCTCACTTGTGTTCCCCAGCAACTGGGACCCAGAGGCATATCCTGCCCCAATGCAGAATGTAATATATACCCATTGTGACTGGTAGCCTTTGGTAGTATTAAAAAAGGTAAAGGGACCCCTGAGTGTTAGGTCCGGTCATGGATGACTCTGGGGTTGCGGCTCTCATCTCGCTTTACTGGCCGAGGGAGCCGGCGTACAGCTTCCGGGTCATGTGGCCAGCATGACAAAGCCGCTTCTGGCGAACCAGAGCAGCACACGGAAACGCCGTTTACCTTCCTGCTGGAATGGTACCCATTTATCTACTTGCACTTATCCTCCATGAATTTGTCTTAATTCCCCTTAGAGTCATCTAGGTTGATGGTTGCTGTCCCTACATCTTTTAACTTTGTGCTGCTATGCACTTCCTTCTCTGTCCTGTGTGAAATGTGGTAAAATATAATCAAAACCTATGCTAAAATATGCAGGAAATAAAATCCGCAGCACAAAAATATAAATACTGGTGTCATACATCATGAAAAGTAAAGCTTGTTTGATAAAGAATGAATGCTTTTGAAAGTTGTGTTTTTTCAAAGCAGCCTTTGGTGGTGCTTCCTGAAACCTGTGCAGTACCTAACAGAGTCTCCTTTGAATTTCTGCCCCACAGTCTAGGCTTAAGACTGGCCAAATGTGGGCTTCCTGTCTTCATGTTTTCCCAGCTGACCATAGTAGTAGTAGTAGTAATAATAATAATTTATTATTTATACCCCGCCCATCTCTGGGCGGCTTCCAACAAAATATTAAAATACTGAAATAATGTTTTCAGTTGATTTGTCCCAGTCTGTTGTGTACACTGGTACAGACTACACTCGTCGAAGGCTACATGTGAATAACATAGGAGTGTACAGCTCAGCTATTTGTGTACACAGGCTGTACACTCATTGACTGTCGTGCGTGGGCCTAATGCAGGGAGATTGCCCCAGTATGGATTGTGGATTCTGTACCCCCCCTTTGCTCCACCTTCTGGATCAACACATCTACTTTGTCTTTTTAATTTATTGCATTTATATCCCCACAACAGCCCTGTGAAGTAGGTTAGGCTGAGAGGTAGTGACTGGTGAGCTTCATGGCTGAGTGAGGGGATTTGAATCCTGGTCTCTCAGTTCCTAACCTGACACTCACAACTACACCACACTGGCTCTTTGTGGGATTACTTTTGAAACTGAGCTACACAGCCACTTTCGTATTTGGTGTGTGTCTGTCCAGATCTCTGGCACAATGAGAGTTGTCTTGGACCCCTGGGAGTAATCTCCGTAGTTATAGCTGTTAAAATTGTTGCATCCGTTGGCCTGGGCTTAATTGCAAAGTACGGTAAATAGGCAGCGGGTGGGGCTGTGTGTGTGTTGGCGAGTGTGTGGGGAGGGATGCGGGGACAGAGGCGACTAGCTCGGAATGTCGCAAAACATTCACAAAGACCCGCTGGGCGCAGCTGCGAGAGCGAGCGAGAAGGGGGCGGGAAGAGGCTAGTGGGCGGGGCAAGGTTCCTGCTTCCCCTGCTATTGGGCATTTCCTAGGGCGAGGGGCGGGGCTTGAGACGCGGGAACGTTGAATTCTGGGAATCGCTTTGCAACAGGGCAAGTCTGGGCAGATGCGCAGCTTCCTGGTGGGAGAGGCTCTTGTTGGCGCTTCCTCGGATGCAGGTAATGCTGTTGCAGATGCAAGGTGGGCGAAGGGAGGGAGGCAGGGCGGTGTGGTGCTTCCGAGACGCAGATTGCAGTCCTGCCCTCACTGAGAAAAACCTGGGCCGCTCCTTCTCTCTCAGCCTCCGCGGGACGAAATAGCGAGAACTTTGTGCACGTTGTTCTGAGCTCCTTGGAGGAATGGTGGGAATTTTATTCTTCTTTTTTTTAAAGGTCGCAAGTAGGAGCTCCGTCAAAATGTTGCCTGCCACCCTCTACCAGGAAGCATTCCGTGTTCACTGAGCATGCTCAGTCTCCTGGGATAATTTGGTCCTCCTACCCGGGATCTCGCCCTCAGCTGTTTCGTGTGTGCAAAACTCTGGGTTTCCTTCAGCCTGCCGAGACCTCCGTCTTGTTTCTTGCATCCCACCTTTTCTCCAAGGAGCTCCATGTGGTGTACGGGGCTCTCCGTCTCCCCAGTTTATCTTTACACCTCCGTGGGATAGGTCTAGGCTAAGAGGCTCAAGTGAGCTCCATGGCTGAGTGGGGAATAGGTACACCACAGGGGCTTCACTGAATGTGCATGGCAACATAAGAGTCAGTGCTTGGGGAACTGAGTTTGCTGTTAGAGAATCCTTTCCCTTCAAAGGTGGGAGGCTGTAAAAAATATAAAACCAATTAAAGGTTTCAAAAAAAAAAAAAGATTTGGCAGTCGATAGCAACTGACAGAGGTAGTGGGGAGGTCTGCAGCATTTTGGGGCTGGTGGTGGCTGCTGTGGAATTTACATGTCCCTGATCCAGCAGGCACTCAGGTTTTTTAAGTAGCTGAATAGGGAGATGCGAGTTTTAAATTGCCACTTAGCCATGAAGCTTGGTGGGGGACCATGGGCTAGTCATATTCTTGACTTAACCTACCTGGCTGGGTTCATATGAGGATAAAACGGGGAGGGCTCAGCTCCTGGGAAGTTTGCTTTTCCACATTCATTGTCAGAGGCAGAATTGTTTACCATGAAGGTTGCATCCAACCAACCACTGAGATGGGTGTGGAAGCAGATGGTATCAACGTGTTGAAACAATAATATAGGCTGGCCTTATCCCTTGCCTATTTCAGCCCTGAAGCTATTGAGGCAGGTGTATACTTTTCAACCATTCCTCTGCAGCCACAGAGGCTGGTATAACTTAGTATGCATGCCTCTCCTCTCTTCTTAGATTGCAGAAAGCCTTGCATCATCTGAACACAGAAGACAAACTGCTCATGAAACAGAAGGCCAAAAGCCCAGCGCAGAAGCAGTCTGAGTCTTGTGGTGTCTGGCTGGATACATCAGCCCTTAAAAAACGCAAAATACAGGTAATGGAGGAACAAGCCTGGAAATATGTTTTTATAACTCCACATTGTAAGGTGCCAGATCTGCATATGATGGAGAATTTTTTTGTCATTCCTGGGTGCCAGCTGGTAATTTTAAGACTACTTGGTGAGTTTGTGGTTGGTGTGTACTTGGGAAATCACTTAATATCGGGAAATGTGCAGTGAGATAGGTAGACACCATGCAGGCTGTCTGGCCTGAGGGCCTGCCCAAACCTGGAACAAACACTGTCCTGGAGGAGGGCCATGACTGGTTGGAAGGACCCCTAAATAGACTGCAACACTTTGTCACAGGGCCCACATGCAAGTCCTGTTCCCATGGAATTAACATTTATGGGAATAAATCAGTTCTGAACAATCAGGAAGAGAACATAAGAACCCTGCAGGATCAGGCCAAATAATAATAATAATAATAATAATAATAATAATAATAATAATAATAATAATAATAAACATATTAAAAACTTCCCTGAACAGGGCTGCCTTCAGATGTCTTCTGAATGTCAGGTAGATGTTTATCGCTTTGACATCTGATGGGAGGGCATTCCACAGGGCGGGCGCCACTACCGAGAAGGCCCTCTGCCTGGTTCCCTGTAACTTGGCCTCTCGCAGTGAGGGAACCGCCAGAAGGCCCTCGGAGCTGGACCTCAGTGTCCGGGCAGAACGATGGGGGAGGAGACGCTCCTTCAGATATACTGGACCGAGGTCGTTTAGGGCTTTAAAGGTCAGCACCAACACTTTGAATTGTGCTCGGAAACGTACTGGGAGCCAATGTAGGTCTTTCAAGACCGGTGTTATATGGTCTCTGCGGCCGCTCCCAGTCACCAGTCTAGCTGCCACATTCTGGATTAGTTGTAGTTTCCGGGTCACCTTCAAAGGTAGCCCCACGTAGAGCACATTGCAGTAGTCCAAGCGGGAGATAACCAGAGCATGTACCACTCTGGCGAGACAGTCTGCAGGCAGATAGGGTCTCAGCCTACGTACCAGATGGAGCTGGTAAACAGCTGCCCTGGATACAGATTTGACCTGTGCCTCCATGGACAGCTGTGAGTCCAAAATGATTCCCAGGCTGCGCACCTGGTCCTTCAGGGGCACAGTTACCCCATTCAGGACCAGGGAATCCTCCACACCTGCTCGCCTCCTGTCCCCCAAAAACAGTACTTCTGTCTTGTCAGGATTCAACCTCAATCTGTTAGCCGCCATCCATCCTCCAACCGCTTCCAGACACTCACACAGGACCTTCACCACCTTCACTGGTTCTGATTTAAAAGAGAGGTAGAGCTGGGTATCATCCGCATACTGATGAACACCCAGCCCAAACCTCCTGATGATCTCTCCCAGTGGCTGCATGTAAATGTTGAAAAGCATGGGGGAGAGGACAGAACCCTGAGGCACCCCACAAGTGAGAGCCCAGGGGTCTGAACACTCATCCCCCACCACCACTTTCTGAACACGGCCCAGGAGGAAGGAGCGGAACCACTGTATGACAGTGCCTCCACCTCCCAGCCCCTGAAGACGGTCCAGAAGGATGTTATGGTCGATGGTATCAAACGCCGCTGAGAGATCCAGCAGAACTAGGAAACAGCTCTCACCTTTGTCCCTAGCCCGCCGGAGATCATCAACCAGTGCGACCAAGGCAGTTTCAGTCCCATGATGAGGCCTGAATCCCGACTGGAAGGGATCCAAATGGTCCGCTTCTTCCAGGTGTGCCTGGAGTTGTTCAGCAACCGCTCGCTCAATCACCTTGCCCAAGAATGGAAGATTTGAGACTGGGCGATAGTTGGCCATCGTGGCCGCATCTAAAGATGGTTTTTTAAGAAGCGGTTTAATAACCGCCTCTTTCAGCGGGTCTGGGAAGGCTCCCTCACGGAGGGAAGCATTCACCACCCCACGAAGCCCATCGCCAAGTCCTTCCCGGCTAGCTTTTATAAGCCAGGATGGGCAAGGATCCAGGAGACAGGTGGTTGGTTTCACTCGTCCAAGCAGCCTGTCCACATCCTCGGAGGTAACAGAGTGGAATTGATCCCACTCAACTTGACTAGACAGAACTCTAGCACTCTCCCGCCCCGGCCCTGTTCCCACGGTGGAGTCTACTTCTTCCCGAATCTGAGCGATTTTATTTGCAAAAAACTTTGCAAAATCATTGCAGGAGAACATGTGGCCCATACTGGGCCCCGATGTTGCAGGTGGTTCCGCTAAATTGTGAACCACCTGAAAAAGTCTCCTGCTGCTGTTTTCTGCAGATGCAATAGAGGCGGCGAAGAAATTCTTCTTTGCCGTCGCTATCGCCACTTGGTAGGCTCGACGTTGAGCTCTAACCTGTGTCCGGTCAGATTCGGAATGAGTTATCCGCCACCGGCACTCTAGCCGTCTCAACGATTGTTTCATTGCCCTCAGATCCATGGAAAACCACGGCGCTGTCCGGGCTCCATGCAATCGGAGAGGGCGCTTCGGAGCCAAACAGTCAATAGCCCTGGTTAACTCCACATTCCAGCGGGCCACCAGGGAATCAGCTGAAAGGCCATCCACATGGGATAAAGCATCCCCTACCACCCTCTGGAAACCATTCGGATCCATTAAGTGGCAGGGACGGACCATCCGAATTGGTCCTACCTCCCTGCAGAGGGGATGGGTTGCAGAAAAGTCCAGTTGCACCAGGAAGTGATCTGACCATGGCACTTCTTTCGTTTTGCTTTTACTTAGTGTCAGATCACCAACATCCATAGAGGTAAACACCAGGTCCAAGGCATGTCCGTGGCTATGGGTTGGGCCAGACTTATTCAGGGACAGCCCCATGGAGGCCATGCTTTCCACAAAGTCCCGAGCGGCCCCTTGTAAGGTCGTGTCGGCATGGATGTTAAAATCCCCTAGGACGACCAAGCTAGGTGTCTCCAGGAGAACATCCGCCACGACCTGAAGCAGCTCGGGCAGGGAATCCTTGGTGCAGCGGGGAGGTCGGTACACCAAAAGGAATCCTGTACTGCCCCTATTGCCCAACTTCCAGAACATGCACTTGGAAAACTGGGTCTTCCCAATAGGACGCCTGGTGCAAACTAATAACTTCCTAAAAATCACTGCAACCCCCCCTCCCCGCCCACATGACCTGGGTTGCTGTGCATAAGAGAAACCTGGTGGAGAAGCAGCATCAAGGACAGGCCCATCTGCTTCATCCAACCAAGTCTCTGTTACACATGCCAGGTCAAGTCCTCCATACATGATCAAGTCATGGATGGCAGTGGTCTTATGAATCATTGACCTGGCATTGCACAGCAGCACCTTCAGGTCATGTGGGTATCCCTTGCTGATTCTAGTATCCATCCGGTCAGGACCAGACCCGGAGGCAGGGATAGTCCTCAGACAACGACTAAACCTGCCTCCTCTGTAATGACATGGTCTGGTCTTAGCGTAACTCCTCCTCCTACCCGTGATCACTGAGATCGGTTGTCCCAGTGCATTCCCCCTGTGGAACATGCCCCAGCCATTTTGTTGAATTTGAAAAAATTTGAATTTGAATTTGAAAAAATTCAAAAGAAATTAAAAAAAAAAACATTTTAAAAGCACTTTGCACCCCTCCAGCAGTAACAGCAACTGTCCTAGTGAGGCCCGTCAGGCCCTGCCCTGGGCCAGGTGGTAAGTGGCAGGAAGGAGCAGGGCCCCCACACAGGAGAGTCCTCCTGGGCAGCAGAGCACAGCAGTCCAGGTGAGGCTTCAGGCCCCGCCCTGGGCCAGGTAGGTGGTAAGGGGCAAGAGTAGGGCCCTCAGACACTCACACAGAAGAGTCCTCCTGGGCAGCGGAGCACAGCAGTCCTTATGAGGCTTCAGGCCCCGCCCTGGGCCAGATAGTGAATGGCAGGAAGGAGCAGGGCCCTCAGACACTCACACAGGAGAGTCCTCCTGGGCAGCAGTCCTTATGAGGCTTCAGGCCCCGCCCTGGGCCAGATGGTGAGTGGCAGGAAGGAGCAGGGCCCTCACTCACTCACACAGGAGAGTCCTCCTGGGCAGCAGTCCTTATGAGGCTTCAGGCCCCGCCCTGGGCCAGATGGTGAGTGGCAGGAAGGAGCAGGGCCCTCAGACACTCACACAGGAGAGTCCTCCTGGGCAGCAGAGCGCAGCAGTCCTTATCTGCCAAAGGCTCATCTAGCCCAGCACTTTGTTTTCATGGTTGCTTGTAGGCAGAACTTGAGTGTGACAGCAACACTCCCCACCTGTGACTCCCAACAACTGATATTCAAAGGGATGAATTCCTGCATGGTGATGAATTCTGACACAGAATTTCTGCTTTCCCACCCAGAGCTTCATGGCTAAGCCAGTATTAAGAACACTGAACCAACTTTCGCATTGTCCTCTTCCAACAAAAGCACCTCTTCAATGCACCAAGCAAACCACCATTTCCACCTTCTTCAGCACACAACAAGCAGGTATGTTGGTGTTTTTCTGTGTTCTAGCTGAGGGCAAAAGCCAGAACATGTCATGGGAGGAAGCCGGGCAACTGGAACTTGGATTCTGGATGTGATGCTCAAAATACTCAAGGTCAGGGCTAGGGAACTTGTGCCGCCACTACAAAGGTTTCTGGATTACAATTCCCAACATCCCTGACCCTTGCCTCCTGGCTTCGGCTGGTGGGAACTGGGAATCCAGCAACATCTGCAGGGATGTGGGTTTCCTAGTCTGGCTCCAGCCTCTTCCAGATCAGTCTGCAGCCCTATTCCTGTCTAGAGTAAGGTGCAGAGCTGCACTCTGAGCACTGCCTCTGACATCATGTTTCTTTTCTCCCTGCAAATAACCCCGTTGCATGTGGTGGTGTGAGCAGAAAAGCTCAAAGCAGGAGCTCCCACTCCTGAGTAGCAAGTACATGCTATCAGGACAAATATTGAAGTGCCCCAATTGGGCGGAGCCCCTACTTGTGAGCAGGGCTTTGTGCATGGGGATTTCTGAATCCACAACCACATGCAATGATTATTTTGTGGGTGGATGACAGGGCTTAAAGCATTCATTGTTCTACACCAGGACGCCTTTTTCAGTCTGAGTGCCTCATTGGACTTTTCACGGGCCACATGCCAGGGGTGGGAGGAGCCAGAGGTAAAGTGGGCTGAGCAATGAATGTCAACGATATCTTTGTGCCGTAGGCTAGTTTCTGCATACATCCCTCTCAGTTCTTCATCCAGGTAAGCAAGAGGTATTAAGAGTTCAAGGGTGCATTTTGGCCAAACAGGAACCTGGGTGCAAAGCAGGGCCATGGAGACGCAAGTCCCGGGCAGAGGTCTGAGGATCTGATAAAGCCATTTCTGACTATAGGGAGGAGAAGGGGTTGCGGTCTAGCCCCTCCTCCCCAAGCGCGGGGGCTAACCTTGGCCCCCGCGAGAGTTGGGGGAATCCCTGGGCGTGCTCGCGACCCCCGCCCGCCTATCGGTGGGCCGGGGGGAGGCGTGGCTTAGGGTATTTTAAGCCGGGCACGCCCAGGGTCCGCCCTCTTCACTCCCGATCAGCTGAGAGGTTTTCCCATCCCACCCACCCTTAGACGTTTAGGTAGCCGTAGGTAGTCATGACCTTGCTATGGACTTCGGTTGGTCGCCGCAAGGGGCCTGGTAGGAATTTTTCCAAGTTGGCGATCTTCCGCCAGTTGGTTTTTTTCGCCTACCTCGTAGCAAACCGTCACAACTTTCCTTGTATTGGCGGTTAGGCATTGGCTGGGGTTCAATTGTTATGCAAACGGATGGGGGGGAAGGAACGCCATCACCTTCCCCCAGGAAATGGGGTAGTCCGGTACAGGACTCCGAGGGGCGTTGTCTTGTCCGAAACCTACCTAGGTAAGGGCCCCCGGCACGCCCCAAGCGGTGACACCCGTGGGATCCTAGTTGGCGTACTCCAACGGGGGCCTCCCACGGTTAGTGTTAACCCTTCCCGGACATCATGCCGGGTAGCGGATAGGAGCCAATGCCTAGGGCCAATACCTTCAATTCTCTAATCAATAAAGTTGTGGCCATTTCATGCCCATTAAACTTAAACATCGTGTCCTGTGTCTTTCTTTCTGGGGGAGGGGTTTTGACACGCAAGAGTGTTTTCCCACCCTTACTGGACCTGCTTGCACCCTATACATGAGCAACGTGTCAGTGGGGCTTCTGCTGCACTTGGCTCCATAGGCTGAAAACAAATGGAAGCACCTCTGTTTGCAGTATTGGATTTGTCAAGAAGCAGAGCACTGGGTGTTCAGCTGAATGGGTGCCTTCTGTTGTTATAGCAAATTAGGTTAGCTCCCCTATTTAAATTGTAACCCCATTCCAAACAAATCTCTAAAATTTTGGTGTGATTTTTACTCATGTGAGTGAAAATGTACAGGCTGGAACTACAGTCAAATACACCAAGGCTGGACTTTGTGAGGAGAGAAACACTTTGACCTGATCCAGCTGCGTGTCTGGCCTCTGGTCAGGTACACAGCAATAGTGCCAAGCATCTTGGGACAGGGAGCACAGTGGCCAAATCCAATCTCATTCATTTTTAGTGCTCTGTACCTGTATGCTGAGTGGATAGATATGGGCACACATGTCCTAGCTGGAGTGACACATATAAGTGGTATGCAAGCCATGCTACTTTTGACTAAATATTTAACTCTTTAGATGTGCTGTCCTACGAAGGGAAAAGTACTCTTTTCCAACATGGTTGTACCATTCCTTAAATGTAGACCACCTCTCAATTACTATACTGAGACTGCTATCGTGTTTTATTTTGTGGCGTTTGGAGACTTCTCTGTGTTCTGTTCAGAAACTTTTATTGCTGTGCAACCACAAAACTCTCTTTCATGGAGTGGAAAGCTTAAACTTGCCTTTGTCACCCTGCTGCCATGTTGGCTGGGGCTGATGGGACTTGCAATACAAAAGCATCTGCAGGGCACCAGCATGGCGAAGGCTGGCCAAAATGCTTAAGGTGCAGTAGTTTGCACATTATCCCAACAGCAATGAAAAGGAAAGTATAGGGTTTAATAACTTGCACAACATTTGCAATGCTTTCTGTAAGAGGATTTATTATTTCACACTTCCATTGCACCTTGCATTGTGTAAACACTATACAAAACCACACAATGTCCTTTAAAAAGCTTTGCTTCTCCATTGTCTGCAAACAAGGGTGCAGAGAGGAGGTAGCAACTGCCCACTCTACATCAAATTTAGAATCACATGAGGAACCGGAGGCAGATGGGAAAAGGTAATTGAGAAGAGCAGCAAAAAGTGACCCTACTTTGCTTTCACTTCACTTTTCTCAAAAAGTACAGACCAGCTGTTTTGTTGATTGCAATCCCATGAAAGGGTATGACGGGAGAGCTGCAGAGATCTGGGGGGAAATAAGAGTGTGGTCTGCTGGTATCAGTCTGAGGATTAACTTGCCAGGCAGCAACAACGGTGCAGCACCAAACTTCTTGGTGTTCCTTGAACAGTCCTCCTTTTAGGCAGAATATTGATCAGACCCATTGCCCTCATATTGCAGGAAGGCGGGTGGGTAAAGGCAGAATAGTGACTTGCTTAGGGCCAGTGGAGTGAGTTTAGAGGAGTCAACTTTTTAAATCAGGCATAGGCAAACTTGGCCCTCCAGATGTTTTGGGACAACTCCCACCATCCCTAGCTAACAGGCCTAGTGCTCAGGGATGATGGGAGTATTAGTCCCAAAACATCTGGAGGGCCAAGTTTGCCTATGCCTGATTGAAATAGGGAAAATCTTGCTTGCACTTATGGCCATCCAGCAACACCAGAAATCTCCTGCCCTTTTAATTTAAGGTAACTTAAAACCTACTGAAACATAGACCTTGCATGCACCATCCTTCATTCCCAGGACACAAATCTGCAAAAAGGGGGAGCCTATAACAACACTTCTGTTTCTTCTATCAGTTATCAACAGTGGTGTTGGGGGGTTTTTTTTTGGGGGGGGCGGCTAAGGCACACTTTTTCTGAAAAGCTGCAGTACCTTTTGCTTATATACCCATCCACTCGCATGTGTCAGAGTCCATGTGCAAGTTGTTTGCATAAGTGACTGTTCTGGGCCTCCCCCCACAACTGGTAGCAGAAACCCATGACAAAGAAAGGTGCCCATGTGAATTCCTCTGGGGTGGGTAGTTCTTCTGAGTCTTTGAGGCAATAGTGATTCCAGAGGGGACTGGTAGTTTTGTAGTGTTACTAATCTGTCCAGAGGCAAGGGTTGAGCAGTTTGTCATGGAAGCAATTATGTGATACCTATTTTTTTAAAAGTTGCCCATGGAAGGCTGCTGATTTGTATTTCATTCCAGCATCATACTAAGTTTTTGTACAGGCTGTGTGTTTGATCTGTCTGGTTATATTTAGATTCAGCTTGGGGTTGTTTTTTTGCAGAGGAAAAGAAAACCAATCCAAACAGAAGGCTGGCTGTTGCATCAAACCGTGCCTTCAAGGTGAACAACCATGGACTGTTTAGGAGCGGAAAAACCATGTTGCCAGCTGACATGCTTCAGGAAGGAGGAGGATGGACCCAACAAACACCAGGTTTACACAGTTCTCCTTGCAATTCTACCCCTCCTGAAGCCCAGACTACCACTTGCATCCTCCCAACTGAAAGAAGAGACTCTGCTGCGGAGAGAGAAGATCCTCCGTTATTAAACTTCATTCAGCAGCTAGAGGAGAAAAGGGATCCAGATCACAGAACTCTTTCTGATTTGGCTTTGAGAGAGAAAAATAGTGGTTGGGAAAGAGAAAAACATACCACCTTGTTTCCTCAAAGCAGCCAAAGCCTGACAGTTACAAGCAAGGACACCAAGACTCAGAGAAGACACAGGTGCCCACCCTCTTGTTATAGCTCCTTCATGCAGTCCTGTGACTCTGAGAACATAAATCCTCAGCTAGAGCAGAGTACAATGGAAGTGAAGCCTCTGAAGAGTAGCAATCAATCTGTTGCTGGGCTCTGTTTGAAAATCAACAAGGCCGCCTGCAGTTCTGATAAAGGGATTGAGGACAGCCAGGTAGGCCTGCCAATGTTTACGCAGGACTCTGAGGGTCACAAAGTCATTTCTCACCTCTTTGTTCAAGGGAGAGGCAAAACATCTTTACAAAAGAAGCTTCTTGGTGATGAAAGCAACTCTATAATGAGCCCATCCTACCATGGCTGCTTGGGGGCCTGCTGCTCTGCAGAGAGCTGGACCCACCTATCCCCAGGTGGGAGCGTGTCTGTTCTAACAGACAGTAGTGAGAAGTCATGTTATGACTTGTTATTCACAGAGGATTCGGAAGGCAATAGAGTCATTAAACACTAACTCATAATTGCTCAGTGTGAGAGAAATGCCCCTAATGCAGACTTTCAAAACAAACTGATGCAGACCTTAGGTGTATATATGTAGCGTTCATACTTATTCTGCATGCTGCTTTCTTTATAACTTGTACATTGCCTAATAAAGAAATGATGTCATATGGAGTATCGTTAATGGTTCCAGAAGCTGCAATTGGCAAAATATGCAGCTGTGTCAAGAAGAAAACCCAGATTACATTCTAAACAAGCAGGGTCTTCATGTGCTCTATTAGGTCATTTTTGTCTTCAGCAAGAAGACTGTTGCTTTGTGGGACAAGGCTTGTATTCCTAATTGTTACACTGTGCCTTCCCCACTGCTCCTTGCAAGGCTTCCCAACTACCTACCATTCAGTTTTCTATGAATTCTCTTTATCAGGTGGAGGTAGAATTAAAGTGGAGGCTGCCTTGGACTCTGTTGTCTGTGTTTTAAAATGAATTGGTACCTTTTAAAAAATCTGGATCTTTGTATGCAGGGGGGAGGTTGCTTTAACATTGCAAATTTCATCTGGTTTCTTACTATTTTTGGTTTTATCAGATTTTCCCCTGGAAAAGGTAAAGGACAAAAGAATACAGATTAGCATTTTGATGCTAATGGTGTTGTGTGGAAACCCTGCTACAGAAACCCTGCATGGCTAACGAGCACTGAGCTTACAACACACCAGAAGGGAAGCATTTTTATGGCCCTTGTCTGTAACTGACATAATGGAGAAGTTTGGCTTAGTATATAGCAAGCTCCTCATGCCAAAGCAATCAGAACTGTAGAGCTCGAAGGGACGACCAGGGTCATCTAGCCCAACCCCCTGCAATGCAGGAATCTTTTGCCCAACGTTGGGGCTCGAACCCACAACCCTGAGATTAAGAGTCTCATGCTCTACCAACTGAGCAATCCCAGGTTCATGCGAGAGTGACTGCAACTTCCTGTCTTATAAAACATGATATATAAAACCTTGAATGATCTGCCAAACAGGCCACATTAACAGAGGACACAGCTTAGGCAGGTTAAGTGACAAGCATGTCAATCACTCACCTTACAACTTAAGCCTCTACAAGCTTTTAAGGAAGGCTGCTGACTTCTCTAAAGTTAACCGAGTCCCTTTCAGAACCACACATTAGCACTAATGCGTGCAAAAATCCTCTCCTCGTCCCTGTGCTCTCCCAAAGGACTGGATGGGAGTTCTGAGTGCAGCCATTACTTTGAGAGGCTGCTGTCGAACGTTAAGAAGGGAGACCTGATTTCAAAATTAACTCTTGAGGAGGGTCAGGGGTCAAAACTGCCCATTCAATGAGTTCTTAACCTCACCCACCTACAAGGCTCTTGTGAGAAAAATGCAGGAAGAGGAACCCTGCTCTGCTACATGGAAAACGTGATGCACCAGATTCACAACCGTGGCTTAAAGAAAATGGCAGTGATGCTCCTAGAGCTGTATAGAGGACAGAGGCACAATATGCTTATGATATCTGTCATTGCTCTAAAATATAGAATAAACAGGTCCCCATGAGTTTAAACACAACCCTACCTTTAACAGACAAATCCAATCTTGCTGCTTATTCCATAATTGCTCTCTGACATTCTGCATTTTTTAATCCCTTAATTACAAGCTTTGAAGGAGCCAAGGAACTTAAAAGATAAAACACATGACGCTCAACCACATTTGCAGTACAGATGCATCCCCACTTAAGTCAGAGGTGGGAAATTTGTGCCCCACCAGTGGATGACAGACTCCAACTCCCATCATCCTCAGGCAGCATGACCAAGGCTCAGGGATAATGGGAGGTGTAGTCCGGCAAGAGCTGGAGGGACACAGGCTCCCCACTGCTCTGGGTGCAAAAGCTGGTTTGCTCTTCAAAATCCTACACAAATAAAATAAAAAATACTTCTCACATGAGATACCTTAAGTTCAAAGTTTTTTGGAAGAAGCGTCCTTCAGCTACAGTATCAGTTTAGTATCTGCAGGGTAAAAGCAATCTAACTTCCATAGGCAGGCACAGACAGCTACAAGGCTTCTCTCTCCAAGTCAACAAGAGGATGGATTCAGATAGCCATGCTAAAGCTCACTTGTAATGCATGTACTTAATGGGGAGTCAATATTTTCTTACATTGCCCAGACTTTCACTCCTAGGTTTCCCCCAAAAAACACTCTGGAGGGGAGGTAGCCTTGCTAACACTTGGTAAGCATGTGGTTGAAGGCTGCAAGTTTACCACCTCTCCACCTGGTTACAAGTGCTATATGGTGTGCCTCCCTTTCCTCGTCAGCCATGCTGGAATATCTATCCACTTTGAAAAGGTACTTGACTGCCTTGAAAAGTTAAGTCCGGAGAAAAAGAGAAAATGCATTTTTCAATGACTAAATTTTAAAAACATCTCTACCTGAATGTGGAAGGGATACATTTCTATCAGTAAGTTATCACACGCTTCAGAATTGCAGCAAAATTATGAATAGATCCTTTTTAATTCATCTTGCTACTTTGCTAACAATGCTTCAGTTCAAAATGTGGAAAACCATTTACCTTTTTAAAGTCTCTCTTGGCTGTGTGGAAAACAGCAAATTCACAGTTCTGCTTGGGTAGGAATTATTCCCCCTTCCAGCACACGCACATACAGAGTAGAAACCTAATCCCTAAAGGACTTTTGATGTTCAAGGAAGGCAGCCACTGTGGAGAAAGATCTTAGGAGAACGATAATTTACTTTACAAGGTAACCAATGAGCATAATTTCAGTTCTTCTTCATGTTTACATCTTCATCCTTCAAGGCAAACTTTCTTCTTAAAACCTCTGCTATAAGAATTGCAGGATCCTCCTCTTTCAGTAAAGTTCTGTTCCTGAAAGGAAGATACAAGATGAAGGGTATTAACAGGAGTGCAAATCACATTCTGCTCCACCATCCCCAACTGCTTTCTTCAACAGGATTTAAAAAATAAAATAAAAAAATCTAAGAAATTAGGTGTGGTTCAACTGCATGTTTTTCAACAAAGGGGCTATTCTTCCAAATCTCTTGCTGGTTTGTGTGTGTTTTTTAATTCTTGTCACCATCAAATCCCATATATCTGATATTATATATATCCCATATATTTGATATTAGGTAAACAGTAAGAATAAGAAAGACTTTTAAAAATTACTTCCAGCATACAAGTTTTTACCTAGCAAATTGAGGGCATTTCTAGAGATTTCGCTGATCCCTAATGATGCCATAGGCACCCATAATTATTTGTGCAACACTCCACATGCACAAATTACAAAATGCACTGGATGCACCAGACATGGCTTCCTCCTCTCGACAGAACTGTCAAGGATAATGCTAGACAATTTTCAATGTGCAAGGAACCTTATGTCATGGGGGAGAGGAAGCACCCAATAAAGCAATCTCTCTCTCTCTTGCACCCTGAAGTGCTATTCTATTGTCTGAGTAGAATTAGTAACAGTTAGAGAACTTCTCCAACAAATCTGCAAGGATGAAGCCTACCTTCTGGCAAAAGTACAAAAACCAGGATAAAGCTGGCACAATAAAGAACACTCAACTCTGTGGAGAACCTTTGGCTCTCCAAATATTGCTGAAATTCAATGCCCATAATTCCCAGCCATTAGCCAGGAATTGCTGGGCTTGATGGGAGTTGGGAATTCAGCAGCATTTGGGGGCGGGGGGGGGAGCTTCCTCATTCCTGTTGTAGCAGAAGCAATTCACCACCTGCTTCTCTGCCAAGCTCAGTATGCAGAAGTGAAGAGTCACCAATGTCTGTATGCATGGATTTGCAATATGGGCTACTACAGGGTGATGTGTGCAATCAACCAAGAGCACAACAACAACTAAAGTCTATGAGGTAAATGTATGCGGTTTGCGTGTGCAAAAGAACATTGATTCCTTTGTACAATAAGCATCATAAGGATTTGGAATCTGTCCAGTTTTAAATTTTAGCTCTCTTGTTTCAAACACGTTTACTCACATCTGTTGTAGCTCTGGTTTTCAACCACCTTACGTTCCCCCGATACCTAGATAATTTTGTTTACCAGTTTAATTAACTAGGGGGTGAGGGCGGGAATCCCTATGGGTAAGCAAATGAAAGGCTTCTCTACAAAACGTTATTAATTTTCTCCTGGTAGATTCTTAGGGTGGTGGTTCCCCACCCCCCAAAAAACAACTTAAATATTGATGATTTTAAGCAACATCATTCTGTAAATCTCTCAAAAGGACTCCAACCATTTTTCTTCAGTTTTGCTGCATACATTACCAAGTTCCTTCATATTGTGCCAACCTCAAATAGGAGCAGCATGCTTTGGGACAAAGAAAAGTCATTTTGAGCCCAAGAGGCAGAGAATTCATAGGATTTCCTACATGCAAAAGAACTTTTGTATCTTCCTTCATACCAAAGATGGGGAACTTGTGGTCCTCCAGATGTTGTTGGATTCCCAACTCCCATTGATCTCAGCCAATGGGGGCAGGAACTGTAGTCCACAACATCTGGAGGGCCACAGGCTCATCATACCTGCTTTGTGACTTTTAACTTGGCAGATTCCTCTCCTCTCTCATGGTAACCATAAGTTGGAAAGAAAATAAATAAACAAACAAATAAATAAATATCTCTCACACAAAATCCATTCACTTCCTTGCTCTGTGTGAACCAGTCCAGAATTATTATTTTCCTTTGTTTTCACCATTACTAGAGTATATTAGAACTTACATCATGCATAAGCATGTGATTAAAAAGCAAGTGGGGGCACCTATATATTTACCATTCTTTAAGCACTTCATCTATAAGCATGACAATGGGGCTCAAGATTTCAAAAGTCATAAGAAATGTGAACCCTAGGACCCTCACCACATAGTTCCAGAAATTTCAGCCATTAGCATACAGTTAGTAAAATAAAAACCCACACCCTGAAAAAATTGAAAGGAGGCAAACTGATCCATTTAATTTAGGCAAACCATTTCACAAGAATTCTGAATGACAGCAGCACTGCACCTGCATTATTATTTTTTAAGTGAATGGCACCACTTGGCTACTTTCTCCCTGTCCAAAATGGATTCAATTACAGCTTTCCATTTATCACCATTCTCACCATTTCTTCATAGTCAGCATATGCTGGGTCAAGAGCAAGTCCAAAGTGTTGCACTCATTACACAGTGCCATTCCCTGCTTGCTTCTGCAACTTACAGATTAAGGAATGTTATACTCCGATAGCACTTTAGCAACTCAAAGATTCAAGAATAAGCCCAGCTATAGCCACCCACGATCACTGCAGATGGTGACAGCAGCCATGAAATTAAAAGACGCCTGCTTCTTGGGAGAAAAGCAACGACAAACCTAGACAGCATCTTAAAAAGCAGAGACATCACCTTGCCAACAAAGGTCCGTATAGTTAAAGCTATGGTTTTCCCAGTAGTGATGTATGGAAGTGAGAGCTGGACCATAAAGAAGGCTGATCGCCGAAGAACTGATGCTTTTGAATTATGGTGCTGGAGGAGACTCTTGAGAGTCCCATGGACTGCAAGAAGATCAAACCTATCCATTCTTAAGGAAATCAGCCCTGAGTGCTCTCTGGAAGGACAGATCCTGAAGCTGAGGCTCCAATACTTTGGCCCCCTCATGAGAAGAGAAGACTCCCTGGAAAAGACCCTGATGTTGGGAAAGATGGAGGGCACAAGGAGAAGGGGACGACAGAGGATGAGATGGTTGGATAGTGTTCTCAAAGCTACCAGCATGAGTTTGACTAAACTGCGGGAGGCAGTGGAAAACAGAAGTGCCTGGCGTGCTCTGGTTCCATGGGGTCACGAAGAGTCGGACACGACTAAACAACAACAACAATAGCCACCCACCCGCCATGCTCTAAATTTGTGTCATGCACAGGGAGAAATGCAGTGGTCTGCATTGCCGTAAGACGAAGCAGCTTCAAGGGCAACCCTTGACTCTGCTGTTCTACAAATTCATCTGACAGACGCCCACTCTAATTTCTATAACTTCTTGTAATTTATCAGTAAGACTGGCAAAAGCACCAGTAAACTCCTTTTATCTATTTGTCTCTTTGCTTTTCTCACAGATGCTTAGACTAAACTTCCTCAAACTGCTGGCACAATGGATAATGGCAAACCTCTCTGATTCATATTTCATTGTATCAGAGGTTATTCAATTTTATCCGAGGGACCAGTAGTGCAGAGCTGTAGTGCTGAGATCCAGTCCCAACATTCCCGTGGGCATCTGACAACATGTGTTTGCAACCGTCTCCTCTGCTCAGCAGGATGAGGCTGCACCCAGCTGAACAGTTCTCTCCCATAATAGCCCTTGTCTGCTGCTGCTCACTGCAAAGCACAAAGGGAGGGGGCAGCTCTTAAGCGCCTTAATTCTCTTTGTCTCAGATGTGTCCAGTGGCTTCACTGCTGTAGCTACGTATATTCTGCAACATTTGTTGTCCAGAGTCCCTTCCACCCTGCAACAAAGGACACACATTTCTGCCAGGGCAGGGTCCCATTTGCTGCTAAAAAGGGGAAAGCAGGATTTCCTGTTTTCTACTAAGAAGGAAGCTAATCTCATCATTTTACCATGGACTTCCAGCACTCACAATTCTGGGTCATTGTGGGTATGGCAAGGAGGGATGTGCACATTATATATGATGCAACTAACAGAATTTGAAGAGACACAAGAGGCAGATTAAAAAGGCATTTTTAAAAGGTTCTACGAATCTGGATTGCTTTTTAAAACTGTAAAGATAAGCCTCTTTAAAAAAAATATGTAGTGAAAGCCACTGGCCTTAGGGAAGTGGGCTTTAGATGCAAGCTTTGCATTCAGAAACTCCCAGGTTCAATTCCCAGTATCTCCAGTTAAGAAAAGACGGCACAGCTGGACCTCTGCCTGAGACTCTGGGGACCTGCAGCCAATCAGAGTAAACGATACTGGGCTAGATGGAATACGGTAGCTTCCCTATGCTCTTTGGTCCAAACTGGACACGGACAGGGCAAGCCACTTGTATTGATTCACATCCGTGCCACATTTTGGTATAAAAATGAGAGAGCACCTTGATTGAGCTATGCTAAAACTGGCCCCTCTTCCCCCATGCCTTGCTGTATTCCTTTGCAATTGTCTCCCAGTCTAGCTATTTAATAAGAATGGGTCAGGGATTGCTTAAAGTCAAACTATGTACACTGACTGCCCTGAGGTTGAAGGGACAAATAAATAAAATAAATAAAAAATTGTGAAAAAAGAAACAAATAGTCATGAAGAAAGAAAAGATACATATGGGTAAGTTTACTCGATTATGGAAACTACTGACTCTCTTTTAGAAGAATCATGGTCACAAATATGGGTTTGTGAAACACCGTTATGGATGTAGATAGACTTTGTACAAGTTCTGTAAGATCTGAGATTTGAAAATAAAGTCTAATAAAAGAATTAGCAGTTACTTGTTCAAGGAATAACATTGATATGATATGATATGATATATGATATGATATGATGATATGATATGTGTCCAACAAGTGCAAGTACAGCTGCATTACGTATTGTTTGGAAGAACAGCAATGCAATTTCCCCGTTACTGGATGTTGTAAGTTACTCAAATCTGAAGGCAAATGAGTCTAACTTATGAAAGGAGGTGGAGCAATTGCTGCTAATTCTTGCAACAGGTCAAAACAGTAGAGACTGCACCCCTTTTACTGTAACTGAGATTTTTCTTCTTAAAAGTTAATACATAGAGTGGAATAATCTCAACAGCGGCAATCTGGCAGATATACAAGCAGTATGAGAAGAGATCAATTTCAGCTTTGAGAATCCTATTCCAGTTTCCAATAAACTCAAGCAAATTTTTTTAGAAAGCTCAAATGAGAATGTGATTCTTCCTTCTGCATAATATTCTGTTCCTTAAGAAACCAGAAGGGACAAACCAAGGGCAGCTGATCAAACAAATTACACTTTAATTCAATGTTTCCATGGTATCTCACTGCTTATTACCAGAATTAAATTGCTCTAACTGGATTGTGCATTAAATGAATAAGAAATATTGTAATTATTGTTAAATGTGCTCCCCTTACTTCCCTCTCTCTAATGAATTCAACTTATGATACCATCTGCCTGTTGAACCCTCCAAACCGCAAGAAACACTATGTTCAAAAAGAGTGCAGATGAAACAATAGTGAAAAGTTTAGCTTGAAAGAGGTTTTAATTTTTGCCCAATATTAATGCATAAAAGGGTGTTTTTTGTTGTTGGAAGGTGGTATATAAATAAATACAACACAAAAACTTGCATGTAAAAAACTATTATTTAGCAAGCATTCCCAGCTTACTGTTTTAGTTATATACTCTATTGTTCCTCCAGTGAGCTCAGGAGGATATAGATGGATGGGGGTGATCTCTGTTTACCCTTACAACAATTATGTGATAAAGAATGGCTAGCTTTAATTCACCCACTAACCTTAAAAAACAAGTTCAGGTTTTGTTGTTTGGAGCCAATGGCTATAACATGGTTGACCAAGGATTTAAACTCAAGTCTCTCTTATCCTGGGATGGAGAAGCTATGGCACCCTGGATCGTATCAGCCTCAATCAGATATAGCCAACAGTCACAGGTGATGGAATTTGTAGTGCAACATCTGAAGGGCCACATCATGCTAATCATGTCATCATATATGCATATATTGTAGCAACCTAGGGAGGCTTCATGCCTAGAAACTTGCAGAACACTTGGAAAGTGGTTTTCTGCTTAACAAAGTACAACATTTTATACTCATCTCCAGAATGACACATAGTGAGGCAATTTTAACCATAAACTGCATGATGGGCAATCTGGGAGGTAGCAGAGGGAGAAGCAGGCAAACAGGAAGAGACAAGGCAAAACCTCCGACCTGTAGCTCTCATGTTACCCTTGTCTCAGCTGCTAGAATAGTAATAATCTCAGCATTTATTTGCAGACCAGTGAGAACAGGGATGGGGAACCTATGGCCCTTCCAAAGGCTGCTGGAGTCCAACTCCTATAACAGAATCATAGAGTTGGAAGGGACACCAAGGATCATCTGTTCCAACCCCCCGTAATGCAGGAATCCTGACCACAGCCACCCCTGGGTGGGCTCAAACCACCCACCTTCTGGTTAACAGTCAAACGCACTGACCCATCAATCCCAGCAAGCATGGCCAATGCTTAGAGATGAAGGGAGTTGCAGTCCATAGCGTTTTAAGGGCTACAGATTCCCCATCCCTAGTTTAGAACATTCAGATCTTCAGGGCAGTGGTTATAATAACTTCAATCTGGAGGCAGTTTAGAAGAAGCTACTTGTCTTTTTGACCATGGTGACTAAATTGCCCTGGTAGTCAGGCAAAGAAGCTTTACCAAAACTGATTCTTTTCTTATTAGCCAAAATTGACTGTGATAAGCACAGGCAGGTTAGCAACTTTGGTGAACTTGATTTGCGCAGTTGTCCTTAGAGATCAATATTGTAAGGCCTATTATAAGAAAGGCGTTAAAAACCTGTGTTGTGATGATGCAGGGAAAGTACATTAGAACTAACCATTGCAAATATCAGTCACAGTGCTAAAGATCAGCAGAGGTACCTTCACACAAAGCAAAACTGCAAAGCTTCCAATCAGAAAAGAAAGAGAGACACTTTTGGGGATGGAAAAAGAGAAAACAAACAAACAAACAAACAAAAACTTACAAGTCTTTGTTCTGTTTCATCCTATGAATGTCTTTAAGAATGCCCATCATATCGGCAAAACTGCTGGCCTTGGACAGGGACACCGAATCTTCGTCGTCGGAATCCTTTGGGTCTGCTTTACAACATTCAGAGGTTGCAGAACAAAGCATGGGAACGGATGGAAGCTCTGGGCTTTCTAATTCTGCCTCCTCCTCTGTAATGTCACTAATGACAAAGGAAGTTGTAGACTGGAATGAGGATCCAAAACAAGGTAAGGGAGAAGAGACATTTGAACTTCCTGGTGATAATAAATCAGGTGTTAATGAAGTGGAAGCTGGAAAAAAAAAAGAACAATACACATTGACATAAACCTAGTGCCAAACTACAGGTTTTATATTCTGCAACAGAACATGTACGCCAAGCCTATAGGCAAACCTCCCCACAAATGGACATCATAAGCCTGCCTCCTGCCTTCACTCAAATGCTGGTTATAATGCCGCAAAAGGGGTGAAGCACTTTTCCATCTCACACCCTCCCATTGCAACCACCATCTTCCATATGACAGTATTTCAATGTATATTGTTAAGATTATCTTGTTCCTGTCTTGCCACCCCAATCACTGAGCACAAAGTTCTCAGAAGCAGCATGTTATTCACCTTATATCACAGATAGGAAGAGAACTGGCCCACAGTCACAGGAGGCCACTTTTGGCATCAACCAAGGCCCATCCCTCACCTTCCCAGTTAGAACCAACCGAGCCCTGTGCACACAATCACCTCTACTAAACCACTTTCCTTAAGAGCCACCCTTGAGAGGGTGGAAAGCGTAACTCTGAAACAATTTCAGGAACCAGGTTACCTGTCTTTTAGTCTAGAATGACACACATTTGTGAGAGCTCATGTGCCTCGGGTGCTAGATCTCAAATGGATATCACAGGAGAACAAAGCACACAGAAGGATCCAGGTTCAATCCCTGGCATTCCAGCTAAAATGGATGGGAAAGGTGATGGCAGCAGGTGATGGCTTCCTTTTGTCAAGGCCCTGGAGAGTTGTTGCCAGTCAATGCTGATCTAAATTGACAAATCGCCTGTGCTGGTACAAACACAACTCCTTATCTATGTTCAAAGTCATCTGGTAATATCTTTGGGAAATCTATTACCTTGATGCTCTATTAAGGGAATATTATGCAACGGTGGCAGTCTGTGACCAGTGCTTCACAACACTGACTTTAGAGTTACGTGCAAACACAACTGTTTTACGAGTTTAGTCATAAGAGGAACTGTGGCTTAACAAACCCAAGAAGCCCCCTCCCCATTTGATCTTCCAGAAGCTGCCTGGAAGCATCACCTGACATCAAAGTGATGTGGGTGGCCCCACCACCCTGTCAAATTTGGTCCATCAGGGGGCGAGGAAATAACATGCGGGCCAGAAAAGGTTCCCCATCCCTGTCATAGGCCATTACAAGAAAAGGGCATGAAGAAGAATGAAGCAGAATGCATCTTCTTTCCTTTTTACTCTCACCTTTATTTCTCCCTCTAACACTCCCCATAGTAAATTTTGGACTGTAAACTCCTCAGGGCATGGACTTTGTCTTTTTGTTTGTTACTCTGTACAGCACCATGCAAATGGTTGGCTCAACAATAGTACAAATAAGCAAATTACATTGTATTAAAAATTAAGCAAAATATTTTGCCTGAAAAACTGGGGATGCAGAAATCATAGGATCCTGGCCATTATAAATTAGAATTTGTGACAAATTCTGTGCAATTTCTTCTAACATTATATAAGTCTCTCATTTATGTCTGGTCTGTTTATCAAAATGCTGTAAGGGGCACACACATTATACAGAATTGTAATGTTATGAGCTTAAATACAATAAAACCAGTTGATAATGTCGCCACTCATAAAATGGAACCAAAAAGCACCATAGCATTTTAAAGCGGGTGAGACAGATGCCCTGTTAATAGTAATGGGTAAATAAAACAAAAACTTTGAATCTTTATTTCTCAAAGTGCACAAGGAAACATCAATGTGGGTCTCTTTGGACAGCTGGGCCCTGCTTTGTGGCTCCTGACAACTTTACTTCCTGTGGCAAAGACACCAAGGGCTGGTTCAAACTTAATGATAAACCATAATTTAGAGTTATGTGCTTGAACCGTGGTTAGTCTTCAGTTTGCATGCTCCCCAGCTTCCCTCTTTTGCATGCCAGTAGGAGGAGACATTAACACTTCTGCCTTGGATTTTAGATTAACCAGGAGTTTATGTATGAATCCAGAAGCCCTGACTAAACTATGGTTAGACAGAACAAGAAAGAACCAAATTGTGGTTGATAATGCTAGCTTGTTCAAGGAACTCTATTTTCAATCAGAAGAGGAAGTTTTCAGCCTCTTCCTCTTGGCATGCAGGAGAATGGTGTGTCCACACGCCACCATGAGGCTCACTACAGTTGATGCACATGATACTCAATTACGGTTCAGCTATATGTCCAAGTCAGTACTGAGTATGGCCTCCTCTGATTTAGGGAATGGATGGACAAACAAGGGTATGAAATGTGTGTGTCAAACTTTTTAAGATTAGTGCAGACTTCATTTATCTAATAGAGTAATAGCTTGAATAATATTTTTAAACAAGCAATGATTTTGGAATTTTACTGTCCCCTATGTTTAAAAAACAAACTGCTGTAATCAAGTAGATTGATATGAACTGGCAAAAACCAATAAAAGTTTTTGCTACAAAACCGGCTTTAGGGGGGAAAACCAACTGCAGAAATTAGTTATTGACTGTGGAATATCTAAAATTAAGCACATAAGGCTGGTTGGTAGAACACTTTTTGGCCCCAAGGAATAATGCCAAAGCTACATGATGGAGAAAAACCACAGAGTGTCTAATATCAACAGCTACTCAGGTGATGGCCCTAGAAATACAACTAATATCAGGAAAGAATAAGAACTTCCCACCTTTCAAGCTATACTATGCTATTAGAGTGATCTTTAAAAGCTGCGAGACTATAATTGCTCGGCACTTTATCTGTTCTAATCGTGGCTACATGCTCCTTCTCATAGTCTTGCCCTTACAAAATACACATTTCAAATGTGGGCATTACACAGTTCAACATTATGTCTGAATACCTAACCCTTGATTGCCTGTGAGTCGCAGGTTTCCTACTGCTGTGACACTGCAGTGAAAAGGGGCAAAGTTTTCTGGTACCCTCTCAACATGGAATAAAGGCAGCAGCCATACAAGAAAGTTAAGGAAATTTGTGGAATGAGGTCAAACAAAGGAAGGTGGCAGGCAACACCTGCATATGTTGCTCCCTCTCATGTGTTCCAAATTTAAACTAGTCATATCTGCACCATTTTGTTAACAACCTGACTCTTCACCAGGAGAGACAGCAAACCCTTACTGCACTTCCCAAGTGAATCTCCAAACTTACTATGTACTTGTCAAACCTGACACACAATTCCAAGGGCTGTATCCAACGCTAGTCCTACTCAGAGCAGACCCACTGAAATTAATAAGCAAAACTTAGGTCACTTAATTTTAATGTGTTTGTTCTGAGTAGAATCTCCACCCCAAATTAGAAGAGAACAGGACAAAACATGCATCATGCTTTCTCCACAATAAAAAAACAAATTTTTACCATCCTCTTTGCCACAACTTCTGGTTCTCAAAGTGGAAATATAATTTTCAAGTTGTTTGCTCATCTGCTGTATCTACTCTTTTAGGCTTGCAAACGCTTACACACCCACCCACACCCACACCATTTCAAATTTGTGCACAAATTTTGGTATGTTTCCTCTGAGCGCTTGATGCTGGGTACTTACCTGACTCTGCTGATACAATCTTAGCAATCTGACTACGCAGATGGCTCAGTTCATCTTGGAGCTCTGTTGTCCGACTCAAAGCGGGTAAACCCGGTTTCTTCAAAGCCAGCAGCTTTTCTTCTTGCTTTCTCAAATTTGGGACAGAGGCATTCCGCTGAATAACGAAAAGTGGCGTGGGCTTCCATTTGTGCTTTAGTGGACGAGTGTCTGTCCTACAAGTCAAGATCCCAAAAATTCAAATGAAACTGGCCCCAGTGAATAATAGTAGTCCATGCTCATTATATCATACAAAGTTTGCTAGCTGTGACTGGCCCTTCTCTCATCACTACAGGACCCCATTTTTAGCTACCCATTAGTCTCTTTTCTCTCTCATTATTTATCTCTCAAACTCCCATCACTTCAAACCAACCTGAATATGTACCCATGGTGCAATGTTTTCTTAGACAACACTATCCCTAATTCAAGTTCATAAAGACATGAAGAAGTGTTCAACCAAATTTTACTCCATGTAGATCCACTAAAATTAATGAACATAACTAAAAGTGGAGTTCAACTAACTTCTATTCAGAGCACATCAATTGAAATAGACCTAACTTAGTCAAGTCCATCAATTCCAATGGTTCTACTTTGAGTACGCCTACCATGAAATTCCACCCTAAATTAGGTTCATTAATTTCAATAGCATTACTCTTGAGTAAAGCAATGAAAGACGGGTGGTATTTAAGACAAATGACAATAAAAAAGGTTGAAGACAGCCTAGACACCACCTACAGAGCTTTGAAACCAACTGAAAATAGTATTTTCCAATAGAAGCAGTTCAAAAATGAATCATTGTGCATGTATGAATTAGCCCTTATTCCTCTTTGTTTGTCTGCTGCCACTTCACAATCCATATATTGGCGTGTCCTGCAAATGCCTCTATACCTGCCTAAACTTTTTAAGTAGCTCAATTCTTCATGCAGGATTTTCTCCTACATCAATAGCTCCCCCTAGCACTTTGTGTAAGAGTCAACTTCTAATTCAATGTCACTCTTTCTTCAACATGAGCACCAATTGGTCCCCTACTCCAGGTTTCTGACCTTACATGAATATACCTTAGGTCTGGAGCACCTCTCTTGTTCTCTGATTACCAAGATATATGAAAAGGTTTTCTCTCTCTCTCTCTGAAATGGCACCCATGCCTCATTACCTTGAAAGACCGACTATTAAAAGAAAGATAAAGATAGGAAGCCATCTCAATATTGCCCTGTTTTCAGGAAGTGATCACGAGCAATAACTGACCAAGAAAGGAAGAAGGAAAGTCAGGAGGCATGAGAAGAAAAGGAGAAAGGGATGTACCTGACTCTAGCATATGTTTCTTCGTCATCTGAAGCTATCCATGCTACGTCTGCCAGAGTGGGGACAGGGGGCGTGTCATTTAAATAAAGATCTGAAACATTAGGTAATTCCTGAGGAACAGAAAGGAAAAGAAAATAGCATTATCATGTATCATGGGGCTGTAGAATCATTTTCTGATCAGTTCTGAATTAAGGAAGACAGGAGTGCCTGGCGTGCTCTGGTCCATGGGGTCACGAAGAGTCGGACACAACTAAACGACTAAACAACAACAACATGGGACCTGTAGCAAAATGCAATATATCTTCATTACCCGAGTAAGGATTCTAGCCAGCCAGCCATGACCTCCTTCAAGATACCATGAGCCATTACAGACCCAGGCAACCCAAATAACTCTGTTCAGTTTGCTTTGCCATTTTTCTTTTCCAGCTGTCACTTAACATTCCCTGGATCCTGGTGTCCATTCAGTACATGCAGGGGTGGAAAAAGGTATATATATATATATATATATATATATTTGCTTTCGTAGATTTTCACGGGTACAGGAATGCAGGTTTTGGTGTCCTCGGGTGTCTTCCCGTGTAAAAGTTGGGGTGTCTAGGCGACGTTTCTATATATATATATATTTGCTTTCGTAGATTTTCACGGGAACACAAGAATGCCGTCAAAAAAGAAGAAAAAACTTCCTCTCTTTTCCAACACATGAAAGAAACAGGACACGAAATTAATTTTGCAGATTCCAAATTGCTCTTTAACATGGAACATCACCACAAGAGAATAATCATGGAAGCCATCGAGATAGAGAAACACCCTCACAACATGAACAAGCGTGACGACACGTCCCGCCTGCCAGACATCTGGAAATTAGCCCTCCCCACAAAAACCGACACCAGATCCAGAGGCACACAGAACGCCATCACCAATCAACCACACCAGACCCAAACCCAGACCCTCTCCACAGATAAATTACAGACACCATCCAGTAGCCAAACCATGGTGGCACCTCCGGATGCTGCACCCCCCTGCAATCCCTACACAGATCTGGCTGGCACAGGGCACAAAACCACAGCTCGCCCCTATACACGAAGCCAAGCCAGAGCACAACTAAGTGCAGTACAACCATCTTCTCAGAAAAACTCTTCACAAAGTTCAAGAGGTCAAGACACGAAGGCTTTAGCAACTAATCCACACCTAATGACCCACCTAAGTGGTACTCAGAATATCACTCAAGAAATCACTCAAGATATCCCTCAAGTAATTAAGGAACAAAAGAAGAAAAGGCACACTAGCCTGGGAACTTCCTCTCTGCCCAGAACATTGGAGGCTATACACCACACCCCCTCAACAGTATTTATAGGAACTCAAACACTGAGATCCTGCTCTGTTCCAGTAACAAGAAGCCGAAAGCACCAGCCTGAAGATGACGAGTGAGACCTCGTCGAAACGTCGCCTAGACACCCCAACTTTTACACGGGAAGACACCCGAGGACACCAAAACCTGCATATATATATATATATATATATATAGCCTTGTGAGAACCTTGGGGTTCCCCTGAGCTTGCCAATACATCCCACTTTTTCCTGATTTGGCTCCATCTCTGTTGGAACAGCATCACTGATTCCACTATTACAGGGAGTGATTTGTGGGCAACTTGTTCAGCACCAACAATCATGCTACAGATCATTTAGAGGCTGTAGCTAATTTGCATCAACTTGAAGGTTGGTTGCTCCTCTGAGGTGTTACATGAGACTAGAGGTGATCATGCACTAGACAAACATTAGCCAGACCTAAGTGAGTAATGATAGGTTATTCGCAAATTTATGATTTCCAAAAGGGATACATCATGCACACGTTTTAATACTTTATAAGCAGCCCTCCAAGCATCTCTGTGTTACATAAGAGTTAGAAAAGTGGCCTATGTATGGCCTCTGAAGCTTACAATAGTGCCAGTGGCAAGAAGATGAGGTAATGAGTTACTACAACATAACATAACTATCTACCTTTCTGCAAGCTTCTCAACATCTGGAGAAATTAATGCTGTAGTTCAGGAGCCTCATGCAGCAGAGGTTATGTAGAACTGCCTACTTTCTTTGCTATTAGGTGTCCTAGGCTAAGCTCTCTGGCTTGACAGCTGGGAAGACATACTAACCCCTAGCCCCAAAGTCTGAGAACGCAAGAACACACATTAACTGAATTCTAAGTTTATGGGGTTATAAACAAGTTCTAGTATAGCTAAACACTCCCCACCTACACGACCCGTTAAAATATTTCCCCCAAAAAAATAATAATGAGGATGTTAGGACTTGCTTTCTGGTTTCATGTAATTTTCCTATTTACTGTGAGCAACGTTGGGCACAGTCCACCCTGGAAAAGTAGCATATAAACTAAAAATAACCTAACCTTGAACTATCAATAAGCAAGGGTCCTCCCAGTTAGCATTCCATTTCCAATAGTGGCCAGACAATACACACATTTTGCACCTTTTAGCCACATATGCAGCTCCTTTGCATGAGCCAGCATGCAAACCAACTGAGTCTTCCATTAACTGTAGTTGCCTGTTTCATCTGAACTGCGAAACTATCATTGGCAGCTTTGAAACGAGCCAGGCTTTGTTAACCATGGTTTCCCAGTTCTGACCAAGCACGAAACTATAGCTAACTGAGGACTTCCTAGAATGAAGAAGCTGTGTCCAAATAAAGTCAGTACATATACCAGCATATGAAACAGTCTTTAAGGCAAAAAGAATTAAAGCTTATGGTAGGACTGTCAAGATTTTAGATCATCAAGCCAAATTTCTCTCAGGAGCTGCACCCCATTTCCCAGGATGCCAGTCCTATATATGCACATTTAGCAGAGTGTAGCTTCCATTAAAGTAAGAGAAAATTCTTTTTGAGAAAACATGAACAGTACTGGGCTATAAATGAGAGTGCTATAGCACCCTACATAAAGAAATCGTATGCCAACATATCCTAAAGGGTAGCAAAAAGAATGTATTTAGTTAGAAGCATGCTACAGTTCCCATGCAGGTTCTGAAAGTCACAAACTACTCTTATTTCATTACAGGAATAAGTCTTTAAAATACAGACTTGAAAGTGGCTAAAAACTATCAAACCACTGCTGGAATAGTAATCATTGCCTTTCTATGAAGAATTCTTACAGACTGACATGTAGCAATAAAAAGCAACTTTTTTTAAAGCAAAGCAAGGCTGAAGAGCAGGGCTCCGCATTTAAACCTGCCTTGAACAGGTGTGCAAATTCATCTGAACTTCAGTATTTTACCTGGAAGCATGCTCTAGGACACGGCTTCAAAGGAAGGTTTGTCCCAATCTTTCTCACAAAGCTGCGTGCCGAGCCATAAGGTTTGTTCTGCCAAATTGGGACAGTCTGAGGGTCGAAACAAAACACGTAATGATATTTTTAACCGATAATCAGTAGTTCAGTTTTTAGATAGTCTCCCTCATTTTGTGGATGAAACTGTGAACAGCCCAGGCCCAGAGGAATAGAAGCACAGCAATTGCTGCGCTGTGCAATTTACTGGGTTTTACTGTAGTCACAGAGCCCCAGGAGAGAGATCAGAAGCCTTGTGCAAACCCCATCACTCCAGTATAAAGGGACCTGGGAGAACCTGCTGAACTGGTCACTGCATCTACCCCTGCCAAACAGTGGACAGAAGCTTTTTGCAGTCAGTTTGTTATTGGGAGAGGCCACCAAAACCATCCCATACAGACACCTGTGCTAATGAACCAGCAGACTGCTGCAAGGATTTCCACTCTGACCACATTCTATCCTGCCATGTATTGCACCCTCTCTAACACCAATACTATGTGCAAGAACCTATTTCTGTATGCTGATCACAACCAATCAATGGCAAGGGCTTTGAAGGAGGCCTAAATAATACAAACCATGCAATTTGATAGTAAAAAATTAAGAGGTGTCTGCCTTGACACAATTCCGGGAATTGTGGTTTGAATCCATTATTTTAAAAGGTTTTCCTTGCTAGAGTGGCTAAGGTCACTTTGTTTAAAGTAAGAGAGAACTTCTGTTTAATCCATTAAGAAAGTTGTCAACAGCTGGTACTATAAATACACCCCTACATACCTTGGGGCCTAGGCCACCTGTCAGTTTGTCTATAACATTTTTTAATGTTTATTTTTCATGTTATTACTGATGCCCCAAGGCTGCAAAACACACTTTTGATAAAACAGAGACACTCAGCTGACCTCTCGTTTTAAGTAAAAGAGTTTATACCTTGATTTACAAATGTTTTGCTAGAAAATGAGTAAAAAACCTGGGACCTTCCAGATGTTGTTTAATTCCAACTCCCATCAGCTCCAGTCAGCAAGCCCAATGGTCAGTGCTGATGGGATCTATAATCCAGTAACATCTGGACAGCAAAAGGTTCTCTTCTGGTGCTAAAATGTATACTGCTGAAGGAGGAAAGTCCAAGCATTCACGTCACCACGGGAGATTTATTACTTTGACCCTCCAGATGTTGCTGAACTACAACTCCCATCTGTGGTCACTGGCAATGCTTGCTGGGGCTGATGGGAACTGGAATGCAATGACACTCTGGCACCACATAGTCTAACAGATTTAGCTACATGGTGTCATCACTAAGTTCCAATCACATTGCTCTAAGGGTGTCCAACCAGGCTAGCATACCCCATTTGTCAATTCGCACTGCGACAATTAAAAAATCATGAGACAAAACAAGGAATTGACCCATTTGCCTCAGCAATGGGGACACGTTCCCTCCTTATCTCACCTAACGTACATCCAGACTGAGAGCCACCCCTGGAAAAAAATGGGTGCAAGCTTTTAACTTTCTCACTTTTGGGGAGCTTTGCAAGAGAAAACTGTCGTGTGGGCAGGCACAATTATACACACTGAACACAAGAACATTATTATTATTATTATTTTACAAAAGTACAGGTTTATAAAGATACCCAAGAGATTTTGGAAATTAAATTCCAACAATTTTCAGTTGGATTTAAGGATGATTTCAGTGTCTCACGAGCAGCAGAAACTGTATAGACCCTGGAAGGAAAGCCTAATTCAGAAGAGCCATATTCTCAAAGTTAACAGTATGTTTTGGAAAACACAAGCTTTATAGGTCTTCAATATTGGGCGGGCGGGGGGGGGGGAGATGTTAACAGCTGTGTACTTACTGAATCTGCTTCCATCTCTGACCAAACAGGAAGAAGTAAGTCAAAGGTCAAAACTGCAGCTCCAGATTGTGCACTAGCTTCATAGTATTCCACCCTTGGAAGAAAATTATCTGCTCATTATGAAAATAGACACAAGGGCACGTTCTAAATTTGTCTCATTAAAGCGGATAAGCAGTGATACGAAGAATCCCAATTACATCTTAAGCAGTTATGTAACTGTATTCTAGGATTAAACTAGCTCACAGACTTAAGAGTCAGGCAGAATATCATCAATTATGTAGTTCACAATATACATGGTGCAGCAGAATGCACTCTACAGAAACTGTTCCTGGCAGGCACATATACTGTCTTAAAACCTAATGCAACTGATTTTGCAAATTCCCGGGGTAGCTAACTTCACTGCCCAACAATTGCTACAATTAGAATGAGGCAAGGGTGCCCTCTAAATGCTATTAGACTACAATTCCCATCAGACCCTGCCAGGATGACCAATGAATAGGGATGATGGGAGTGGTAGTCCAAGAACTTCTGGAAATGACCACATTGACTATCCTTGTGTTTGAATATTATCCTGGTAGAAGGACTAATGTTTCAAGCAGAAAGACAAATGCCTTCTTTAATGAGAGCTAAGCCACCCTTCTGGCCAGCAAGTGGCTGGTTGCCCTTATAACGTTGCAGCAGATAATGAACAAGTGGTACCCTAATGTACCTTTCATCAAGATGGAACTTAGTTAGGAAATATGCATCAAATAGTTCAGTAACCACAATGGAAACTGGGACTTTTGAGCCAGCAGCTCTGCCACAGATATACTACAATTTCTGAAGATCCTCCTCCAGTTTTCTCCCTTTGTAACCAGCCTACCAAGCATACAATCCAACCTAAGCATTAATAATCTGTCAAAGGAATCACAATAGGGTAAGGCTGATGCACCTAAATTGTCTGAGTCTGTTAGATTTGGATGCTGACAGTAGATTTCTTCACAACAGAGGGATGATGCAGGGACTTTCTTCCTTTTAAATTGAGAAATGAGAATTAGAGACCCCAGAGAAGATGGCAAGTGCTGCTGTAGAATTACAGCATTGCCTTCTCTAAAAATGGGACTCACAGAACAACCAAAAGGAATTTAGCTATTTCTCATGATGGAGTTGTTAGCTGATGTCACATTCACCACAAATGTATGTAGAACAAATCAGCAATCCACACCTTTGTAGTTGTTCCCACTTTCATACGACTCTGCAGAAAGAAAAACCCATTTACTTACCAAGACAGGGGGAAAAACCCTAAAGTTTTGAAAGAATAAGAGACGACCAGGAATTGCCTATGGGAAATATATTCCAAAAGTATCTACTCAGCTGTTTAGAACATATTATATTCCAGTTTCTCCCCTTTCAGCTATTTGTTTGCATGCTGCCCAATAACAATTTTGCCATTCCTATAATCAACCAGATAAGCAAGGTATAAAACTTCTCAAAGGTGACGTAAATTCTGATTTCACCGAATTTCACTAGAGACTAGCCCAATTTGGTTTTGGAGATCTACTTGAAAAACATAAACTCATCCTCTGAAGGATATTTATTGGCCTCTACAAAAATAAGACCACTGATGTGGGGCAGAAAAGTTTCCAAAAAAGATTGTTTTCCAGTGCTGTTTTTCTGCTTTTTCTGTTTCCCAAGTTAATTAGTAACAGTGAATGGATGCCAACTGCAAATAAAATTTAGACAAGCTTGGCAGTTTCAACATCTTTAACTTTTGTTACCAAATACAAATAGCATAAATACGTTAAATCAAATAATTTCCAAAGGCATCAGGAAAGCTTCCAATGCAAATTAACCTGATTTGCATAGGAAATATTTTATATCAAAACTTTCCAGAATTATGCACCACTGGGCAAGACTAGAGTAGGATACTACTATACTTTTAACATTTGCCATAAGAAATTACATATACTGTCTTACATATCTTACATATACAGTCTACTACAAGTAAGCAGCAGTGATCACACATGAGAACATTTAGCCCTTAGATCCACTGATCTGTATTACAAGTTTTATCTGAAGTGATTACAAATGAAACATTGTCCAGATTTAATACAGCTTGCCAACTCTGAGCAAAAAGGCACTGGCTTGCATATGACTATTGGGTTCAAATCCCAATAGAGGCACCAGAAGCAAAAACCAGCTTTCAACCTAAGCTTGTCCATGTTTAAAGGGGAAACAATAGCCACATGCATCACAGCTATGAAGTATGACTGTAATGCACTTTATACAAGTGCTACAGAATGCAATATGACCATTAATAATATTTTATAAATAACCTTACCGCTAACAGTGCCAAATGCTATGCAAAAAAATTATAAACTGGCCCTGTACAAAGGCAAGCAACCTAAAAGGAAAATGCAAGGTATGTGAGGCAGGAAAGCAATGTAAAAACAAGAGTGTCAGGTGGAAGGAAATTCCAGTTATAGTGGGTTGCAAGGAGGAGAAAGCAAACAAGGAAAAGCAATGGTAATGTTAGGTCTAATTAAAAGATTGGTACCTGCATCAATAAGATCTCCCAGTGTGCTAACCAATGACTTTCTAGTTTCCTCTTACGTTTGTTACATTCTTCAGAAGAAAAAAGCCACCAAAATTTCTTCCTCAGCAGCAACAGGTCTGATAAAAGTGTTAGAAAGCTGAGCCTTCAGCAGCCTCCTCTGCTCTGAGACAAGGTCAACAGACTGGCACACACGGCTAATGATATCACAACTCAGCCAACCAAGGATAACCATGCATGACAGTGATGGGCTCTTTGGCAAGTCACTCAGCCAGGGGCGTTTAGTGGAGTTGTTGCTTATCTACCCCCAGCTCACATGCTGTTTATGTTGAGTGAAGGCACTGTCTGCACAGGAGCCTGCAGCTTAAGGAAGAGAAGCCAGAGAGAGATTTAACAAGGTCAGTAGCAGGAACAGCAGATCAGAGATTAAAATCTATTGCTGAGGACAAATCAACTGCTTTCTCAGCTGAAAAATCAAAATGCACTCACATTTCGCTCACTTTACACTGGTGAATGGGGAAGGAGGGGGTGTTTCTCTCTCTGTGTACGTAAGGATACTTGTATGCCTTAAGTGCTCTCCAACCTTGTCTATTGAAGGAGGAATGGTCCCAACTGTATAGCACACAGAACTGTCTGAATGGCCCACTTCCACCTTCTTAAACCTGTTTGGATGCTTTTGGGCCTCTGCTCTGTGTCCATATGAGGTATGGCCTGGTGGGCAACAGAGGCAGAGCATTCTCAGAGGTAGAATTCAAGTTATGGGACTCCATAACACAGCAAGTCTGCCTAGCTGTCTCTTTATGTGCCCTTAGGCATCTGCTTTAAAACAGTTTTGTTTTATATGTGCTTTTTAATAATGCATTCTGAGCAACAAGCATAAAACCAGTAGATGCCGTTTTATTCAATGTATTTTTGTCTTGTTTTTTATTACTGTTCAACTGAGTTGTTTTAAGAAAGCTTTGAGTTGCCTAGGTAGTGCTGTTTTCAAATGGGCAGATATGTTTTAACAAATAAACACTTGAAAAAGAAAAATCAGTGCTACATCTCCTTAAGATATAAGAGAAGCAAAGTGCCCTCTGCACCAAATCACTTTGGTCCAGGAATTCCCAAATTTTGCCATGAGAGGGGCTGAACCATATTGAGAATTTATGTTACTATACTGGATGCATCTATCAGTTTTCAACAGCCCTGCATCTAAGCATTAACCTGGTAGCCACAGGTGACATCTCCTCTCCTTTCTATCAACCAGTGCCTATTGCTAGTAATGGGCTGGATGAGGGTGAACAAACTGAAGCTTAATCCAGACAAGCCAGAGGTGTTTGTGGTCAGTTGAAAGAAAGATCAGGGAATAGGGAATTGACCTGTGGTGGGTGTTACTCTTCCCCTAAAAACTCAGGTTTGCAGCTTAGGTGTAGTCTTGGTTTTGGCAGTTGCCAGGAGTGTGTCTGCACATTTAAAATTAGTGTGCTGCCAGCTGCCTTATGGTGAAGGGTGGGTCATCAGCTCCACTATTACCACTCCATCAACAACCTGATCCCTGTGGGAAACATTTAACAATTTGAGAAAAAAAGACTCTTAAATGCCAAAGACTGAGGACTTACTACTATCAACCTCGCACATTTATTATGCCATTAAGACATTTTACTAAATAATGAATAGGCCTAGCAAGGCTTTTTTTTTTTTAAGTAGGTAGGGATAAAGTCCTTTGGTAAGCTATTTTTGGTACAAGGGGCTAATGTTACAATTAACTACACACTTACCTGGGGAAAAGTCCCATTAAACTCAGTGCGGCTTACTTTTGAGGGCATGTGCATACAACTACATTGTCAGGTTGCAATCCTGCACAAGCTTCCAAGAAAAACCAGCAGGTGCTACTTCTGCACAAACATGTTTCAGGCAATTTATATTGTACTCTTCAATTGAATATACTGCACTCAAGGCAGACTGACAGTTTTAAAGCAGGGATAAGCAAGCTGTGGCCATCCAGATGCTCCCATCATCCCTTACAATTGGCCATACTGCCTGGGACTGATGGCAGCTGGAGTTCAGCAACATCACATATTCCCCAGCCCTGTTTTAAAATAAGATAAAATGTGTGTGTGTGTGTGTGTGTGTGTGTGTGTACAGCACACAGAGAAGAGCATTAAATGGCTCTGCACAATGGATAATCTTATACAAAAGTTATTAATAAGATTCAAGTACAGTATTTGATCTAAAAGCCGTTCCTCCCAGAAGCCCCCAATTTTGTAGTTAGTACTGGAATGCGGAGATAAGAGAATAAATTCTCTATAGCAAAACCAACAAATAATGTTGTGATGCAATTTGAAGACTAAAGCTGCAGTCCTATCCCCATTTGCCTGGGAGCAAGCCCCACCGAATTCAACAGGATTTACTTCTGAGTAGTCATAGTTAGGACTGTGCTGCAACACATTTCCCACAGCGTAACCTTTTCATGGTCTGGAGAGTCTTACTTCATCAGATGCATTTAAGGAAGCAAAGCTGCAGCCCATCCCCCAAAAACCTTGCGCTACTCCATAATAATGCTGTCGGCCTCCTCTAGGGCGCCACACGCCTCTTTTACGGCTTTTGCTGCAACGGACTGCCGCGGCCACCCCTCTGCCCTTCCCTCAAGGCGGAGAGGGGGAAGGCACTCTGCACCTGCTCAGGGGCACTGCCGTCCATGCTGACGCCACACCGCCCCAAGGGCTGGGCCTTCTAAAAATCTGGGGGGCGGGAAGGAAAGAAAGATGCCAGGCAGGGAGGCCGAGACCCGCCTCCTCCTCCTCCTCGGCCATGACAGAAATTAAAACCCTCCCGGGAAACCCTCCCTCCCTTCGCACGTCCTCCTGACACGCCTCTCCCTGTGACAACCAACGCCGCCGCCTCCCCCTCCGCCGCTTACCCTTCCCTCGGCCTGGAGGCCGTTCCTCGCCCCCCTCGCAGGGGGGCTTTGTGTCGCTTCGGGGTGAGCAGCGGCGACCCGCCCGCGGAAAAAAACAGGCGGCGCCGCCGAGTGAGGAGTGAGGGGAGAGAAAAGAAACGCCGCGAGGCGAAGCCGCCGCTTCCCAGCAACCCCGCGTCGCCCTTCCGCTCGGAAACAGCTGCGGCGGCGGCGGAGCCCACCCCTCGGGTCCCTCTCCGCGCATGCGCGCCGTGCGGGAAAGGGTAGGGGAGCCGCGGGAGTTCCCTGCTCTCCGCTTACCTGGGCTGCTCTCCAAGAAAGGGCGGGAAACGGGCATAAGCATCTTCCCTGAGGCAGAAGCTCCGCCACTGATGCGGCCCTCTCCTAGGATGCGAGGAGGATGCCGGTTGCTCAGTATAACGGCCTCATTACGCACTGTTAAGCATGCCGTGATCACCGTCTGTAGTTTTCTGCGTTTCATTTCCTCCGGATCTTAACTTTTACTAGCTCTCTCACCCCAACCATAATATAAGCGCGCTTGCAATTCAGGATAATACTCCGCGCACCACAGAAGCGTTACACCATAATCAATTTGTTGGTCTTTTAAGGTGCCACAGGGTTGTAAACAAGGCTCGTCCTACTCGCAGTAGACCCATCAAAATTAATGGGTAAAACTTAACTTCGATCCATTAATTTCACTGGGTCTACTTGGAGTGGTCGGATACAACCCTTTGTTTTCACTCTTTCAGTGCTACAAATCAATTGTGAGAGGAGGAGTCCCGCAACACAATATTGCTGCCTGGAGTGTTCAATGCCCTCCTCCAGGATATTCCATTCCCTCCCACCTCACTCAGTCCTGGTTGAACTGCTTGGGGTGTTTCTCCCCTAAAGATTTTTGGAGTTCCCTCAAGTCTGCTGCTACATAAGCAACAGCACTCACACTTGGACATCTGGAATAGAAGGGATGCTATGAAATTGGTCTTTTTGTGATCCTCCAATCTACTGAAATCTGTGAGACTTCTTAATAAACATGCATAGGATTTGGGTGCACAGCGGAAAAAAAGATCTGCAGCTTCATGATATGGGCCAGTCCACAGATGTAGCTTTTCCTGCCCTCCTTTGCAGTTAAGAAACCACTTTCCCTCTGCTCTCATCGTCTGTGGGATGTAGCTTACTCTATACCATGGGTAGGCAAACTAAGGGCCAGGGGCTGGATGTGGCCCAACTGCCTTCTCAATCTGGTCCGCGGACGGTCCGGGAATCAGTGTGTTTTTACATGAGTAGAATGTGCCCTTTTATTTAATATGCATCTCTGGGGTATTTGTGGGGCATAGGAATTTGTTCATTCCCCCCCCAAAAAAATATAGTCCGGCCCCCCACAAGGTCTGAGGGACAGTGGACCGGCTCCTTGCTGAAAAGGTTTGCTGACCCTTGCTCTATACAAGCAGGAAATGAAGATCAGAATGAGGTGGTAGAGTTATGGCAGAGTGAACTTTCCCACTTCCCACGGTAGATAATGCCATCTTTTAGTGTTCTGCCGTACAAATCAAGCAATTCCCTGCAAGTAGAAAACCAGCACAGCATGAGGTGATATGGATCAAACAAACAAACAAACAAACTCCTCCTTTATGTGCTAGTTGTTTACACGGGGGAGCATTCAAAAATGTAATCCTGCACCTATAGCCCAATCCCCTATTGCAGCATTTTGTTGCCTCATTCCACTTGCATGTATAGGCCAACTTCAGCTGGAGTATTCAGGCCCATGTGGGAGTCACGTTGCATCTACTGTGTGTCTGCTGCCCCTGAAAAATTAAACTGCCAGGAATAATTTGGGTAAGACACACAAGACTCTGGCAATATGTAACAGCCCCCTATGAATTTATTTATGCATTTTTAAAAAGCTCTGACATCACTCACATATACAGTGGTACCTCGGGGTTAAGTACTGAATTTGTTCCGGAGGTCCGTTCTTAACCTGAAACTGTTCTTAACCTGAAGCACCACTTTAGCTAATGGGGCCTCCTGCTGCTGCCGCGCCGCCAGAGCATGATTTCTGTTCTCATCCTGAAGCAAAGTTCTTAACCCAAGGTACTACTTTCGGGTTAGCAGAGTCTGTAACCTGAAGCATATATAACCCGAGGTACCACTGTACATCTTCCACTGTATGCTAAAATGTTGGCCTTGCCATTCCCTTTAAAAAAATTCAAATATAATGTATATTGGCACTGTATCAAAACATAAAGCACACACAAATTCGGTTCTCAATTTTTATTACTCAAAAAAGTAAACAAAGCTGCAATATACTGAGGACATTCCATACAAGAATATACTCAAAGTTTTGCTAGAGCATTTAACAAATTGGCTGAACTGGACGGCATGTTACTATACACACTTGTATTAGTGAAATGTGTGCTTAGGTATTGAAACACATATGTCTTTTTTAAAAAAAATAAAAGAAGTATGTTGCAGGTACACATATTTCTTTATGGTGTACTGAATAATTATAAGAATTCAATACACCAGTTTAGTTTCAGAGTGACCAGAACACATTTAGGATCTGGAGTGGGGAGGAGTGCCACAGGTTAAGATAATAAATATATGGATTACATCAGTTAGTTAAAAAAATATCAAGTTTAAAAATAAGTAGATCATCACATTACTGACCACGTATTTTCTGCATTTTAATTCTTAAAATTTCTTCAATACTGCTACAAAAAAACTACCCACAATTGTCCTGTAATATAATTTATGACTAGTAACACTGATTAGGTCTGAAACATTCCCAATGTAATAGAGAATGTACAGCATCGGAGAAAGCTCACATCTTAAATGAATCCTCTATTATGTAAATGTTTAGCAAACGAAAAACAAAACACACACATTTTTTAAAGTAAACATTTTAAAAAAGAAGAGAGCAAAATCACAGGGGTTCCTTTTCTCCAACAGTCAACTGTCAAAAATCAGGCATGACCCACACTTGATTTAAGATCATACCATCACAAAGTACAGATGAACAGGGAGAAAAAAATGTAACAAACACCTAAATTTTCCTCTCTTTGGAGTTATCAAAATATTTATAAAATTCTTGAAATATATAGAGAGATAATATGAAAAAAGTTGGCAACATTTTTTTAAAAAGTTAAGACACAACTTTTGCTTGAAGTCCATGGCTTGAAAACTAGAATGGGTTAGCGTCGCCAGGTGCAAAACAGGGCAAGGCTCCTGCACCTTGAATAGCAGCGTAGAAGAAAGAATTGTCATTGGTCCTGGCTTGCACGACAAGCTGAACCTGCTGCAGTTCTCTCTACCGCACACTGAAAGTGCAGGAGCCCTGCTCTCTTTTGTATCTGACACCCTGGAATAGATGAAATGGTTAGACTTAGCGTTTTACAGTGCAATTCTATTACATGTCTTCTCAGGAGTCCTTATGCATTCAGGGAGACTCACTCCTCCTAGGTCCACTGACTCATTGTTATTAAAGGAGTATTTATAATCCTTGCTTTTGGATCAAAGCCCTTCCAAGGCCCCTTGGCATAGCAGCCTTCACCAACCTGGTGGGCATTGTAGTCCAAAACAGTTGGAGGGTGCCAGGCTGGCAAAGGCCAGCATATATATAAAGGCCAGCAACAATAGCAGCCTTTCTAGACAGACGGCCAGTTCTTAGGGAGGCATTAGATTGCTTTTGTTTGCTAGGGTTTTCTTTATTTGCACAGACCATAGCAAATGAAGAGGGAGATCTTTATTCAGCAGTCAAAGCTCTTGGTAATCTAATCAGAAGAGTAGGACAAAGTTTAAACAACAACAACACTTTTCTAATCAAGAAACTCAGCAGTTGGGTTTATTAATTTACAGTACAGTCCTACAGAAGTAAGCCCCACCAAGTTCAGTGGGGCTTGTTCCCAGGTAAGTGGCTACAGGGCTTTAGATGTTAGATTCTGAAGTGGACCTGACAGTAATTGCTTCTTGAACATCAGCTGAATAGCATTCGGAGATAGCCAACTCTTAAATGCTTGAAAATCCAGCCGAAATTGAAAGTGCTCTTTTTTCAAATGAGAAATGCTGATGTTTAGCTATTGGCTCACTTTCCTATCACTAAGAAAAGCTGCAGAAGGCAATCGAAGAATAATGCTGTTGAGAGAAATGAATACTGCTTGCAAGCGCCATCCCACCCCCACCCCCCACAGAAGTGAATTCTGCAATGTGTTTCTATCACATCAGTCACTAATGAAGTACAAATCCCACACAAGTTCCCACCCCGCCTAAAATTAATGCTGGGAAACGTAATGAGAAGTAGGGAAACGGGACATTCTTCAAACAAACTATTGAACAGGATGCGCTCTCAGGAACATTGTCCGGCTCTTATTAGGCTGTGGCAAGCGGCTGCATTTGATGGTTTCCCACCAACGGCCTCTTTACTCTACCAGCTTGAAAGAGAACCACATCCCAATGGCCAGGAATAATAACAAAAAAAGGGGGGGAGGGGATACTTTATTTTATAATCAATAGGAGACAAGAAAAGTGCAACCTTCTCCCTTTTGAGGTCTTCCCATTCCCCGCCCCCCCATAATACCTTTCTAAGTTTGCATCTAGGATTTTGAAACTACTGTATTTTTCGCTCTATAAGACGCACCAGACCACAAGACGCACCTAGTTTTTGGAGGAGGAAAGCAAGAAAAAAAATATTCTGAATCTCAGAAGCCAGAACAGCAAGAGGGATCGCTGCGCAGTGAAAGCAGCAATCCCTCTTGCTGTTCTGGCTTCTGTGATAGCTGCGCAGCCTGCATTCGCTCCATAAGACGCACACACATTTCCCCTTACTTTTTAGGAGGGAAAAAGTGAGTCTTATAGAGCAAAAAATACGGTATTTGATTATCTCCTTGATGCTTCTTTTAAAGGAAAAATGTTGTAAACACTGGAGATTGCACAAGCAGCTGTACAATATTATTTCCAGAGGAAAATATCAGAACGCTCCAAGCTTGCAGCAACCAAGCAAAATATGAGAGACAATACTCGAGACAAGCCTGACATTTCACGGTTGAAGGAGAACTATGGCAGACTTCGTGCAATCTTGACCAAAAGCTGCTCTCTCTAAACTGCAATTGCCTGTTCAAAGTGATGGGTTTCCATTCTCAGATTTACAGCTCCTCTCTCCCCCACTACCCTAGGCTGTTTACTGGTCTGTATCAGATCATGTTAAAGCTTTTACATCAGTGCATTTCAAATTTCTTAGCTGCAGAGATTCCTTCTTACAGCAACTGATCTGCAAAGGAGCCCCTGCACATCTGTCTGGAGCCCCTGCCTATTGATGAGGAGGCTGGGAAGTGTTCTAGGGCAGACACAGGCAAGGCTATGCTAGGCCTGCTGGGTTTCACCACAGCCTGTCTGAACTGAGAGTAGAGCTTAGTCTACATTTGTGGTCCTTGTCTGTGCACTGTACTGGAAGTCTGGGTAGTGATGCCCAAGCAGTCTCTCAGGGATGCTTCTCTACCATTTGTTGTTGTTGTTTAGTTGTTTAGTAATGTGTGACTCTTCATGACCCCATGGACCAGAGCACGCCAGGCACTCCTGTCTTCCACTGCCTCCTGCAGCTTGGTCAAACTTATGTTCGTAGCCTCAAGAACACTGTCTAACCATCTCGTCTTCTGTCGTCCCCTTCTCCTTGTGCCCTCCATCTTTCCCAACATCAGAGGAACTGCAGATAAACATTCCTGGATTTCCTAAGATCAGTCTGAAGACCATCACATTACAGGCAACTCCCCACTTATGCAGGCATTACGTTCAAAGGCACTGCACACAGAAGTGAAATCGCATATATTGGGAACACCGTTGAAAAAGCCTGCAAACACCACAACTGCTCCCTCCAGACTTCCTTGCTCAAACTCCCAACTCTCCACAGCCCTTAAAGGTCGGTGCAAGGGCTCCTGGGATTGTACTTGCAAAGGCCTGTGGGATTGCTTGACACCGTTTTCGTGCTGTATTTGCAATTTTCATATTCTTTTAGGGCCGTTTTTGCCTCTTTTCATGCCACTTCCAGGTTCGCAGCTATGCATGCATGCGTTGTTGCGCAAGCCTCGAATGCACGTAAATGGGGAGTTGCCTGTATATGAAAATAAATTTGGAAGGTCTGCCTTCAGCCTTTTGGTATGTCAGTTTGCATTTCTTAGTGCAGAAAGTATTGATCTGATGTGCAGAGATCTTTCCTATTCTAATTAATTCCATAGGGTTCTGGAAGCTTCTCTGTGTGAAAGAAGCAAGCGGAAGGTTCATGATGTTTGGGTTATTCTTCCAGAGAAGCTGAGTCCTCTCCCTACCAGAAGTTAGTGCAGTGGCTCCACCCCACCAGGCAAGCCACTTCTGTGTAGGAAGGAGCTGCAACTCACATGTGTTGCAGGCAGCACAGAAAGGCTGGCTCTGAAATGAAAAGAACTGCTGAGATCCAATTCTTCTCCCTGTACGTGCAAAGTGGCATTACTGTATGGACGGCATCGTATGGCAAAGAAGAAAAGCAATCTTGGGATAAATAGCCCCATTTTAGAACACTCTGCAGGCCCAGGATTATGGGCGTGGCAACCATGTGATTGTGACTCAGAACAAACTCTGCAGTGGGGGAAAAATCAGTTATGTAAAACCACCCTTAAACATGATTTAGGTTTGGACAGTGACATGATTACTGTGAACGCAGCCCCCTAAGACTGTATGAGCTTTAGGAAAGAGCAAGTGGTTTTTCTTGACTTGAAGTCACAATGATGAAAATGCATAGGATCAGCAGCTGGAAGCCCTAGGACAAAATCTGGCCCCCGGAGGGGTCTGCAGAGCCTTTTGTGGCCCTGGTTTAACCATGCTAAAACATTTGTTTTGAAGGTTCCCCCCTCTGTGAAATAGCACCCACCTGAGCAGCCCTCCAGACATCAGTGCGAGTGTAGCAAACACACAGGTCTTGCCTTGTTAGCCAGGAGTGTAGCAAATAACATAGGTGTTGCTTTGGGAAATAACCGTAGCCCAGCGGTGGAGCAACTGCTTTCCATACAGCAGGTCCCAGGTTCAATCCCCAGCATCTCCAGGCATGGTTGCGAATGCCCCGCTTACTGAAATCCCAGAGCGCTGCTGCCAGGCAAAGTGGACAATATTGGATGGACCAACGGCCTGACTCTGTATAAGGCGGCTTCCTAGGCTCCTATACCTATGCTCAGTGGCATCCTTGTAGGCGCTGATCTTGAAGACGCAACCTGCAATCTCCTTAAGTTTGCATCACAACAGTTCAAAAATGTGGAGGCCTTCGCAATGTAAGAGCAATTCAGGGCCATGAATGGGATCAGATGCCAGAGCCAATGCAAAAACATGGTATCCCATTCACAAATCAACAAAGCCTTTTTACTAAGGGAACAGCACCAACTGAATTCAGGCTTTGCATGAGACGCAACCTGCTGACCTCACACACCACAGCCCAGATCTCAGACTTTTGTGCTACCCTGTTCCCAGTCTCTATTGTTGGCTGCAGGACGATCTGCTTCCAACAACTAGAATAATAATAAGACTTTATTAATCCTTTCAAAATGGTCCTGAAAATGATTCATGTAATTGCAGGTGTAGCAGCAGCATATTTTTGAGGGGCGCTTACTTGACTGGAGATCTTCCATTCAAGGACAGCACTTTACTATTCAGTACTGCATGAGCTCAAGGCGTGCCAGAAACAAGAACTCCTGTGTCTTTGGTGATCAATAGGAGGGCATTGGGTTGCTTCTCTGCTTAGGCCTGCAAGAACGGCTTTGCTCTCTGAAGTCCTTCTTTCAGGAACTGGAGGTAAGTTGCTGTTGAGGGATCTTCAAAACTGGCAGAGAAACTAAAGATGCTGCTCTCAGCTTCTTCGGGCTTCATAGAAGTAATATCCAGGAAGTAGTTGGCATTGATGTGGTGGACCTGGGAAATGGGAGGATGTGTTTAGGAAAAGACCATTCAATCCCTACGTTAGTTTTCTTTTCTCCCAGAAGTCATTGCAGGTGGATGGAGGTTGAAGCCCATTTGCCTTGCCCTCCCAAGGAGCAGGATGCACTGCATTGTTTAAATCTAGCACCTGCTGCTTCAAGGCAAAGGTGGCTGATGCCCTTCAATTTTAAACAGAGGTGGCTGCTGCTGAGGGTGATGAAAAGAGGCCTCCACCTCCTCCTCTTTGGGAGCCACAGGGCAAGGTAAGCCAGCCAGTCCCCAGGCCCCACTTGCCTGTAGTGGCTACTGATAAAGTCTGCTCCCTTCCCTGGCTTTCAAAAATGGAGACAGTGGAAATACATGTATTCCTTTCTCAAATCAACCCCTGATAAAATAAATGGTTTAAGAGGGCAAAAAGTGAACCAGAAATGTGTGCCTGTACAATTTGGCAGAGAGCTTTCTCGGTGGTGGTGCCCACCCTGTGGAACGCCCTCCCATTAGATGTGAAGGAAACAAACTATCTGACTTTTAGAAGACATCTGAAGGCAGCCCTGTTTAGGGAAGTTTTTAATGTTTGAAGTTCTATTCTGTTTTTAATGTTCTATTGAAAGCCGCCCAGAGTGGCTGGGGAAACCAAGCCAGATGGGTGGGGTAGAAATATAATAATAATAACAATACTAATAATACTAATACTACTACTACTACTACTACTAATAATAATAATAATTAGATGGGAGGTGAAATGTGGAATGTGAAAGATTCTTCAGGGATCCAGGAAAATGCAGAGAAGTGGCCTGAGCAGAGTATGGTTTTAGTAAAACAACTTTTATCAGTAAGTGAGGCCTACCAGAATCTTTCATGGCTGCCTAACCAGGTCTGGCTTCTCTGTGTGTAAAGACAGAGAGAAGGAGAGGGAGAGAGCATCTAGCTCCCAAGTAAAGAACTGCTCTGGATATGGGTATTCTAAAAGTTATTTAAAAACATGAAGTGGCCTACTAAACATGAAGCACAGAACTCTCTCCTAAACCTTCATTCAGTCTTATCTCCTCCCCCAAGGTAACATTCTACCAAGTTCTTCAATACCATTTGGTACCCACGGAAATATTCTGTGTCTATTAATAAGCACGCTTTGTGAACCTACCGACTTTTTGTGGACCTTGTTTCCTGAGCTTTTGGAAAGGACAAGAAAAAGTCAATCACTACAAAATGCCCTGACAGCTTCAATCTGTAACTGCCTTGCTTAGCACAAGTACTTTGTATTGCTCCAAAATGAAACTGTTTTTCAGCTCTTGAGAGGCAGCTGTTAGATGCTCAGCTGCTGCTGCTGCTGCTGCAAGCATATCAGAGGGAGACAACTGCCATCCCCAGCAGACACCACAAATTCATAAAAGAAGGAATTAGCAAAGGGAAAATGGGAGCCAGAGCCCTACCACAGTGCCATTGGGCAGACAGATCATTATCTCCACGGGGAAGTTATACTTTTCGAGGTGCAGGTCTGCGAGTTTGCTGTTGACCTCGTTCTCTCTCTTAGCCTGTGGAAAACAAATCCGTGTCTTAAACTGCTTTCAGTTATAAAAAGCACCCACTTAGTCCAAATTTGACAGCTCTAGTTTCTTCGGATGTCTGGAATAGGCGCTAGTGAGGTTGCTTGTGGGGTTTTGATGCACCCATTCTTGACCTGCCACCACCACCTTGTATTGACAAGCCAGCACCATCCATTGGCACTAAGCTGGTGCAGCTGAATGCTTACCTGTAATTCCTCCAGCTCCTTGACCAGAGACCAGGTGCTGATGAAACTCTCATTCAGGAAGGCGAGGATGGGCGAACTTTCCAGGACTGTTTCCCGGAGAGTTCGCCCTGAACCTGCTCAGAGACAGAAAGAAAAAGGACACTTGCTTGTGGGGCAGGGGGCGGGGAACCCAACAATACATATTATTATTATATTTTTGTATAACGTATATGTTTATATCTTTTTAATATTTCATATTATGTGAGAAAGGAATACTACTACTACTACTACTAATGGCCCTAATATGGATTTGGATTTTTTTACATGTCCTTTAAAAACAAACTGTGATGAGAAATGCCCCTCTTACCTCAGCATGACTGATCATCCAGTGCTCCCCACAACAGTATGGAGTGCACCAGTTTACTCTCAGATTTTGCTCTCTCAAAAGCTTCAGTAAAGGGAAGGTAGGAAACCTGAGACCAAAAGAAGCAACAGAAAAAGTTGAGAACATGAGGGACAGAGTGCTTGGTCCGTCCCTCACCAACCTGCTTGCTTGTTTACATTCAATTCCATACACACACACACACTCGCACATTAACATTTACCAAAATGCAAACCATACATTTAACATTGATTTCCCTCCCTGCCCCTTCCATGGATGGTTTTGGTTACCCTTTAGCGCTGCATATTCTAGTTATTCTGTATTCTCTCTTTCTCAGTTTTATCTCACTTTACTTTATACTGCTGAATTTACTCTTAATCTTTCTAACGCCTTAATTTTCTTACAATAATTTTTCAAATATTCTACAAATCTTTTCCCATCTTCCTTGAAAGTTCTTTCTTCCTGGTCTCTTATTCTACTAGTTAAACTAGCCATTTCTGAATGCCCCCATCAGTTTCACCTGCCATTCCTCCTTTGTTGGTATTGTACCCTCCTTCCATTTCTGAGCATTGTACCATTTGTACATGAAAAGATTTTTCTGGTCTCTAGCTACATCTGAGCCAATTCCTTCTTGCCTATGGCTACTAGGCTAGTCCTTAAATACTAAGCTTTATAGCCTATGACGACACTTTTTTTTAAAGTGAGAGATGGGTTAATTACAATCCTTAAAAGTCGCACAACAGGTCAAACAGATGAGCCCCTTTAAGGAAACCCAGGCTTCTTAAGGAAACAGCTAACCATAAACAATCCCTTCAAACTGCACATTTTTTCACAAGCTGCTTTTACTATACTCTGCCCCCCCTCAAACCCCCCCCCCCACATTTTTCAGCTGATTAATTAGATGTGGAAGGGTAGTTCTGGTTGCTGGATGAATGAGAATAGCATTCAACAGCTCATGCTATAAATTTGCTCTTTGTTTCAACTCCCACAAGCCACACATGTCTTGTGTTTCTTGCTGATAAGATAAGTACAGTACTAAGCCTGCTGGCTGTCCTGCTCTGCTTGCAGCAGAAAAATGCCCTCCAAGACACCTCCATCACTTTCATCTTTTTAAAATGGCACCAGGGACTTAAGATAACAGGAAGGATGAACAATGCAGCACTTAAGGTCCTGCCTGTGCCCTGTGAAACCTGGTTCCGGTCAGAATATTCCTCTGTGGTCTCTGCCAACATTTGCATTCATCCATCAAAAGAATGTACTGTACAGTCATTTAAAAGACCCCAGAGTCTTGGATAGAACTGCTGTGATGCTGTGTTAGCAGACATCAGTAACTGCAGAGCCTGGTCACTTTCACAACCACCAAATCAGGCTGGGAAGGCTCTCTGCATTTAGCCCTTCCATACATGAGTGCTGGCAGAATAACTTAATCACGTTTAAGGGGATGCAAGGTAGGCTCTTTCCATACTTTCTTAAATGGATACATGGCAACTTCCAGTTTGCCGGCAGCCTCTTCCCAGCTTATTTCTCGCTGCCAGGTGATCTCTTCAAATATGAACTGAATTGGTTCTCCTTCTGAGTCTCTGCTGTCAATCACGTTTCCGTTTTCGTCGTGAATCACGGAAGGGACCGAGGGCCCCAACGACTCCAGTTCCATCTGCAAGACAGAAGGCACTTAACTCTCAGTGAACACACACTGGTCTCTAGAAAACAGACAGTGCTATAGAGATTTCATGTGCAGGGATGTGGAATGCAGCCTAGAGCCACAGTGAGTAGACATTGGGTTTGTGGGATCTACTTCACATTTTTCTTTTTACTAGATTCCCTGAGGTGCAACTGAGCCATGTGCCAAATAAATATGATTGGAATTACAGAATTCTGAGCCCAGAATTTGTTTTCTGTTCAAAAAATCCACTTCTGCTTACCAGTTTTTCTCCCACTTCAGCTGTTTAACGGGGGTGAGGATTGCCATTGTTAAATAATTTGGGGTCAGAAATCATTGCCAATCTACTTCAAATCACTTAAAGATCTACCAGCAGATCCTAAGCTACTGACCCATTCCTAAAAGGCTAGAAGATAGGTTGCAACCATCTAGCTATTTGCTACTTATTTATTCAGCTTCTAAGCCACTTTTCATCACTGTGATCCCAGGGTAGTCTACAATGTAAACTTCAAAGCACTGTAATATTTAAAAACGAACCATTACCAACCACTATCAATAGCCACTCCTTCTACTCAACAAAATGTACTGCAAAAACCAAGGAGACATTGAAACTTTTCGCTTTATACTCCTTTGAATATAAAGAACAATGCAAATCAGGCATGCAAATGTATAAGATGGAATCGGTCAGTACTGTAAATACAGCGGCACAGACAGTCCAAATGCGATTCTCGCTACTGACCTGAGGCAAGTATCCAATATCTACTTCCATGTTGCTGCTCTCCAAGGCACCATAGAGCCACTCCATGTCTACATTGAGAGACCTGGTGAGAAAAAGCCAGAAAAAGTCACGTGCAGGATATCCACATGTGCTGAAACAATGTTTATTAATTTTATCAAAATATATTTTATCTTGCTCTTCAGTCTGGAAACCTTCAGGTAGGTTACAATGAATTAACACAATTTGAAAGCAACGATTAAAAAACAATGAATGAAGAACCCAAACACCAGACCTCCTAAGGAAGCAGCATGGAATCAATTTAGTTAGCTAAATGCCTGCTGAAATAGCCATCTACCTTAGATGGTTATTTTTTAAAGAAATACCTGTGCACCCTGATGGAAGGCAGAAGTAGAGAAGCAAGGAGAACATACCATCAGCTTCTGAAGGACTATCACTGGCCTGAGACAATGTTGGGGGCAGTCCAGGGATGGGGAACTTGTGACCTTCCAGATCTTGTTGGGACTCCCAATTCCCACTGGCCCCAGCTAGCATGGGCAATGGCCAGGGATGATGGGAACTGTAGTCCAAAAACAAATGGATGACCATAGGTGCCTCCTCCCTGATGTAGCCCCTCTCCGCTTTCTTTGTAGCTACTCTAGACCTGTGTGTGCCCTGGAGGAAGGTAGAAGCAAGGAAGCCTAAGCCAGGGACCTCACGCCACCAGTTCTTGAAGGGAACATTGGTTGATCTGTTGGCCTAAATTCTATATCATTTGTTTGTATTAGTATTTTAAAACTTTAATCGTAAATCACCTTGGGAGAAAAGCGGTATGTAGGTATATGAAATAAATTAACTGCCAGTAGCAGTATCCAATGCTAGTCCTACTCAGAGAAGACCCATTGAACTTAATGGACATGAATAACTTAGCTGAATGCAACTCCATGCCTTTGCTCCTTGCAAAGAGGCCAGCAGTGATAAGGCCAGGTGTGCGTCTCTCAGGAGAGCATTCTGCTCACCCAGCAAACCTTAGCTGCCCTGGAGACACAGAGCAGGGCCTCTGGTGCTGACATAAGTGCATGTGCAGGTTCACTGGGGAAAGAGGAAGCGCCTGGTCTCACTGGTACAGCATCTGTCTGGTACAGCAGAAAGTCCCAGGTTTGACCCTCAGCATCTTCAAGTAGGGCTGAGGGTGACTGCTGCCTGAAACTGGAGAGCCACTGCCAGTCAATATCGACACTACTTAGCGAGGTGGACCAAATGTCTGACTCAGCGTAAGGTGAAGTCTTATGTTGCTGTCTTATGTTCTTAAAGAGACAACCCTTCAGCTTTAAATCTATTAAGAATTGAAGCATAAGGCAAGCTGATCTTGTTCTACAAATGAACAACTTCCAAAACACTTATTACGAAAATCTCAGAAGCTGGACTTAAAATAGAATAATTCAAAATAATCAAATGTGTGGAGCTTGCATGTTCAAGTTAAGGCCATTTGTGTGTTTGTCTCTAATCAGAAGATGTTGGAAGTGAGGCAACCCTCACCTGTTGTTAGGAACAAACAGCTTGAATTCTCGAACGTGGGAGGAATCCTTGGAGAGGACGACGTAGCCTGTGAACTGAGCAGGGGAAAACCAGAACGGGAAATCGGGAGGCTCATTTAGCTGGAACTCTGCATGAATCCTGGAAGAAAATAAGAGAGAATGTCACCAAGCAATTAGGTGTCCTGAGGAAGGTTAAGAAGCCAAGAATAGGCCCAGCTGCTATGTGGCTAATTTTGTTCGCCATTGAATGAGAGGCCTAGGCTGGGGGCAAAAGCATGGGACGATATCCTAGAGTCCCACACAACTCTCGCCCATAAAGGACGCTTTCTCTTCCACCAACATCTGTACATACAGTAGAACTACCTGTATTTACCATATTTGCAGTTCTGCAACAGATTTCTGTATGGGAAGTATGCTGGGCAGCGGCTCTATCTTTTGTTGGAAGCACTCTAGGCCTTCCTCCTAAGATGGAGCCATCACTATGGTTTGAAGTCTAATTTATCTTTGTAGTGTTCTTGCATCAATATATGAAACTCTGCATCTCACTGGTCGCTTGGATCACACGGGGGCTTCCCATGCCAACGTCAAGCGGCTCCCACAGAGGACACTGCTGATGTGGGGAGTACCCACATGGTCCATGCAACTCCTATGATATTGCTTAATGGCAGCTATAGCACGTCACTGTGAGTAAGCTCTAAACCATGGCTTACTGTGCATGATTGAATATTCTGCTTCACTCCTCCCCATGCTAGGGAGAAATAGCCCATGATTCCTGGGATTTGCACTACAAATAAACCATGTCAATAAGCTAGTCCTTGTGGTGTGTTGGAGTGAAACAACCCATGAACCCTGGTTTGGACAGGGAACATGGGTTTGTTTCTCCCAGCACAAGCAAGGAGGAGTGAAGCAAGCCAGTATCTATGCAGAGGGAAGCAGATGTATAAATGTGGCCCATATCAATGCAAGGAAAGCTGATCAAGGAAGAACAACAATTCATGTATTTATGAGCATTTGTACCCTGGCCAAAAAGACTCCCAGAGTGGCTTACATGCAGTCAGTTAAACAAAGCAGTCCCTGCCTGCAGGCTCACAGCATAGAAGAAACGGCAGAAAAGGAAAATGGGGCAGGGGAAATGGCAAAGGTTACGCAAAGGTAACATTTACTCAATCCGTCTAACTGCAAGCGCCCTCCCCTTAAGCAATTTTACCTGAAGGCTATTTATAGTAGAACTCGGCAACAGCTTGGATGCAGGCCACGGCTCCTTGAGGGGCAAACCGAGTTTTCACAAACGGCCGGGGGTGGAACATACTCAAGAGTTTGTGGATGATGACCTATGTTGCGGGGGAAAGTACAGGGGATTACAGCAGGTTGCAGCCAGTGAACCTAAGACCCCAAAACTACTCCCCTTCAAGGCCATGTTCAATAACCACACCTGACTAAGAAAGGTCATCTTCTCTGTTTTCTTAGCCTCTTTCAACCGTTTATAGCCTCCAGCATTCTGAATATTGCTGTTAGTGAGCTTTAACATGCCATACTCCATCTTTCAACAACACGGCAGCCAAGGACTGGAAACGGATCTGCTTGTTTTCACTGTTCTGTATTGTTCAGATGCCACTGAACTCAAAATATCACATGCAAGGAAGATCCCTTCACCAATTCCTCTCAAGCCATGTGCTAGAATTGAGTGAACCACCCTGCGCATCTGGGGTGCTCCCAAAAGGGAGTCTACTGCGGAATCAGCGCTGCTCACATTTTTCAGTGTCTGCATGATGCTGTTATCCAAATGCCAGCAAGCACTAATATGAGCGCCCAAGAAGTAGAGGCTGTTATCAGAATCCACGTCCTCAAGCATCAAACTAGGGACAAAGCAGTTCTGTTAAGTCGATCAGTGCACAGGTGACACTTAACTTATGCTGGGGTTACATTCTGGAGACAGTGCGTAAAGCCAAAATCGCATATAATCAAAGCACATTGGATTCAATGGCAGGTGGGATTGCCAAAGTCAGCCGCCTGCCCCCTTTCCACCCCACTTTTTTTTGGCCAAGCACCTAAAACTGAATGTGCACAATGTGTGAAAGTTGAGAGTTACCTGTATGTAAGTATATCTACTTTGAATATAGTAATGGGCTCTCTTACTAGTTTGTGTCTTCACCATAGCTGAGTGGTGTCCCACTTTTTACCATGCTATCTTATAGCTGCAGACGGCTTTTGGCCAAGCAATAAAGATTTAGATGGGATTGCAAGGAGGCCGTCTATGAAGCACTCTGAATACTCAGAACATGATCCATCGTTACTACTCCCTAGCCTTCCAGTTGATGGCCATGATGAGCACTTTGCCTACCTCTTTCCCCTTGGGGGCCGGAGGGTAGAAACGGTTGTTGGGAAGGTACCCAGTAAAGATGTTCAGCTCACTGGGAATCACCCACCAAGGATCAGCAAGTTCCAGTTTATTCTTTGGTGGAAGGAAGGCCTTGAATTGCTGGGCAAACATCAAGCTCAGAGGGGAAGCCGGAGCCGTCCAGTTGCGAAGCCCAGAAAGCGCAATGTGAGAAATCTGCAGAGCCAGAGAGACACGTTAGGAAGCAGCCCTGTGAAGCCTCTTCCACTTTAGGAGGCTGACGGATCACAAGACATTCAGATACTACACTGTTACTCCATACTTAAGCTCTCTTAATCACGGTTTGGTGCAATGCCTGAACAAAGCTATTACTAGAAGGAAAGACTGCCTAGCACTTTATTTTGCATTCCCAGTTACAGCAATATAATTGGAGCAAACGAAAAACAAGCACACATGCTGATGGTTAAAACTGGACCAGCCTTCGTATCAATCCACTAATGCTTCTAGTTGATTGATCGACTGATTAAGACTTGCAGCGCTAATTAAATGTGATACTCACTCCAAGGAAACCGTCTTTGCTCTTTGTCATTGTGTCCATAAGCAAGGGCTGGAATTTTGCAATGATAGAAAGAGTCTCCCCATTGGGATCCAATATCTCTTCTTCCTCAATCCCAGTTACTGGAGCAATGCCTGCAAACAGATCAAGGGTTACAAGATTTATGTATACATTTCATTAACATAGGACCCAGCTACATTGGCAAAGAAAAAGCGCTTTATATGTGTTGTATGTGCATTATAACGCTGTGGCACCAGATGGCGCTGTGGAGTTCTGTTTTTGCTAACCCGATTTCTCATACAAAGTTTACAACATGTTTGAATGAAATGCTTCTTCGATGTGTCTAGATCCATCCATAGTGTTATTATTAACATAATGTTATCGGTGACCTACTAATCCAATTGAAGAAGTAACCATCCAAATTACATTAAGAAAAAAACACCCTGTCACAGTGAATCTATTATAGTTCCTATTGCATTGAAAACTGCAAGTTCCACTATTTAAATTACTGAAAGAAAATACTATTTCGCCCCAATGCATATAACAGTTTTCATGTGGATTATTATACTGCAGCTTGTGACTTAAAATCATTAAGTATTCTTAATATTAATGATTGCTTATAAAACTACAGCATAAAAAATAAATAAATCTATTCATTCGTATGCATGCCACTGCTATGAAAATACAATTACTATATTAATTAAATAGATACGCAAATAAGAAAAAGCTATACAAAAATTTTGCTCAACTTTTAATAACCCAGTATTACTTTAAACCTGGCACTGGCTTACCTGTGAGATCTCCTTATCCCTTATATGCCCATTTGGCTACTTCAATTTTCAGAACTGGCACTGCTGCAGGTGCTGTATAATACTCTTTTCTCATTTGTAAGAAATCGATATTTCATTGTGGCAGAACCTACACTTTGGAACTCCCTGTCTAATGATATCAGGCTGGTCATCTTCACTTTACTCTTTTAGGCCCCTGCTAAAAACATTTCTGTTTAGAGGAGCCTATTCAGGTATCTAAAATGCTGATGAGTTTCTTAGTTTATTGCAAGTCTCAAATTTCTAAGCGTTTTCAGCAACTGTTGTACAGTAATTGTTTTTACTAGCAATTTTATTGCTTTATTCTTTCTGTATACTTCTTTGAGGTTTTTTATTTTTATAATCAAAACAGTATATAAATTTTATGAAATAAATTAAATAAATTAAACCAAGAGTCTTCCATATATAGTCAAACTTTCAGCGCATTTAAGTCTGCATATCCCTACCAGTCTGTATGCCTCCTGCACTGTTTTCATTTCACTGTGATATGTACCAGCTTGGTTTTTCTACAACTCTATAATAATAGCAATAAGAAGAATTTATTATAATAATTATTATTATTACAGCACCCTTTATGACCATGCAAATTGGAATGAAGCATTCCGGAAAGAAATGGGCTCAATAAAAATATAATTTTACTTCCTCTGTCTCTTATCCCAGCTCTACGCATTCAGATATACTCTTGGTCCTGCAGAAAGCTGTAATTTCCCCTGCACTGCCTTTTCTGTGCTATCCCCAATGGAGTCAGATAGCAAACACCGAGAAGCTCTGCCTGAGAAGCTGAATTCATGTATGCATCTACTTGTAAAGCACAAAAAATTGTAGGCATTGTACAACAACTGGAAACCACACAGGCCCTGCTAAAAGGTAAATAAAAGACACTTTAGGGAGGAAAGAAAGGAAAGTAAAAGTAAAATACAGTGGTACCTTGGGTTAAGAACTTAATTCGTTCTGGAGGTCTGTTCTTAACCTGAAACAATTCTAGCTCTCAGGACTATCCAATGAAGCCAGATGCCGGAAGGTTCAGGACAGACAAACACAGCGCTTCCTTAAACTGTGGAATTTTCTTCCCTGAGATGCACTGATGGGGGCCATCTGCTTGGATGACTTCAAAAGAGAATCAGTCAAATTCACAGAGGGTAATGCGAATGGCTACTAGCCACAACGGCTACAAACTACCTCCTCTGTATGCCTTCTGTTGAGGCTCACAAGGGGGAGAGTTGCAGATACATTCAGGTCCTGCTGGAGGGCGTCCCATGGAGATACCTGGTTGGCCACTGTGAGAACAGGATGCTGGACTAGGTGGGCCATTGGCCCCACCCAGCAGGGTCCTCCTTATGTTCCTATGAAGGAGAATCAACTGGCGGAAACCAGGGTGAATAGTTGTCAAGACAGGTCAATGGAAGGGACTTGCTTTCTTTGCCTCTCACCCAGATGGTGGTAGCAGCTGTCTGGAGTCCAAGAGGGAAGGGACTGGATGGCAGCTACGCTAGGCAGAACAATATAAACAGCTATATTCTCCCCCTGCCCCTGCTGCACTCTAGAACGACTGGCCATTGAAAGACTGTGAGAGGATGGGTTTTTCTGTGTTACATGATGATAGAGACATATTGAAGACATAGGCTGATGTGGGTTCGTGGTGGTTGCACCAATGCTCGCCTGCATGCCTAGTTTGCAAGACAATGCAACCCACATGTCTTCATAAAGGCATCATGCTTTCACTTCACAACAAGCACAACTAAACGCAAACATGCTCAGTCCACATTCTTACTACTAAGGTGTATCGTTGGCCCTAAGGCTGGGAAGGATGAAGAGCAAAACGAAGCATCCAGCTGAGCAATTCTATCTCTGTGCAGCAGGGGGCACCAACAGACTGCCAGCAACTCCTTTGCATTCTGCTTTGAACAAGGCTCTTTCATTTCTTGTGCATGTTCTCAGCTTGAGTGTGCAAAAGCACACACCGTTTCTGTGAACCGCTGCCGTTCTGCTACATTCCCCAAGTGGGCATATCAAGGCTGTGACTGGCAAGGAGAGATCTGTGGGCAAGCATACAGTCTGTACTCTAATTCCAGGCAGCCACTTTTCCTACCCCACTTTGTACCTAGCGGCTAAGTTTTTCAGCCTGGGGAGGAGGCAAACAATGTGCTGCCAGTTCCTGAGGAGTTTGGCTGGGAAGAGCCTGATCTCCCAGGATGACTAAACTGGTCGCTGCTGTGTTGGGTCATGCCCACAGAGCCCCTGTTTCTGCTCTTTGTCTGACACGACAGCGCAGGGGCAGAAATGTTTGTGCTCTTGCAAGCACAATAGGCAGCCAGCTGTGAGGACTGCAGAACCCACACCGGTGTCACAATTCCCTTTATCTGCTCTGCAGATGGGCAGGAAACAAGGGCTGCCTGAATCCCACTCCCCTCTGCGCTGGCTGTGAGAGCAATCGGGCAGGCTACCCAAGCGAGCGTCATCAAGCCCACAAGTAACCAGCAGGTGGAAGCGCCGCAATTTCTGTATGCAAAAAGATCCCCGAGATTGCTTGCGTCTCGCCACCCGCCAGCTCTCTGGTCACATTACTGCAGAGCAGTATCTCTTGCATTCAGCTGCTCTGAATCCCCTTTAAGCCCCAGACAAAGCCAACGCGTGCAGTTCTGCAAGTCCGACAATAGGAACCGCAGATTTAGAAAAATTACCCTTTGTGAAAGAGGCGTCTGGTGCATAAGCCTTTCGAAAAACACAGAAAGCTTAGCAGCCTTTCATTGTGTAAATCAGTCTAGGGCTTGAGCAAAGAGAATTAAGGCAAGAGCAGTTGTGTGCTGGGGGCAGCTAACACCCACCCCACCCACCCGCCAAGAGATCTCCAGTTTTTATATGCTTATGATGTTTGTTTTCCCAAGAAAACACCAAGAGGCAGGTCATTTGCACACCCAAGGGGGACTTCAAGATGGCACACTTTTCAAAACAGTCTCTGCAAAGACCTGAAACTCATTTGGGTCACCTGGCTGCTCTTGATGCTTAATGGAGCTGCATGGGTTGCTAGGAGGTCCCTGAGCAGCCGCCGAAGAAACATGGAATGGCTGCTGCGTTGCTATCAGCAGATGCTTTCAGGTAGTCATCGATGCTTCCTGGACATTGGGCGTCCCTTTAGATTATGCTGCTTAACAGTGCAAGCCTATGCATTTCTACTCAGAAGTTAGACGCAGCTCAGCGAGGCTTCCTCCAAGCTCAGCGTACATAGGATTGCTGCCCAAGCCATGCAAATAGCTATGGTACTCACACACAATGAAAGCAGAGCTTAGCTAAAGATACTGGTGTTTTAAAAAAATAGTTCCATTGGTTCCCAAAAAGAAAAACAAAACAACCTCCCCTTCTTAGTGACTTTTGTCATTCCTTTCCCCCCAGATGTTGACTTATTAATCTATTGTTTTCAGTGGTTTCATCAGACGGCATATCGGATAGGCTACTTAGCACTGTGACATCATCCTGTTTAAGAAAGGGTCACCGATTGGGATGGCTCCCTTATGTGACCAACATAGAAGGAACAGCAGCCAGAAGAGGAAATGGTGTTGAATGAGACTCAAGACGGGAAGACTTACCTGTGTGACATCCATGATCCCCCTGCCATGACATTTTAGCTCAAAATCAAAGGGGAAAATTGGGGACCAAGGAGGGGCTTGGGATATGGCAAGAAGAGGGGATTGGGGTAGCCCAAGCAAGATGGGACAGTTCAATCTGCCTTGGGACTATTGCAAGTTCCTCCAGGTCCTCAGCTGCAGTGGGGTTCTCTGCAGAGTCCCAAGCCTCTTCCGGGGGAAAGGTCATGGGTCAGATGGGATCCTGACATATATATATACCGTGAAAGGCACATATTTAAGGCTGACCTTTAAAATGCATGCACTTTAGTGGCATTTAGGTCCCTGGCAAAGATCCATTCCTTTTTGCCTGGGCTTTTAATGATGAGAGATTAATGAGCAATTCTGTTTTGTGCTGTCCCCTGCTGCGCAGGGTTTTATGATCCTGTGCTTGGGATTTTTCATCTATCTTATATGTTAATTGTTTTGCCTTTTTATGACACCATCGCTGTACGTGACGAGTTGCAAGCTGCCTTGGGGACCACGTAGTCATAGCACAGGTTAAGAATGTTTCTTAAAAGTAAAAATAAAATAGAATTTTACCCATGCATAACTCTTACTAAGAGAAAAGGAAATCAGCCCTGAGTGCTCACTGGAAGGACGGATCCTGAAGCTGAGGCTCCAATACTTTGGCCACCTCATGAGAAGAGAAGACTCCCTGGAAAAGACCCTGATGTTGGGAAAGATGGGGGCACAAGGAGAAGGGAACGACAGAGGACGAGATGGTTGGATAGTGTTCTCGAAGCTACGAACATGAGTTTGACCAAACTGCGGGAGGCAGTGGAAGACAGAAGTGCCTGGCGTGCTCTGGTCCATGGGGTCACGAAGAGTCGGACATGACTAAACAACAACAACAAACTCTTACTAACTGTTCATTTTCACTAGATGTTTGCTGCTCTTTTGCTGTTGGAACCACCACTGGGTGTGCCCTATCTCTGGAAGCTTCGCCCTCTTCCCCTGAGGTGCTTTGATTTCGAACCCAATTTCACCAGCACTGGGAGACCTATAACAGCAGTTCCACACCTGCATAGGGAACTAGTGGTAACAAGAGAATGAGATGGTTTCAAATGCTTTTTGCTAACCTATTGCCATCTGGCTATTTTGAACCAAAACTCCCATCAGCCCCAGCTGACACGACTGTGCCAGCTAGGGCTGATGGGCACTGTAGTCCAAAATAGCCAGAGGGGACCAGGTTAGAAAAGCCTGGTCTGGATTATCACTTCAGTTTTCCAGCTGGAAAAAAACGGCTGGAATGTCGTTGTCCTCTCCTCTGGATATCAAGCAATGAATGAGTGACAAACCCAATGCAAGAACTAGACAATCTGTGCTCAAGGGCCATGGTTTTGGTTTTGGTTTTTTGTTTTTTTTTAAAAAGCAAGATGAACATGTATTTGTCTACTCAAAAAATTAGATGCCTACCAGTTAGCTTCTCTGCAATTGGTTTGAACTCCTCAGGACTGATGTACAGGTCATTGTTCGTATCCAGGGATGCAAACAGGAAAAGACCTTCGTTTCCCAAAGATTTCAGGGCTGTCTCCTGTTTGGGAAATAAGAGAGGTGTTGATATGCACAAGTTACAATGCAAGCCTAACCATGTCTACTCATAAGCAGGTCCTGCTGAATTCAATGGATCTTACTGCCAGGTAAATGGAGTTAGGCATACAGCCTGAAATAACAATACATTTATTTACATGGCTCTGTGCAGAATTAAAATAAGAACTTCTACACCAGGGGGCGGGAGGCATATAATTTGAAACAATGAATATAAACTATACAATAAAATTAATAGTTTAGCATACATAATTCAGAAGCTATTCAAATTAAATTAATTCAATTTAAATTAAAATACCTGAGCTTAGAGAACCACAAATCTGCTCTGGCACCTGTGAAACTACCCGATATCTCTGACATGTCTTTTGGGAGGCAGGAGAATGCTTCACTGGATATATTAAGTGGGCTGAGGTTCCAAACAGAGGAGATGCAAGAGATCAGTGATCAGATCTCACAAGTTTGCTTTTAACTTTAAAGGTTGGAGGAGGGTGCCCCCCAATTTTGAACAGATGTCGTTGGACTCTAGTTCCCATCAGCCCCAGCCAGCACTGCTAAAAGTCATGGATGATGGGAGCTGGAGTCCAGAAACATCTTGAGGGTGCCACACTGGCTACTCCTGGATTACGTGGAAACAATTCAAGGACAGGCAAGAGCTGAGACTTGGTGGAGTGGTTCTGCTTCCCTTCTTTCTCTCTCTGGAGAAAAGGTCTAGATAGAGCCTTGGTTGAATCCAACAGAGACTTCCTTACATTCTTCACTGCTTAATTAGACTCTCTTTAGAGTATGGATTGGTCTCCCTGCATAGTTGGGACCCAAACTGGCACACATGAATTGCATTTGATTTTGCAAGAAGAAAAATATGAAAGTCTTTTCTTTCTTTTTCCTTAAGGAAAACCTACCTAAATAATCCACACCCCGTTTGTTAGTCATGGAGCATCCCTGCCATGGAAATCACATCAGACTCACCCGAACTGTCAGGGAATTGTCCACAGGTAGCTGGCAGACCTGCAGATATTTTTGTTTGGCTCAGCGCTGGCCAGTGAACCGTGGAGCTTGATCTGCACTCCTCTGATAGCATGGACTTATATAACCAACCCCGTGCATGAACCGTAAAGGTTACAGTCACATTTCACTTTCCGAAACGCACCAGGGAGCAGCTCCAAATCCAAATTAAGGATATGGACACACTGTGAATGCGGAAAGTGCAGTAGTTTGGGTGGATATTGAGACCACTTCAGGCTACTTGGGTTTCCAAGTGGCGCTGACAGCAGAGCGGCAATTCCTGTATGGCAATAAAACATGACTGTCTAAAGTCACAGAACTGAGGGAGTTGGGAGCAGCTGAAGCGTGTGAAGATGCATGTGAACTGAAGTAACAGTGAAGCCAGCAATCCAGGAATCCCAGTCTTACATGTTTCAGTTCTGTCAGCTAGGAAGAGGAGTACCCAGAGAGCCTTAAATTCCAGAGTAGGGGTAGGGGGAACCTTTCCCAGTTCAAGGGTTGCATTCCCTTCTGGGCAGCCTTCCAGTGGGTGGGCCAAATGCAAAAATGGGAGAAGCACTGACTGTAAAATTTTACCTTTGTTGGTTTTTATACACACACTCACACACACCATTCTCTAGCCTCCATCCAGGCAAGCAATAGGCATTACAGTGGCACCTTGGTTTGTAAGCTCTTTGGATTACAACCATGTCAAGCCCGGAAGTGCGTGTCCCTTTTTTGGATTACAGCCCATTTTTGGGGGAGGCCTCATTGACGTGCCTTGGATTACAACCTGTTTTGGTTTACAACCGGACCTCCGGAATGGATTACAGTTGTAAACCAAGGTACCACTGTATTGCAATCCAAGGACACATTCCTGCAAAGGCAAAAACACTCCAAAGGGGTGCAAAGCAGGGCTGGGGAGAGTCTTAAAGGTCAGGTGGTGAGGCCTGGAAGGTTGCATTCAGCTCCTAGCGCTGAGGTCCCCCACCCTCATTCTAGAAGGAACCCTGCAATGACGCAAGGCGAGGTGGTGCCATTAAAGGAGGTGGGTTGATTTCGCAGCTGGGCCACAATCCCTCAATTCACTGGGCCTTGTGCCCCATGTCAATGAGAGTGCGTACCTGGAAGCCGCTATTTGGAGTTTCTGCTGCAGCAAAACCTCCAAGGGCAGCCCTCCTAGCTTCTTCACTCTTTGAACAGCAAATTAAGATATGCTAAGGCAAGAAAGGCATCACCAATAAGAAGGTGCTGTTGATTGTATTTAGACTGCTGCCACTTTATTTTCAGTGAACTGCTTCGAGCACAATGCATGTGTAGGAAACCTAATATATAAATGAACTGGTTGTGACTAGAGGAACATGGTGAGCTACCATTGCAAGTCAGACAATTAACTCAGTATAGTCCATGCTGAGTAGTAGCAGCTCTCCAGAGTTTCACAGAGGAGTCTATTCAGAGATGATGGGGATTCTGCATGCTAAGCAGGTGCTCTACCACTGAGCTATGCTCCTTTGTCGTAAAATCCTGGAAAACCTCCTGCACAGGAAGGTTTGTGATTAGCCAGACCCATTGGTCCATCTTATTTCTACTGACTGGCAGAAACTCTGCAGGGTTTCTGACTGGGGCTCTTCCTGGAGATAGCGCATTTTTCGCCCCATAGGACGCGCCGCCCCATAGGACGCACCTAGGTTTTTTTTGGGGGGGAATAAAGAATTCCCCCCCCAGGCGCAGGGCTGGCGCGGGGGAAGCCCGAGCTTCCCCCGACCCCCAGAACAGGCTGCCGCCCCAAGCCTTGTGCGCCCGGAGGGACCTCCTGAAGGCCGCGCAAGGCTTGCGGACATCTGCCCAAAGCACGGGGCAGGCTCCGCAGCTCTCCCCGTGCTTCGGGCTGCAGGCTGCTGCCCGCAAGCCTTGCACGCCCGGCGAGACCTCCCGCCGGGCGCGCGAGGCTTGCGGATAGCTTCCTGAAGCCTTGAGAGCGAGAGGGGTCGGTGCACACCGACCCCTCTCGCTCTCCAGGCTTCAGCGAAAGCCTGCATTCGCCCCATAGGACGCACACACATTTCCCCTTCATTTTTGGAGCGGAAAAAGTGCGTCCTATAGGGCGAAAAATACGGTAAATCTGGGTTCTTTTGCAAAAGAAATTCTCAGAGTGGACCCACAATGGACCCATGTTAGTCATGTCTATTTATTTCAACGGGTTTACTCTGTGTAGCACTAGCATCAGATGCAACCCATGGGCTCTACCACTGAGCTTCTCAATGAGGAAGTATTTTCCATACCAAAACATTTCTTAATTCTTGAACTCAAGAAATCCAAGCTATACACTGACTTGGGCAAAGTGAAGATGATTTGCATTCCCTGAGTCAGAAAAAGTGGAGAGTTTTAAGCACTGGGAAACATTCCTTCCCAACTCACCAGAAGCCTGGTGTAACCCTATAACAGCCCATCCCAGCTTCTTAGCATTGAGCAGGACAAAATCCCTTACATTTAACATTCAGCTGGGCGGAATTCTTTCAGAAATTTCTACTGCACAATCCACATTGACAGAAATGGGAGAGGTCATGTCATGTGCTCCTAACACACGGGGAGGCTGTAAAGTATTAAATAATAGTCACAGCTAACTTTCTTGCTCCAGCTTCCATCAGCCAGATCAGGGCGAAGTTCTCATTGCATTCTTTCAAGCTAAGCTCACTCCTATTGCAGTGGCGCAAATTTTGCTTCATTTAGTCTGTTTTAAGGATATTAGAGACTCAGGCCAATCCCTTACATATAGCAAACGGGAGGGACTGCCAACACCAGCAAGCCCATTTCTAGGCTGATGAGGCACAGCCTTGGGCGGATTCATACAAGTTGCATTTCCGTTGGCTACTCTGCTCTCTTCCCTGCAGGCAAGGAGTCTTCTCCTCCCAGTGCAACGAGTCTCCTTCTCTCCGCAGTTCAAGCTGCAGTGATTCTGTGCTGCCTGTGACACCATTAGTGTTCCCACAGCTCCCAAACCCGTTTATTTTCCATCTGCCGCCTGCCAGCCTAAAAGGATGCTAATGCTGCCTGGAAGGTGCTGCTCTTGTCAATTACTGTCAGGAAAGCACTCAAGTGCCTTGTAGGGCAGATCCAGGGCTGCACCAAGCAGACAAAAAGCAAAGACAAGCTGGCAAGGGACACAAAGCCTGGATTCAGAAGAAGCTGGAAGCCCAAGCTGGAGCTGAAAGCCTAGCAGAGAGCCCAGACGCCACTAGGTACCAGGGGCGAGGACATCTCTGGCAGTGGGTCAAGGCTATTGTCAGGTGCACTTCATGGTCAGTGGTGATGTGTAGAAGTATATAAAATTATGCATCACATGGAGAAAGTGGATAGAAAGAAGGGGTTTCCCCCTCCTCTCTCTTCTAACACTAGATCTCATGGACATCCAATGTTGGAAGATTCAGGACAGACAAAAGGAAGACTTCTTCAAGCAGCCCATAGTTAAAGGATGCAATATGCTCCCACAAGGAGCAATGATGACCACCAATGTGGGTGGCTTTAAAAGATTAGACAAATTCATGGAGGAGAAGACTATCAAAGGCTCCGAGCCATGATGACTATACTCTGCCTACACAGTTGTAGGCACTGGCAGCAATACTTCTGAATACCAATGGCTGGAAAAAGCTGGAGGGTAGAGTGTTCTTGTGTCCAGGTCCCACAGGCATCTAGTTGGCCACTGTGAGAACATGATATTGGTCTAGAATGGGCTTTGACCTGATCCAGCAGGGCTCTTCTTATTGTTAGAATTCCTGCTCCATGTTTGCAGTCATAGGATTGTTGTCTTTCACATGACGGTGTATGTTTTGACTCCACAGAGTGGGAAGTGACGGAAACAGGATGTTTGTGTTACTGTGTTCCGTGAAGTGGGACTATTGTCATTTGTTTTCCCCCTCTTTGCTGTCTGATGCTAGAGAGAGAGGGAGCCATGTTGCAGTGCTCCGTGTGTGTTTATCCAGGCAACAGTGGGTGTGTGATTTTTGGGGGGCAGGCTGCTATGTGATCTGATGGTGAATTTGGGGTGGCCCAATGCAAAGATCCTCAGGATCCATGTGGATCCATGCTTTGTAACTATATTTTAAGTGGGGAGTGAAGGAAAAACACAGAAGGGACAAGAGAGCGGTGTGCAGAGAAGCAGCTGGCTAAGAAAGCAGGAGAGGGATTTAACGGGAGGTAGGAAAAAAAGGCAAAAGTTTCCACAAACCGAAGCCAGCTTTCTCTCTCCTCCTGCATGTTTTCTGGCTGCCTGCGAGGAGCACGGAGAGGAATTAAAAGGAAAGACCTCTGCTTTCCCCTCTGCTTGCCTGGAGGGGAGGGGATTTGCCTGCTCTTTGTTCCGTTTGAGCAAACACAGCAACGAAACAGAGGAGGGTGGGCAGTAAGACCCTGAGGCAGAATGCAGGAAAGCAACCACTTCCTCTTTTCAGGTTTCCCTTCTCCGACACAACGCGCTTTGAAATAAAGTAGATTAGCCAAAATGCTGAGTTGCTGAGGTCTGTCACGCAAGTTGCGCAAACTCTGCAGATCCCTAAGTGTGCCATTGTCAGTTGGCATCAGTCGCTGTGATGTTCAGGCAGAAGAAAGCTTTTGAAGCTCCCGAACAATCGACCAGTAGGGAGAGAACATGCCAGTTGGGCATGTGTCTCTGCCAGGGTCCTACTCGAGTATAGGCTGAACTCCTGACACTTACCGTATGTATGCTATGTCCTTATGATAGTGGCAAGGAGAAGATGGGCCCATTCTCTGAGGAAAAGGGTCATAGAATCATAGAATTGTAGAGTTGGAAGGGACCCTGAGCATCATCTAGTCCAACCCCCTGCAATGAAGGAATATGTAGCTCTCTATACAGGGACTGAACTTGCAACCTTGGTATTATCAGCACCACACTCTAACCAACTGAGCATCTTGCCAAAGGGACCGCCCAAAACCTAGAGCTGGCCTTGATACCACATTACTTCTGCTCATAGGAAGGAAACAAAAGAAAAGCATGGGAAAGGAAGCCTGGAGCTGAGAGAAACACCCTCTCTCTTCTCCCAGACTGCGCTGCCAAACATCAAAGAATACAGCAGCTCTTGCAGAAGCTGAAAATCTCTATTCTCCTCTGGAAGTACATTTCTTGCTCTGGCGGCTATTCTCCCCACTGACAGAGCAAGTGGCCACACTCTCTGGATTCATCTATATGGAAAATACATTGGGTTATTTATAACAACATCACGGTCTCCTGCAAATAATCCTGGGATTTATCATTTGATAAAGATCCCAAGCACCCTCTCAGAACTCCCTAAGTGTTTGTGGGGAGGGGCCAGGGGGAGACTGATAAAAAGAGTTTACATTTGTAATATAGGCATGCCCGATATGATGGGCAGGCAAGGAGAAAACTTGACTTCTCAGCTTGCACATAAACAAACAGGACAGCAATTAGGGTATTTATCCGGCCTTGACCACAGTCTACAAAAAAGCTTGCTAGGTGTACCTCATTCAAAGTATTGAGGAAAAGAACCACCAGTAATGTTTCCCCGTTCACTTAAAAACAGTGCTTATCTGTCAAGAAGAATTATGGGATATCCTCACTCAGGAAGAGCTCTGTAGCACCAGACTAAGAGCCTATCTGGTGAAGCATTCATTTCCCACAGTGACCATCCCAGATGTCTATGGGAAGCCCTTGTGCAGGATGTGAGCACCATAGCCCTCTCTCACTGTCATTCCCCAGTAACTCATATTTTGGATGCATACACACCATACATTTAAAACACTTCTGAAGCACCTGCCCACCCACCCAAAAAGAATCCTGTTAACTGTAGTTTACGCAAAAGAGCAGCATTTTCAAGCATCCTTCAGTTCCCATGATTTTTGTAGCGTGTGCACACTTTAAATGTGCTTTGAAGTATGGTGTGCACACAGTCTCAGAGGCACTGGAGATCATAGAATTGTGGAGTTGGAAGGGACTCCAAGGGTCATCTAGTCCAACCCTCTGCAATGCAGGAATCTCAACTGAAGCATCCATGACAGATGGCCATCCAACCCCTGCTTAAAAACCTCCAAAGGACTTCTGTTTTCCTCAAATTCCTAGGCAGCACCTGGCACTTCCCATTTGGAAATACTTAAAATCTAGTTCTGCATCACACACCAGATACTCTAGGAAGCCCATAACCATGACAAGACGGCCCCCACCACAGCAACTGGCGTCCAGATATATAATGCCTACAAACACAGAGGTTTCTAGGTAGCTGTTATAGCTAATAGCCACAACAGACCTTTCATGAACATATCACACCCCCCCGTTAACATCATCTAAGCCTGTAGCCATCATCACATCTTGTGGCAACAAATCCCATAATTTAACTATGTACCACAGGGGCAGATATTGTGGTGCACCCCATACTATGTTAAGGTGCTACTGGTGTGTGATGCAGAACTAGATTCAAGTATTTCCAAGTGGGAAGTGCCAGTGCAGGGATTTTTTTATTTTGTTCCCATATTATGTTGTTCGACTACAACTCCCATCAGCTCCTACCAGCCCCCATATCGGCTGGCTTGGGTTGGTGGGAGTTGTAGTTCACCATCTGGATTATACGGGGTGAATAAATTACTGCCTGTGAATCTCCCACCATTGTGCTTCATTGGATGACTAGTGTTAGGGAAGATGGGCAATGACGGCGATCCCATCCCTGTGGCTGTTAATTGCCTACATTCATTAAATGCCACGCGAGGTATATTTACAGTGCAGGCGTATGCACGTCTACGCAGAAGTGAGCCCCGTGGGATTCAAGCGGACTTGCTCCCAAGCACACGCACGCACGATTGCAAACCTCAGGCTACCAGCCTATTCACTGGTATATCCCGTTGAAAAATCCCACACGGGACTTGGGAGAGGACGGCACTGTGAAGTTGCAATGCAATACACACTTTACTTGGAAGTCACGAGGCTTCCTTTCTGAACAGGCAGCTCTGGGGCTGCACTAGACACAGATTGCAAAACAAAAAGGCTCCCCACATGCAAAACAAAAGGCACCCCCGAAATGCCGTTTTTTGCCCTCCAACTTCTTAGCCGCACAAGACCGACCCCGCTCATTCTCCCCTTCGCTGCCCCCCAAGCAGCCCCGACTTCCAGCATCCCTCCCCGCAGGCGCCTCGCAAAGATTTCTCCGTCCCCCGCAGCGAGGCTCCCTCCGCCGGTACCTGCCGCCGGGCCACCTCCGAGTCCCGATAGTACTTCGCGGCCAGCAGGGCCGCCACCAGCGCCAAGGCCAGGCCCAGCCGGGGCAAACGCGGCGGAGGAAGGCGCCGGGAACTCCCGCCGCCGGCCTCGCGCTCGGCCTCGCCGAGCGCCGTTTCTGGCGGAGCGCGGGGCGGCGAGGCCTCGGGGGGCCTGGGGCGCCCCTCTTCTCCCCCGGCCATCGCCCGCCGCCACGGCCGCTTCTGAGGCCCCGTTTCCCTGGCTCGCTCCCGCCTCGCGTAGCCTCGCCTGGCTGAGGAGGCGCCAGAGAGGCAGAGCCGCGGCCCGCTCGGCCCACAGACTGCAGTGCCTCCCTGGCGTGCGTTGTTGTCTAGCTACTTCTCCGAATAATAATAATAATAATAATAATAATAATAATAATAATAATAATAGCAATGTTGGTCTATGGAGAGTTAAATGGGCTCCAGGTGAAACCGTCCTCCCTCATAGGAGATGTACTGATACAAGGGGGCGGGGGGAATAATCATTATTACAGTACTGTACTACTGTTAATGGTTATGCATAGCAAACGTGCGTAGGTCCGTCTGCCCAGCAGTATTACTTCCTATTATTCCTCTGTCAATACCACGCCTTGTGTGTGGGCCGTTTTGGCAACCCAAGGATCCCCGCTTGGAGAATTATAAGGTTGCTGTCAGTATGTATGGTGCATAGGACTATAATGCAATCGTATGCACGTCTGCTACTCGGAAGTAAGCCTTACTGATGCTCAAGGGGGCTTACTCCCAAGTACGTGTGCACAGCAAGGGCTTGCAACCTTTTTGGCCCCAATGAAGGGAGAAGGTGGGGGATAGGTTTTTGGTTTTTTTAAAACTAAATAAAAATTCAAGCAATTACAACTTTTCAGTAGTTCGTTAAAGCAGCACGGTGGGAAGGACCTGTGAAGGGGGTATTTAGATTATTTTTTAGTAAAGACTGACTCCTACTGGTCAGAGCGGAGTATTATGTGGTGTGCATTTGCTTCAGAGAAAAAACGCTTAAGGTCCCTCCAGACTGGTATTTTCTGGTAGCTGTTTTTATGCAGCATGTTCTTGATGTAACAATAGTCCATTAATGGTGGATTTACACTGGGCCATCTGCACATCATTTGACTTTATTGGTTTGTTCTGCAATCCTTCCCCAGTTCTACCACACCATTGTTCTCTGGAGGGTCTATAGCGCAACAAAAGCATATAGCGCAGCAAAAGCATAACATTTTTGGTGTGTAACAGTTGGGAAGCTCTAATTGGAAGTGAAGCAGTGTGACAGCCCCACAACTTTTGTAGGCGCAAACAGTATGAAAAGTGGGATTGCATATGACCCTGATACCATATTTGGCACAAATTGTCAATGAAGGCATAATACAAAGGATGTATGGAGAGGCCCTTAATCGGCTAAATGTCCCTATGTGATAGGGTTGCCATACTTCAAGAAGTGGGCTATATTGCTGAAAATCCAGGATGAACCACTGCTTTCCGGAATTTCCCCCTGGACGTCACTTCTGCTATTGAAAATCCAGACGTAAGGCAACCCCACTGTGTGAGAATATAAGAGCAGCCCTGCTGGAACAGGCCAAAAACCCATCTGGTCCAGCATCCTGCTTTCACAGTAGCCATGCAGATGCCTATGGGAAGCATGCAAGCAGGAGATGAGCAACATCTGGAAGACACCATGTTGGCTAGCCCTGGACTAAGGGATGAACCAAGGCTCTGCACTGGCTACCCCTGTTTAGTCTAACCAACCTCACAAGATTGTTGTGAGGGCCTTTATATGTCCCCCTGATGGTTAGGATTTACTATTCAGCAGTTTGTGGGTGGCACAATTAACATAGGTCTCATTTAAAACCAACTCTTGGACCTTTAGGATTAAAAGGGACCTTGGTGGTCATCTAGTCTAACCCCATAAATGGTGGGTATGCTGTGAAGCAAAGTTCTGTAAGGATCTCTGCCCTCTTCTTTTCCACACATGCAGAAGCAGCCATTGCTTTATTCCAGAATCCTGGGAGTGTAACCTGCCAGCTATAGCGCCTGCAATCATGCTTTCCACCAGGAATGGGGAACCTGTGGCTCTCTAGATGTTGGTGGACTATCATTCCTGACCATTGGCCATGCTGGCTGGAGCTGATGGGACCTTCTGGAAGGTCATGGGTTCCCATCCCTGCTTTATACATGGAAGTTCCCAGGTTCAGTCCCTGGCATCTGCAGGTAGGACAAGCAGAGACCTCCTGTCCGAAACCCTGGAGAGCTGCTGCCAGTCAGTGTAAGCAATCTTGAGCTAGAGGGCCCAATGGTCTAACTGTAGAAGGCAGCTTCTTGTGGTTCTATTTAATTACACAGGAGGCTCTCGAACATGACTGCTGCTGACACTGATCTGAAAGGGTTGTTTCCAGCCAGCCTTTGATTAATTTCCTCCCATTACTCCTGGTTATTACACTCCTTTTACATCACCTTTCCAAACAATCCCTCCCCATCCTTGATGTTTACTCTCCTCAAGTCCTTCTGCATGAATATCACATCCCTCCTTCCCTGTTTCGCCAAGCGATACATATTAAGTTATTTTAATCTTCCTTCATAAATCACTGTCACCCAGTCCCTTTCTTTGTTTCACACAAGTCTTATGAAATTCTCAGTCTGATCAAGTTTTAAGGCTTTCTCTGCTGCTTCAGACTGTGTGTGAGGACAAGCACACTATGAACACTAAATGTTTTTTGATCTGTTGAAGATCTTGGAAAGCATGAGAAGCAGATGTTTTATGGCAGCCCTTGCCAACCTGATGCCCTCCAGATGTTTTGGACATGGTGGCTACAGACCATTTAGGAAAATGTGCTGGAAAGGGGGGGATGACACAGGCTTTGATGCAAAATCATCTAGCCTCCCCGCAAACAAATCTGAGTGACTCCTCATTAAATAGCCACTGTTGTCTAATCTCCCTGCAAACAAATTAGGATGAATGCTCAACAACAGGTCTCCCTCGTAGGTCTTTGCATTTGCCATCTTTGTTTTGTTCATCCCAAATACTGAGAAGCGCTAGTGTAGGTACAGGGATGAGATTATGTGTCGTTATTCAGTTAATCTCATGAAACTCTTTCTCCCCAGAAGGTTGGTGGAAAAGGCTCCTGCAATGCCAAAATGCTGAGGACATTGATTTAGAAATAGAGGAAAGTTTTATTGGTGCAAAATGCCATTGGAAAACAGTTTTGAGCATGGGTTATTGGGCTTGAGCAAAAATTTCATGCAAAGGTAGACTTAAGTCTATTTCAAGAGACTTCATCCATGGCCCCTTGACCATCCTTTCCCAAAAACTCTTTTAATCTCTAGAGAGTATCAGTATTCAAGGCTATCAGCTGTTCGTGTAAATTAAGACCACAGCCCCCTTGTGTTTACCCAAGAGTGACAATTGTTCAAATTCTCTAGTAGCTGGAACCCTAGCAGTTGCCCTAAAAGTAAAAGAAGTGACTTGTTTGAGAGGCAGCCAATTTCTCTCCAAGTCTCCTAACTGCTTCTGCAGGGCCCTTCCTTCCCCAATGGGACCAAAAGTCAAGGACAAGATTACCTCAATGCAGCTGCTTTTCCCTCATATAAAGCGGTCTGATCTCTTTAAGGTCAGATTCAGAGGCTCTGCTCAATGATCAGCTAAAGCGGAAATTCAGATGGGCAAGTACAAAAACATAAGGGCCCAGCAGCCCACAACTTTTAGAAGACATCTGAAGGCAGCCCTGTATCAGGCAGCTTTTATTGTTTGATGTTTTGCTATGTATTTATATGTGCTGTAAACCACCCAGAGTTGGTGGGGAAACCCAGCCAGATGGGTGGGGTATAAATAATAAAATCATCATCATCATCATCCTCACAGTGGCTGACCAGATATCCCAATGGGAAGCCCACATGCAGGACCTGAGTGCAAGAACACTCTCCCCACTTGCAATTTCCAGCTACCGCACCAGGCATATGCACATGGATGTTACAAAATCATCCATGGAAGCACAGGGTGGTGAAATGGTAGGAGACTAAATGCTTCCTGAAAGATCCTAAGAACATAAGATAGTAATGCAAGGCTAGCTTGGGTCCTGAAAAGACAGGCATAAGAATGAACCTCCCCAACTTCTCCAAAATTAAAACACTGCCTTTCCCCGCTTCTGCCTGTTCCTTCACACCAGCAGCAACATCTGCAGGAAGAGGCTTTGCTGGAACCACCAAGATGAACCTTTCCCACCTCCCCTGCCCCACCTGGGACCCTTACAAGGAGGTGCTGCCCTTTATGAATTAACTCCTGCTTTATCCGACATCTTTCTGGGGGCTGCTCTTTTGCTTTCTGTCCAGAACATGAATGAATTTTAGTATTTTTAAAAGTGTTAGGATTTTGTAAATTTTACACCCACAAACCCACCCCTCATCCTTTGTGAGATGCCTTTGGGGCCTTTCTTGGCCAAAAGGTGGCATGGAAATAATATTAAAGAATAACCATCAGACCCCATTGTAAGGCAGAAAGCCAGGATATAAATATTGCAGATAAATAAACAAAATATCTCATTTCTCTCTCCGTAATGATTAGGGAATTGTGTGCACTTTGGATTACAGGATAAGAGGTGGGGGCAATTCTCTTTATTTTTCTACAGATTACCTTGTCATAGCACACTTCAAAAATCAATCAAAATCAGAAATGAAGAAAACCCTCACAGCTGGAATGACTGTGCAATTCGTGTCAAAAGGAAGCTTTTGATTCCACAAGGAGGATATTTTAATCCACTGTAAAATTACTTTGGGCTAAGCTTATTTCCCTGCTATCAAAACCTCTCAACAGGATGACTCACATTCTCAAAGCTTTACTTACTAACAACTATCCTTCTAGGAAGAAGATTATTTGTCCACCTCCTTATACCCAAGATGAAATTTAAGTCTCTATCCGACAAGTCTTCCTTCCCTCTGAGACTTCAAGAGGTGTAAATTCAAAATGAAAGCTTTGTCTTGCTGCCTGCGTGAAATGCTTTTCTCCCCCCCCCCTTTCATTGGTGACAAAGGAGGAACCCAGAATCTGATGAGAGAACAGAGAAAAATACTTCTAGTGGTAGAGGAATTGAATGATCCACTCTTACAGAGGAGAAAAAGTAGTTTTCAGCAACGTAGTAAATCGGAAGTGCTAGCACTTAACACACAGGACCAGGCAGGATCTAGGTGTGGAAGGATCTGTCAATTTTGATCCTGTTTTGATTTTTCCAATCTTAAATTCAGTTCTCCATATTTCCACTGCAATTTGCATTTTTTTAAAAATCCTCATGAAAGTTCTTCAGCATTTTAGTGAGAATTTCTTCTAATTCTCTGTATGCATTTTCAACACACATCTTTGCAAGCAATTTCTCCTAACAGATAGCATTTTGCAGGTTATTTTCACTCGCATGGTCACTTTTGTGCATATTTCCCTATAATGCATGCATTTTTATAAACATTTGTTTAGTTAGAGAACTGCACCATGAAATTCAAGTAAGGGTAGGTTTTGAAGGATGGTTGTGTTTTGGTTCTCATGTTGCTTGAATGCGAATTTCTCCCCTATCCTTAGCAGAATCTAACCTCATGTGTAACCTAAAATGAACCATCATGAACTACTATGAAGCATATCAACCATTCCTTGTTTCAAAGGGGACTGCTTTTCCTCAACACTCGTCAGCTGCTTGAAGAAGAGTGTTTCTGAGCTCTGGCAGCGTGTGTTTCCTTTATCACAGAGCTGCCATACCAGCAGTACCTCCTTGGCAGAGTCATAGTGAATTTTTTTGAAATACAGTACATATCATAACAGCATCCATTCATGTCCCCCCTGACAGTTAAAAATCATGATTCATTTTACACACACACCTCACACACAAAGAGTGTATGTAGCATATATGCTGAGGAAAGCGGAAGTAAAAATTTCAACCAGAGGTAGAGAACCTGTGGCCCTCCAGATTGCTGTAGGACTCCAATTCCTTGACATCCTCTATGCTAAACTGTCACAAACAATAGTGACACTTGAAAGCTACAGAGCAAGGAGCAAGGGCTTGTCCATTACCGTGAAAACGCTCGCAGATGAAAGAAGTCACAGAACTGCACTCTCCTTCGTTTCCATTCCACTATATCACTGATCCTGGAGTTGAAAGCCAAGGCTTGCAGACTGGGCAGTTTACGGTTTCCTTAGGAAACAAGGTTCTCATCATAGAACATGGTTCAGAATGTGGCTGAGAACTGTTTACATTTGCATCCTGCCTGCCTAAAGGATTTGTTGTGACGTGAATGTTTGCATGCTTTTATATGGTTTATTTACATAAATTTATATCCCACAGCTTCAACTTAAATTTATGTTCTCCAGGTGGCAAGCGAAGTTATAAGAAGCAATAAGAGTATGCTTTCTCACTTCATTGTATTTCAATAGTTTGCTGCCGCATTGTTTTTCAAGATTCTAAAAAGAGCTGGGGACATGGCAGGGACTATTTCCATGGTGCTAAAAAGCCGGTGATCGATTTGCATGCCCTGGGTGGTTTTTCTTTGGGTGGGGTGTGTGTTTCCCAGCTGCTCCATGGCCCTTTTCGAAAGCCCTAAGGGTGGGATAGAGGAGCAATAGGACAGCTCCCCCTGTCACTTAGTGGTAACAGGCCTTTGCAAGGCTCTTGAGCAGAGGCGGCAGGGGAAGAGGATGTGTGGTGGTAGGGAGAAAACAAGGAGCTGGGTCCTAATCCTAGTAGGGCTTTAAAGCAGGGCAGAGCCCTATTTGTCCTAGTGGATCACTCTCCACTGAATGTTCCGTTTACCTATCCAGGCTAACGAACAGTGACAAACCTCTCCTGATGAACTCCTTGTCCTTTGGCCTAGCAGAAGCCACTTATCAGTTCTTCCCAATCTTGTGGGCATGCAAATGCATGCTAAGATATTCTGCACTCACAGCAGGCAGTTCAATATGGGTTAACAGACTCATGCAGAAAGAAAAGAAGAAAAAGCGTTGCCTCTCCTGCTTTGCATTGCAACCAATTTGTTTTTCCCTTTTGCCGGTTTGTCAGCTGTTTATTATTATTTTTATTATTTAAAAACACTGATTTTATGCTGGTCTGTTTTTATGCAGCCGAGTTTTCTTTCATGATGGGTTCTGAGTCTTGATGTACTTTGCATTGAGATTGCTTTTTTACTATAATACATTTCTGTATTTTGCAAACTGCACAGGCTCAATGGGTGGTTCAGAAGTTGATACACAAGTAAATTAACAGTCTGCCATCTCTGCCCACACTTGCTCAATGGAATGTGCCCAATCTCCTCCCGCCATTCTTACTGCACCAAGTGCCTTCGCAACCTGCTGTTCCAGAGCAGGAGAGGGACATTCTCCTTCCAGCTGCTCATGTAGAAAATACATTGGGGCTCCTCCAGAGACCTGTTTATTGAGCATATTATCCTGATTTGCTTGCACAAAGCTTACACAGTGATTAGAACATGTCCAGTCTTTACTGAGGATTTGTTCGCAGGGCAGTTATATGGCAATGAGCAGTAACCTTGATTTGTTTGCATCTCTACATCTTCCTGCTAATCATTTGTTCATCTCACGCTTTTTCAGTGCATTCTCATCACTTTCCCAACTGCAAGAAGTCCGTTTTTAAAGTTGCAAGTAGGGCAACATAGCACTTTAACTGTGAGCTTGAATTCCTCCTGTGAAATAAAGAATTTGGAGGCTTCCTTAGAGGATCTACTGAGATCTTCACGTGGTCGTTAGTCCCTTCCCTCTTCCTCTTAACCTTCTGTGCCAATACATGAGCAATCCAGTCACACTCCTTATCGGACAGGAATTTTTATTCTATTCCACATCTCTGAGTATTACAGAAATGAAATCCTTACAAGTGCCTTGTAATATTTAAGCTCCAGATGAAAACAAAAATGAAGTGGGGGGGGGGACAGAACAAATTTCAAACTTTAGAAAGCAAAAAAAGAATTACACATGATGCAATATTCAGTAAACATTTTAAAGAGCACAGAAAAAGAGAGGGAGGGAGAGAGAAATGATGCCTGGGATTCAGACTTTTGCAGACATCTTCTGATCATTGATGGCATTGATTCCACTTAGGATGCAAGTCTTTGGGGGCGGGGGGCGGGAAGGTGAAAATTAGAAAGATGATAAAAATCAACGGTATCTAAAAAGGAGCATGTGGAAGGGGGTGGGAGGGAGACAAGAAGAGTGGCACAAACCAGCATCTGTTTTATGGCAAACTCCTTTGGCCATGTGAAAACAAAGTCAGTGGATTCCGTAGAAATTCTCCGTAGAAAGGAACGTCCATGGTTTTGTGTGCATTATGGCCCATATTCAACATCCTCATTATCAGGTTTAGTGTAAGTTCCCTCATAGAGGAAAAAAAACCCCACAAAGGTGCTTGTTTCACAGTTTTTTATGCTCCCCGATATAACACTGTCCTGAATTGGACGAATGCCCCCAAAATACCTTTCTGGGAACACGCGCATTCCTTTACTGGAAAGGAGAAAGAGGGGTGGGGAAGCAAGTAACCCTCCACATCCCACTGCAGAAGCCGCGAGGGAGCAAGCGCCCCTATTGCACGCTTGTCTTCAGGATAAGGTCTGTGCGGTTCACGGGCAATGGGTGGGCTTCGGTGTTGAACACCCAGTCCTCAAGAGACAGCACATCATCTTCACAGAACAGAAGATAGAGGTACCTGGAGGAAGGAGACAAGTCAAAGGAATGCATGTGCAGATGGGGTGCTCCTATTAATGGAGAATCAGTGGTTAGTGAGGAAAGCAGAAGCCTTCTGGATATTGCTGGACTCCCACTCCCATCAGCCCCAGCTAGGGATGAGGGAATTGTAGTCTAGCAACAACTGGAAGGTCCCAGGCCCCTCAAGCCTGCATTAGAGTGCCAGGGAAGCTAAGGGTTTCTTGGAAGCTTATCCAAAGTTGGCCAGCAAAAAGTGCAGTTGACAGCAGACAAGTTTCCTTACACCCCTGACCTAGAGAGCATGTCCAATGCCCTCTGCAGAACGCAGCAATAATGTGGTAACACTGGGGAGCATTGCAGAACCAACTAAAACAGAAGAAATCCATTGCTAATGCACTATTGCTGTGTCAAAAACATGCTGCAGAATACACCCGTAATAAAACACAAGCCTTCAGGGACCCTAAGGCGGGTGGTGATTGTGTCACTTCCATCACAGGCATTCAGCTGGGAGGTGTTTTCTTTTCAACAGGCAGTCATGGTAGCAGCAGTGGTGGGAGATGGGACAGGCCGTGAGTGAGCAGGGAAAGAAATCACCCTGCAGCTAGCAGCCTGAGATGGAAAAAGGGCAACCTTTCCATTCTCAGGCAACCAGCTATGGGATGCTTCCTCTCCCAAAAGGGGAAAGAGGTGCAACCAACAATGAGGCAGGTGACCAATGGGCACAGGGAGAACATCTACCAGTGCTCAGTTTGCAGGCATGCCACCACATCAAGACGTCAATCACAGTGGGGGCAGGGGTGCACTTTGAACTCTCTTCTTATATTTTGTCCATACAGATTCCAAGTGATGAATATGTACATATGAACCAGCCCTCTGGTGAATTTCCAAAGACACGCATGGCACTTACAGGTGTCAAGTCCACACACAAAACTAGTTCCATTCAACAGGGCGCATAAGGAAAGCAAGTCAGCAAAGCCTCATCTTAAATATTCCAAAGTACATTCCAAGTCACTTCAATGGACCAGAGAGGAAATGGCCAAGGGCAATTGGCAGATTTCTGCTTTATTTAAGATGCAGCCACTGTTGATGACCCCCTCCCCCATGAGGAGGAGGAGGAGTTTGGACTTGATATCCCGCCTTTCACTCCCCTTCAGGAGTCTCAAAGCGGCTAACAATCTCCATTCCCTTCCTCCCCCACAACAAACACTCTGTGAGGTGAGTGGGGCTGAGAGACTTCAGAGAAGTGTGACCGGCCCAAGGTCACCCAGCAGCTGCATGTGGAGGAGCGGAGACGCGAACCTGGTTCCCCAGATTACGAGACTGCCGCTCTTAACCACTATTCTCCACCCTACACAGCTTTCTGTGGAAGAGGCGCCGAAAATGTTCAGGACTTACTTTAACGTCTCTGCTAGGAAAAAGCTCTGCTGCATGTTGTCGTGACTTGGGTTGGTGGTATAAACATCGCGGATCCCGGAGAAACCAGCATCTACTCTGCAATATTTCTCAAGTGCCTGGTTGGGGGGTGGGAGTGGGAGTGGGGGGTGGGAGAGAGAGAGACAGTCAATCTCTTCCAGTAATAGCAGCACAGCAAACAAGTAGCTCATTAATCATAATCAGTTGTGTTTTACCCATGCAGGTTTATGAGTTGGATTTGTGTTTTTATAGAGGCTGAGCTCCCATTGAAGAACTTTTAATGATTCCCCAAGGGTCCAAGAAAATAGGCTCGCCTCTGATGGTTAGCACTTTCTGTTACACTCAGTCTCCTGTAAGAGCCCTCAAGTACCGGCCCCTGAAGAAGTCCTTCCTTGAAATATTGTACAATTGACAGAAGGCCACCCGACAAACACAACTGCCAGCACATTAGGAGGCGGTCTTCAAATGTCCCATCCTGTCAGAGGTGGCTCCATAAAAAGGCAAAGGGAAGTTGTTGATGCAGGCTGCAGACTCTAGGGGCACCATTAGGGATGGTGGAGTGGGGGACAGGCAGCCCTAAGCATGGAGCGGAGGAGTCACAGGGGTTCCTTGTGCTCTTGCTTGGTTGGAACGAAGAGGCATGCCAAGAAAAAAAGATTGTTGGAAACGTAAAGAAAAAGAGGGGAATTTCTACCACATACAGTAAGGTTAAGGTTTATTGGGATATGATATACAATGAGTTAAAGAAAATGTACAAAAATACCTTTGTTAAAAAACTAGAAGCGTTTTTGTTGGGTATAGTAGAAGAAGAGATTCCGAAGATAGATCAAAAATTGTTTATGTACGCAGCAACGGCTGAAAGAATTCTATTAGCCCAAAAATGGAAGCAACAAGAAATACCAACAGCTGAGAAATGGCAGATGAAGATGATGGGAGTATGCAGAATTGTCTAGGCCAGGGGTCTGCAACCTTTAAGACAAAAAGAGCCACTTGGACCCGTTTCCGAAAAAACAACAACAACTGGGAGCCGCAAAAACATTGCAACATTTAAAACAAATATAACACTACATATATTGTTTCTGGCCTTAATGCTATATATACAGGATCGTGCAGTCAGCTGTCAATCTCAAGAAAAAAGGACAAATTAATAGCTAATTAAAATATTTAATTTACAACCAGGTAACCAGGTTAATGGGACTTTTGCTCCTGAACCTCAGTGCTCAGTGTCTGCACATCAGGGCTGTAAGACGTCACCTTCATTTTCACACAGGCTTGCAAGCTGTCATCTGTGAGGCGTGATCGGTGCTTGTTTTTAATATAGTTCATGTTGGAGAAGACCTGCTCACATACATATGTGGAAGAGACCACAAGGGCCATCGAGTCCAACCCCCTGCCAAGCAGGAAACACCATCAGAGCACTCCTGACATATGGTTGTCAAGCCTCTGCTTAAAGACCTCCAAATAAGGAGACTCCACCACACTCCTTGGCAGCAATTCACCAAACTTTCACCTGCTTAAGTTTAAAAAGGGGCTTCAAGCAACTAAAAAGGGGCTTCAGGCAACTAACTCCACGTGGAATTCCACGCGACCGCGACTGCATAATCAATGCCACAAAATGCCAAAGAAAATTAACCAGGGCCCCAGTGAACCATAAATCATAATCAGTGCCTGATGTAAATAATAATTAATAATGAGGGCCCAATGTCATCCTCATCATTATAAAAATAATCCCTCTCTTCGTGCCGCCCAGCCTCCCAAGAAAAAAACCCCACTTCAAACGGTCACAAAGCACAAATTCCACGCGACCGCGACTTGCTATGCCCAATAATCAATGCCCCAAAATGCCATAGAAAATTAATCAGGGCCCCAGTGTACCATAAATCATAATCAGTGCCTGATGTAAATAATAATTAATAATGAGGCATTCGTCATTATAAAAATACCGTATTTTTCGCCCCATAGGACGCTCCGTCCCATAGGACGCACCTAGTTTTTTGGGGGGGAAATAAAGGGGAAAAAATTTCCCTTTATTTCCCCCCCAAAAGCAGGTCGGGGAAACTGAACCAGGTCGAGGAACAGCGGGATGGCGGCGCTTCGCCTCCCTGCTGTCCCCCGAGCTTGTGGGGCTGGCCGATGCCTGCGGGGCGGCAGGCTGCTATCCGCAGCGTGGGGAGCCTTGCCGGGAAGTCCGGCAAGGCTCCCCACGCTGCAGATGTCTGCCTGGCAAGGGGGGCGCTCTGCTTTAGGGCGCCCCGCCCGCCGGGCAGCAGGCTGCTATCCGCAGGGTGGGAAGCCTTGCCGGGACCTCCGGCAAGGCTCCCCACGCTGCGGATGTCTGCCTGGCGAGGGGGGCGCTCTTCTTTACGGCGCCCCGCCCGCCGGGCGGCAGGCTGCTATCCGCAGCGTGGGAGCCTTGCCGGGACCTCCGGCAAGGCTCCCCACGCTGCGGATGTCTGCCTGGCGAGGGGGGCGCTCTTCTTTACGGCGCCCCGCCCGCCGGGCGGCAGGCTGCTATCCGCAGCATGGGGAGCCTTGCCGGGACCTCCGGCAAGGCTCCCCACGCTGCGGATGTCTGCCTGGCGAGGGGGGCGCTCTTCTTTACGGCGCCCCGCCCGCCGGGCGGCAGGCTGCTATCCGCAGCGTGGGGAGCCTTGCTGGGACCTCCGGCAAGGCTCCCCACGCTGCGGATGTCTGCCTGGCGAGGGGGGCGCTCTGCTTTAGGGCGCCCCGCCCACCGGGCGGCAGGCTGCTATCCGCAGCGTCGGGAGCCGTGCCGGGAAGTCCGGCAAGGCTCCCCACGCTGCGGATGTCTGCCTGGCGAGGGGGGCGCTCTGCTTTACGGCGCCCCGCCCGCCGGGCGGCAGGCTGGTCACCTCCGCCCCTCGCCTCCGCCCCTCGCCTCCTCCCCTCGCCACCGCCCCGGAGCCGCAGCAAAGGCTTTAAAGAGCCGCATGCGGCTCTGGAGCCGCAGGTTGCCGACCCCCGGTCTAGGCTGACTGGGAAAATCCGAAACCAGCGAGATCAAGCTTTCCAAAAAGACTGGAGTAAATTTGTACAATATTTGAAGGACAATTGTAAACATTTACCAACACTAGCAGGGTTGCAGTAAGAAGGCTTGTGATGTTAATTCTTATTACCATCTTACATTTACTTAAAATATGAGATAAAATATAGGAGGGGAAAGTAAATTGGAAAAGGTACAAATGCGAGGATGTAAAATTGGAATTAGGAAAACCATGAGGTGGGGTGGAGGGAAGTCGATAGCTCGTATGAGCAAAAATCTAAGAAGTTTATAAGGATGTAATTAATATTACAAAATGGAAAACTTAACAAATATATTATTATTATTTTTTAAAGGAACCAAGAAGTGTGGACTCCCTGCCAAGCCCTGACACTCCAGCGCAGATTAGTGAGTTAGCTGGAGCAACAAGAACACCCAACTCAGCAATAAGGAACAAAAGCAAAACTTAATAACTGAAATATGCACCTTAATCTGATTCGCTTCACATTTGGCTCCAAGTATGGAATTTGGAATTCCATCACCTGACCATCCACCCCCCACATAATGCCAAATTAATAATTGCAATCTGGTGAGCCAGAAATGCTCCATTGCTAAAGTGATGCGGAGATCAGACGTGCCAGGCACTTTGTGCTCCTTCGGCTACAGATGCCCCCTCCCTCCCAATCCTAGATGTGTGTAACTGGGGTTGCCCAATGGTGGTGGCAGCGGTAGGGACACTACAGATTCTCAGAGGCAGCTCCTTCTTGATTACTACATGTCATGCGTGTGGTGGTCAGCCTTAGCATAGATTATAATTTTTTTAAGCATCCTGGACTTTAGCCACTTCAAGTTCTCCCTGCACTACACGCAAAACAGATGTGTTGAGGAAACAGAACTCATAACCCAATACTCCACCTCACATGTGCTAGGCATGCTCTGTCCCTAGCACCAAATTTGTGCACCAAATTTGTTTTTCAGAAACACCATAACCCTTTGTGGCAAGAAAATGTGCAGAGTGACTTAAAGGCTACTCAGGTTTAGAATGTCCACACTATAATCAGTGTCTATGAGCTGTGAGTTTGCTAAAATTTCAATTTCCAGGAAGCCTGGAAGTACCCTAACCATTTGCTGGTATGGTGAGTCTTCCATGTTTGCAGGAGGGATTGACAAATGCTTCCCCCTCCATTCAGACTTTACTGGTACTATCAGGGTGGCTTGGATTCTGTGTGCAACCAAATGTCAGCTCCCTAGCTACCAGTTTAACCAGGTGTACACCTGGAGATCCCTGTTTTAGGAGAGAAATGTAAGAAGAGCCCAGGTTTCAGACTTTTCCAACAACTAGAATACCGGGGCCATGCACGTGCTGAACAACATGGCTCTAAACAAACTGAGGAATTTTTAAAAATACCCCTGTAAGAGAGTGAATCCTCATGTACTTTTATCTCAAAATGCCTGATCCAGGTGAGAGGGACGGTTGGTCAAGATGCATCTTTTTCAACAGGCATTTGGATGAGGAGAAACCTGGCTGCTGGTGCTCTTAGAAATTGGTTTTGGTGATTGTTTTGCTTTTAATGGCTTGTGTTGGTTTTCTGGATTTTATCAGCTGCTATCTATTTGTTTTTGCTGTAAACTGCCCAGTGGTTTGGGCAAAGGTTGGTACATAAATAATCCAAATAAGTTCAGTGGGAAGCAGAAGCCCACACCTGTGTTTGCAGAATGCAAGCTTACTAGCTGGTAAGAGCAGGCTTTTCCCTCCTGGCAGCTGACTAGGTACAATAAAGCTCCCACTGCCTCACCTGGATGAGCTGCTCCTGCCAATTCTGCTGCCGTCTATCCCCTATTCCTCTGCTGTCTTGCTTGGGCTGTGTCTTGGAACTGACCTCAGATTGGCTTCCCAGAGTAGCACACTAGCCGTTTTCTCTGGAACTGACGTGATTTGTTCACTCAGTTGTTACAGGGAGTCAGGATGTTTATGCTGCTGCCATAAACCTTCTTGTCCTCCCATCTTTCTTAAGAGGTCTGGCTATGTATTGTTTCCCCCCTCCTCCGCCCTCACAGTGGCCAGCGTGGAGTGGCAAAGCACAACTTGATTCACTTGGTGGAGGACAAGTGGTCAGCAAGACAGGCTGGCAACACAGACAGTGAAGATCCATCTTCACTAACTGCCAGATTGTCCCTTTATATGCCATGCAGCGTGGTCTCTCGTTTTCTCTCAACAGCACAGGTTGGCATCATTCCCTTATTTTTCTTTTATTTAGCATGCAAGTGCAGTAACATTTTTAAAAACTATTTAAAATGTTTCATTTGCCTTTTGCACTAACTTGGTAAGTGAGCACACAAACAAACAAAAAATAAATAGAGCTGTTTGGATCTCTGCCATTATATATCCTGCAGCCTGGCCACTTCTGCCACTACTGTTAAAAAGCCTACGTGAAATCTGTCAAGTTTAAGTTTCTCTCTGTTTCTCAATTTTCCAATCTTACGCTCAGTTCTCCACATTTACACAGCCGCTTCCCTTTTAAGGAAAAAAGTTCCAATGAAAATTAACCAGCACTTTAGTATGTATTTCTCCTAATTTACACATTTTTGTACGCAATTTTGCAGAGCAATTTTCCTAGTAACAATTATAATTGTTATTTATTCCCTGCCCTCCCAGGGGTCTCAACATTAAAAGAAAACATTAAAAACAGTTTAAAACAACTTACAATCCCAAAAGCAAGGTGAGTCCTAAGGATGCGTTTTTAAATATCTCTGTTACTAATATAGACATCTTTATGCACACCATACACCAATATATGCATATATATTTTTGCCCATTACTTGGCTGGGGCACTGCATTGCAAAACTCAGAGAAGCATGAATTTCAAAGAGTAGCCGGAGTTGCAGTTTGCATATTGCTTCGGAAAGTGAGAATTAGGTGACTTCACCTTTAAATGAGAAATGAATTGAATTTCTCCCCATCCCAACACATGTATTTTTACTGCTATGCTAAATAATATTGCGGAAGCACGGTGGCTGAGCTGAGCTGCTTCCAGCATTGAAGGGCCAAGGTACAGAAAGGATCTTCACACCCGACTCAGCTGTGAAAGAGAGGCCTGCACTTGGCTGGGAAGACAGTGAGAAACTGAACCACAATTTCCACTTCAGATGTACAGTGGTGCCCCGCAAGACAAATGCCTCGCAAGGTGGAAAACCCGCTAGACGAAAGGGTTTTCCGTTTTGGAGGTGCTTCGCAAAACGAATTTCCTATGGGCTTGCTTCGCAAGACGAAAATGTCTTGCGAGTTCCTGCATGGTTTTTTTCCTCCCCCCCCCCTTTTCCCAAGCCGCTAAGCCGCTTATCAGCTGATCCGCTAAGCCGCTAAACAGCTGATCGCTACGCCGCTTATCAGCTGATCCGCTAAGCCGCTTATCAGCTGATCCGCTATGCCACTTATCAGCTGATCCGCTAAGCCGCTTAACAGCTGATCCGCTAAGCGGCTTATCAGCTGATCTGCTAAGCCCGCTAAGCCTCTAATAGCGCTAATCCGCTAATGGGCTTGCTTCGCAAGACAAAAAAACCGCAAGACGAAGAGACTCGCGGAACGGATTCTTTTCGTCTTGCAAGGCACCACTGTATTCTTAAGCCACGGGTGGCTCACCAATTTTCACTAGGGGTCCGCATTTGCCCTTGGCCAAGCTTCCAGGAGGAGAGCATCCAACATCTAACAGACAAACTTGCACACAGATAGTCACCCCTTAACTGATTCATGCAGAGCAGCAGAGGTAGTAGATAATCACCTTCTCACTGCTCATCATATAATTAATCTAATGACCAGGGAGGGAGGAATTTGCATGCGCACCAGGCTGCTGGGCTCTACCCACCCCAAGGGTGTCTCTTCTTAAAACACAACACACACACACACACACACACCTCTACTTTTTTGCAGTTGCCAAAACTGGCTGGGTCTTTGGGGGCCAGAAACGAAAGCCCTTTTTTCTTTTTTTTCAAGCAACCCCTGTCCTAAGGCAAGGGAATGGTGGTTAGCAATGACGGTTCGGGAGGAAATACCTGTACAGCTTCCCAGCCCCACTGCCTGTACTTGGGATTGTGCGTCAGCCTCCACATGTACATGTAACTTTCAACAACTTCAGGGCGCAGAATGTAATAGCGATCGCTGAGTCGGGTGGCCATCGCTTCGGTGCCAAAATCAAAGCGGAATGCTTCTGGGCCCAGCTTGGTTTCTGGCAAAGGATACATTAGACATTCAGAGACGATTAGAACTTTTATGCTTATCACACCTAGGAAGCTGAAGTTGGGAGAAGCTCCTAAAATATACACCTGCAGCGACTAAGAATCAGAAACAATTTTTTCGGAGCTGTGAGAAGCCCTGATAGTTAAAAGCTGAACAGGTTGGGTGTGCTCTCAGATTCTACGGGATATGGGGTTGATCCCGATCCATAGCCCCAGTGGAACTACAGTATGCAGCTTTTCTTAGCAGATTCTGGACAGTCATAATGGAGAGGTCCCAAATGCACACAGCCCTATGCATAGGCCTCCCTGCTGTGTCAGGACCACAAAAAGCTGCCTCATACTGAGTCAGACCATTGCTCCATCTAGCTCACTATTGTCTACTCTGGCTGGCAGCAGCTCTCCAGGGTTTCAGGCAAGAGCACTTCCCAGTCCTAACTGGAGATGCTGGGATTGAACCTGAGACCTTCTGCTTGCAAAACAGATGCTCTCTCACTGAGTTATTATTCCTCCACCTTTAACTGGGGGGTGGGAGTGGTTGGGGTAGGCTTTGCACTGATCTTTAGTGCAGGCTCAGCTTCTACCTGAGCGGATGTAAGACTCGTGACAGGTGTTCGTAATTTCTGCAGCCAGGTCCATGTAGTGCTGTTTCTGTTCTTCCCCGGCATGCTCTGCTCCAAGCGCTATCATCCCTCCGGAGAAGCAAGCCAAATGGCCCATTTTGTGGTCCAAGGCGCCACCTCGCCACTCTGCAATGTATGTCAGCCCACCAGCTGATTTCTTCACCAGGTGTTTTTCTATGGCCTAAATTTAACAGCATTAAGAAGAGAAGAAAATAAATGGGTGTTACCCCCAAGGAAACAAAGGGCTGACAAACATGCATCCTCCTGAACAGCCACTATGTTATTTATATACTAAATATATGCGGTTGTATCCAGTGTGAGTCAGAGTAGACACATTTAAATCAATGCACGTGGCTAACTTAGGTCTGCTAATTTTAATGGGTCTGCTCATTAAAGCAGGACTTTGTTGGATACAATCCTACATACAACCCTATCAAACATCAATAATCCTATTAATAAATGTATTAATCACCTTTAAACAACAACAAATATTCAAAGAAACTTGCGGTACAAAATCATACTATTGGGGGGGGAGGAATCACACTTATTATGTTTACAGCACTTTTGCTTTCTTTTCAGTCCATATATTTCCTTGTTATCATTAACCACCTTGTGGGGCAAGTCATATAAAAATTCCATTTGATAGAGAGGATGAAAACTGTGAATGGAGACAGAGATAAGAATTTAAGGCCAAACACAGCCGGTTATTCACCCTACAGTGGAAGTCCAGCATCGCAGCTTGCACTGCAAATGTACGTTTCAACAGCCCATGCACTGAATCAGCTGTACATTTTCCCTTGCTTTAACCTAAGTGTGCCAGTTTTTCTTTTTAAACTGCACGTATTTGTTTCTTTATACATTCATCTTCATATTGTCGAAACAGAACAAAAACAAAAAACAATTTTAAAACAGTTGCAGACCTGCTCCAGGAATGCACTGAGCTATGTTGGTGATGTCACTGGTGCTAGCCAAAAGGCTACTTCTGCAGCTGGATTTTCCCTGGTTCAAACTGAACCATTCAGAAAAGCTGCAAGATTTTTCTTTTTTAAAATCGGAGCCCACCCTGGGACAGAAGAAGTGATGCTTGAAAGTGCCCTCCACACCCCAAAGTTCCCAAAACATGCCTTGGTTTCATCCAGAGGATGAAAGACAAATGGCCAGCTGGCCTAAGGCTGCCCAGTGACTCCACAGCAGAGGTGAGATTTGACTCTAAGCATCACAGTGTTTAAAGTTCTTTGAGGCAGCTTGTGACCTACACATTGCTGCCTTCCAATTTGCTGTGACATTTTCTCAGCTGCAAAAGGAATTGAGCTTACCTCTAGCGCATTGTCATACATGGTTTTGGCTTCGGCATCCTTCTTGTCCGACATCAGCCAAGATTTGATCAGATACTCATAAAAACTGTCCCCAAGGCCGCCGATGGAAACATGATCTGCAGCAGCAAGAAGAATAAAGCATTGCCTTGTGATTAGGGCTGCCATCCAATGAAAGAAAACTTGATTGGTTAATAGATTAACTTGAATATGATTGTTTGATTAAATCTGCACAGGGGTGTAAACAGTCACTGTGAAGACAGCATGCTTCCTTGCAGCATATGCTCTTTGGAGACATGCCCTCTATGTGTGTGTAGAATGCCTCTTCCAATGTAAGAATATCAGAGTCCCAATGGATCAGGCCAAAGGCCCACCTTGTCCAACATCCTGTTCTCACAGTGGCCAACCAGATGCCTGTGAGAGAAGCAGCAGAACCTGAGCACAACAGCCCTCTGCCCACTTGTGATTCCCAGCAAGTGATATCCAGAGGCATACTGCGCCTCCAGCTGCTTTTGAGGTTTCTTTCCTTTAGTATGAAATAAATATACCAACAGTGGAGGTAATACAAAGCCATCATGGCTAGTAGCCACTGGTAGCATTATCCTCCATGAATTTGCCTAATACTCTTTTCAAGACTTCCAAGTTGATGGCCATTGCTGCTTTTGATGGGAGCGAATTCCATAGTGTTCATTTTAAAACAGTGTTTTCCTTTTGCTGGTCCCAGAGGATGATCCAAGCTACAGGAAAGCACCCTTCTTCTCCCATCCTCAACATATGTAGCTCCTGACACCTCCTGAACCTACCCCAGTCACCCACCCTATCAGAGTTCCTTCCTTCTTGCTTCTTTCCTCCTTATTTTCCCAGGCTGTAGTTTCAAAACAACTGGAAGGGGAAGTATTTCATTCAAGAAAAATGCACTGATTTTTATTTTCAAAAAATCCCTGGTTGTATTGGCTTGGGTTATTCTTTAGTTATTGGATTTTCCACATTAGAGGGGAAAACCAAATTAATAAAAACACAGGGTGGCATTTTGATGCCGACGTAAACATGTTCATGCTGCGAAAAACATGGCTGCATAAGCAGCACCAATGCCACACACACACACACACACACACACACACACACACACACAAATCTCATTTGGAAATACCCAAAGTATTAACTGTCTCATAGCAGGGGAATTACACATGGTGCAAACACTTCCCTCCCAATGACTTCTGGAAAATTCTGCAACTTCTCCGGCTCCTTAGAATTTCACTTTCAAACATAAGCCTACAAACCTAAGGATAATAAAAAAACCCAGATACCCAGGAAGCTGAATTTTGCACCCCATACCACTCCCTCCAAAAGACAGCATACACTCAAGCCCTGCCTGTTGCTATGTACTTCCGCCAGACATTCTGTTCTCCTTATAGGAGGGGCACAAACCACAGGGGATGAGGCACATGCCATGGCTGCAAGCATCACAGCAGAAAAGCCCATCAATTGACAGAACAGCAAGTTCAGAACCTCCTGGCAGCTGGCGAGGCCGTCTAGATTTTGTAGTTGTGATTCTCTGCCTGGAGTGACATATTAGAGTCCTGTGGAGGTTTCTATAGCCGTAGCAGATTGACAAAGAGGGGAGGTGGACTGAGCAGAGAACCACGATGCCAGGTGTGGAAATGTGTGCAGAATACTGAATCGCACAGCTTTTCCAAGGCTACCTGCTCAGACTAAGCAGCTCTGCAACCTGCTAGCCTGAGGGAAATCTGCCTGGAAAACCGTTGGACAGATTTATAACTTTAGAGTACACTAGGGGGGATTTTATTTTTACATCTCAGCGCATAGATTCTTCAGGGCAGTCAAGGATGTGCAAATCACCCTTTTTTTCAAAGAAAAGAACAGAATTTATTCCCACTGCTATATATATATATTCCTAGATGTGAATACATGTATGGCGAGCCTCTCCATCAATGAGTATTAATGGTTTCCACTTGAAATGCAGGTTAGTATGTGGTGGCTTCTTGCATGTTTTCAAGCTTACTGGAAATACCAAAATCCCGTTCTGAAGATTCTCTACAGTTTTTCATTGGTTTCAAGCACAGTCAAGCCTGGCACTGTTATCAGTGTCCTTTCCATTCTTAAAATAGGTGGGGGTTTTTTCTGGAAGCTCAGACAGCAACAGAAGGACTAGTGACACATGTGCTGCTTGTGACCTTCCCTGTTTGACCACAGTGCAAAACACGATGCTGGACTAGATGAGTCTTTGGTCTGATCCATCAGGGACCTCCTCATACTTTATCCTAAATCTACTGCTTATCAATTTTATTTGATGCCCCAGAGTTCTCTTATTGTAAGAAAGGGGCAAGGAATTATCCACAGCATATATACTTTATAAACCTCTAACCTGCCCCTCATATTAGTACCCCCCTCCCCCGGTCTGGTCCTTCCTGCCCCTTGCAATGTTTTAGCTTAGGGAAGTGCTTTTGGCCTCTGACAATCACAGGGGAGAACAGAGTCCTAGAATCCTGAATCCCTTCAACTCTCTTTATAGCAGGTCTGGGAGAACTGTGGTCCTTGAGGTACTGGTGACCTACAACTCCCATAATCCCCTGACTTCTGGCCATGCCAATAGGATTTGGAGTCCACTGTCAGGTGGACGGCCAGAGATTTCCCATCCCTGTTTGATAGGAGTCTTTCAGCCTATGCTTGCAACTGCAGCAGGTGGCTGCTGAAGAAAGAGAAGAGGAACATCCCAAGGGTTAATACGGTTGGTGCGTTGTGGAGGTCACTTGTCCAAGGCTGCCCATCCCGCCTCTTAGTCTAGTTCGCCTTGTGTGGTCTTGGATGTTAAGAGATACTTGGCAGGGATCAGGGCTCTGGGCGTGATGACTCTCTTGCATCTGTTCAGGAGAATTGCTTTGACTGAAGCACCCTGCATAATGAGCTCCTTGATTAGCATCAGTGAGGATTTTAATTTGGCGGCTAATGTTTCCTTGGCTTGATGCTCTTGCCCTAGTGAGAGGCCCTAGAAAGTCTGCCACACATCAGCAAGCATTTCTCTGGCTCAGCCGAGGGACTCTTGAAATACTCACGCTGCACCCAGTTCCCGGTTACTGGACTGAGGAAATTAGGGTAAAGTCCCTGTGGCTTCTCAATTCTGTTCAGGACTTTGCGGATGTTCATCACCTACAAGCAAAAAAGAAGAGATAAGCTCCTTTCTTTTTTCCAATTCACAGGTGGGGGTTTTTTAAAGCAACAACAACAACCCATAAACAAACTACCTAACCAACCAAACTGCCAAGCAGACCAGTTTCAATCAGTTCTGTGCACACCTTCTTGTCCTTTGGGAAAGCAAACACTGTCCTTCATTTCCAAATCTGTGGTCTTCAAGAGAAGACCTTCCTATAGGAACACGAGATAAGGTATCAGGGCATGCTCTGAAAAGTCTGAAGGCATGTCATGAAGCTTCCTATGTGGGCTGGGGCCTAATCCGTCCTTTGATGGGAGACTGGCCTAGAACTTCACAGGAGTTTCAAGAAGGAACAGGTGCAGGATATGAATACATTGGGTAGAATTCTAATTTTCAGACATGCATTAACTCTTCCCAGCTGTGACTCACACACTCAACACTAATTAGGCTTGTGGGGTAAGCAATGGAAGCTTTCCCTCACCTTTAATTACTGCTGAGGAGGGGAGTCAGTGGGGTGGGAATTGTTCTGTGGGTCTGCTGCTCCACATAGGATATATTCCACCTTATATTCAGTCAGACCACTAGTACAGATTGGTACATTTACTAAGGAAGTGATGTGATTTGGTGAGTGTTATGTCAACCTCCCTCCACAAGGGCACTCATGCTTGGGAAAGGGCTCCCCTTCTTGTGTCTCAGGCCTTGCAGTGGGTTACTCCTAAAGAATATAAACCTAGTGTTGCTAGATAAGGTCAAAGTCATCTCCCCAGCTTGCTGCTTCTAACAGTAATCAGCCAAATGCCTCTGGCAGATTCAAGAGTATCTTGTCTGTCCCCAGTATCAGGCAATCTGAGGAATACTGTCCTGGAAGTACATGTCCTGGGACATGTAGCTACAATTGACACTGCTTGCCAGAAAATCTCACCCATTCACTTTCCTACCATTGCTTCAGATTCACCAGGGGCCAAAGGCACCAGGCTGACAACTGAAGGCCTGTCCCAAACAAGAAAGAATGAAGAAATAGATGCAGCTTCCTCTAAGTTTCCTGATAAGGAAAAATCAAATCTGTTGCCTGAGCAACTGCAGCCTGTGGCCTAGCAACTACCCATGCATTCCTTCCTGTTTTCCCTTAGCCAACAGACCTTTGGCTGGCTGGGACATCTCTTGTCTCAGGTAGTTGGAAAAGCCAAGCCAATGGCGTCTGGTGGGCCAAACAGCAGCCGGATCTGGCTTGAAGGATGCCAATAACTGGTTCTATGGTACACAAAGAGCAATGGCCAAGGGTGTTGGCATTTCACCTCAATAAATATTCCTGATAATTCAAAATTTAATAGCTGTTTGGCAGTGAGAAATTCAGGCACTACTTTCAATGTGGATGGTTTTTACAGGAGGCGTTTCTGGCCGCCTATGTCTCACATATTTTATAAAATCTAGCTAAAGTGGTCCGATGCAGACACAATACTTAATCATAGTTTCTTTTAATCTTCCATAGTTGTGGTAAATCCCATCACTTAACTGTGATGGAGGACTGGTTTACAAACTAGAAAGTGAAACCAGAGTTTAAAACTGAGTTTGCAAACTATGGGTTTCACTGTTCTCTGTTTTAAATATTATACCTACACTGAACAAACCATGGTTAAGGCAGCTTCCCCTGCATTCCAGCCCAGGGTTAAGCAACAAACAGGGGTTAGCAATAACTAGGATTGATTATGAAGTCTGCCCCAGGCGCTTTTAACTAGCCAAAAAAGTTGGTTCCAGCCACATAATCACAACTGTTATCCTGTTAACCACCCTGAGACCTGGAGGTATAGGGCAGAATATACATTTAGTAAACAACAACATCATACTGGTGCAGCTGAAGAACCTGGCATGTTAATGATGTGTCCATAACAAACAGGGACAGGCAGTGCCCTATTAAAGGGCCCAGGCTGCCTTGGCTGTGCGCTAATGAGCTGATCAGCTTTTCAGAAGCCCATTTCCCTCTAGATGGCTGTCTGCAACTGGTTCCTCCTGTGCGCTTTTGTTTTCTCACGCAGCTTTAGCTTTAATCTACTGCATGTTCAGAGCAGGCAAATCCATTAAACAAGCCAGTTCTCACACTTATTGATTGGCTGGGCTTAATAGCACAATGGAGATTCAGTCAGCCTCTTGGAAAAGCATTAAGAACCTCACCCCCTCTCCCAAACCCAGAGCTCTCCCCATACACCATGGGATGTCTTATGAACAAGACATATCTCTAGGTTAATCATAGAGTTGGAAGGGACACTGACGATACTCTAGTCCATCCCCTGCAATGCAGGAATATGCAGCTATACCATACAGGAATCGAACCTGCAACCTTGGCGTTATCAGCACCACACTCTAACCAACTGAGCTATCCAGGTTTAAAGCTGAGTTTGCAAACCATGGGTTGCACTGTCCTGTTTTAAATATTACACCTACACTGAACACACCATGGCTAAGGCAGTGGCCCTTACCCTCTCACCAGGGTGTTTCTACTCTTCCTTTCCGATTTTGCCTTTCCCACCCTACTAGGCTTCCTTTCTCTGATCTTCTTCCCGGCTCATGCCATTTCTCATTCACTCTGTCCTTCAGTGAACTTCATCACTCTTATGCAATGGGCCCTGCTCTGTTCAGGCCTTATCTTCTCCATTCCAATTCCGTGGCTTCCCTGTTTCACATTCATCTCCTGCTACTCTTGTGTCTCTTGCTTCTCTGCTGACCCTGCCCTTTTGCATCTTGCCTTCCTATTATCCATTCTGGGAACGGGCTGATTGTTCGCAAGGTGTCTTGCTGAAACAGCAGGGAGAACTTATCAGAGCGGTTTCTCCCAGGGTGGAACTCTGGGCTGATCTATTCCTGCTGGACTCAAGGGGTGGGTTCTGATTCTGATTGGATCAGTTTGTCTCCTTCAGAGTGAGCTATTCCAAGGATGCTGAGCTGGAAGGAAGCAAGGGAGGAAAGGAAGGTTCCCAGCAGCACATCTAGTTCTTCGTTCTCTCACACACAATGAACAAGAGCACGGAATAAAACCTTGAGGTAAAAAAGCAACGCTAATACAATTATTGGCTGAAAGAGGCTCCAGAGGAGCTCCTTGAGCTGCTGAAGGAGGAAATTGCATAATCACAAAATATAGTGTGCACCTAGAGGGGGGCATAAACCTGTCTTAGTATTAACACATCTCTCTCATCAACAGATACTTTGGCAGGCCTAAGAAGTTGGGGCGGGGGCAGTACTTGGGCTTAAGCACGCACCCCTCCTTTGGACATGGCCAACAGCAACACAGCTGCTTTTAGAAAGAACCATAAAAGAATCAGGATTTTTTCTTTAAAAAAACTCTGCTTTCCCAAACTGGGTCTTCTAAGGGCTTCTCAGACTTTCCATCCACAGTGTCCTCATTACGTCGGTCAGGACAGCACATTCAGGAGTGCCTTATTTTACTGACAGAAAGTCAAAAAGGTGCCCCAGTACAATTGCTAGAGTTAGCCAAGGCGCTTAACCCTGATGACTCCCTGTGTCTTGGCTCTGGGGCTGGAGGGAGAGTGCTGACAGTAACTGCTCCCGGAGTTCCATCCAGCTCATCAGAGACTGACTGACGCAGCCTGGCGGGCAGAGCCAGGCAGCTGCAGGCTTGAGTCTGAGTCACCAAAGAGGCAATGGGCAGGTTTGTGTAGCAGCAAGAGGTTCCTGCTCCTCAGGAGCTCCTCAGCCAGATGGGTGGAGTATAAATAAATTATTATTATTATCATCATCATCATCATCACCATCATCATCACAAGCTACAATTACATCTAGGGAGGAGGAACGTACCCGTGAATGTGTAAGGATTGTACTTGCCTTTTCAGTATAAACAGGATTTCCAGACAGCTCCGAGAGGTGCACAAATTCTAAGTGGAGGCTGCCAAATTCTGCTAAAATGCTGCTTCCTGCGGATGCCCATCCCCAGCTCCAGCTCATCCCACTGCAGGGGGCACAAAAGAAAGCATTAAATTGCTAGGCACAGAAAGCAGACTCCCAGAGCCAGCCCCGCTGCAAAGCTGGTACAGTCTATTCACTGCAAGGTCTATCTGTAGGTCAGTGGCTTTCAACAGTGTTACTGGTAATGTTGGGATTCCTCAGAGGTTTAACGGGGTCCCTCAAAGAAAAGGGTCAGTGGCCCCCATCACTACCAATACTCCACTTCTACAGTGCCCCCAGAGTGCGTTCTGAAGTGCACCACCCAGAGAACAACCTGGCCGCACAGCAGAGACAGGGAATCTGCTGCTCTACTACAACTCCCATCAACCTCAGAGATGCTCAATGTGGTGGGAGTTGTAGTCTAGCCACATCTGGAGGGCCACAGCTCTCCCTTACAGCCTTCACCAGGCCTGAGTCACTGACTGTCTGTCCCAGAACCATCTGCAAGGACTGACAAGTGTGCAGGAGTTTCTCAGCAGACAAATCCACCGAGAAAGGGCCACAGCTCAACCGCAGAGAACATGCTTTGCATGCTAAAGACCCCAAGCTCATCTCCAGTTAAAAAGACCCCACAGGTAGCAGGTGATGGGGAAATGCCTCTGTCTAAGCTCCTAAGGAACCACTGCCAGTCAGAATAAACAATAAAGGTCTACAAGGTCACTGCCAGAAGGAAGCTTCCAATGTACGTGGAACAGATGTGGAAAGGACTCCTTGCAGCTGTTCAAAAACCGTGGACCTAGACGTAGGGGTGGAATACCTCAGAACCAGGCACCAAAGGCAGCCCTCCAGGCCCCTCTCTCTGGGCCTCTGCAGTCTCCCAGGCTACACATCCTCCCCAATCACACCTCCCATTGGCCTTGCTTTTCGCCCTCCTCAAAGTGTTTTTGCCTGGCTGGAATGTGTCTTTGTGAACTCAGAAAATGACTCTTGCCTGCCTGGAGGGCAGATAGAGAGGAGTGGGTGAATGTGAAGAAACTAGGCTGCTGTACAGAATGCAATTTGCACATTAGTTACACTTCCCACTTTGCCTTGAATGCCACCCACCAATGGCAAGTGGCCCTCGGCAGGTTGCACAGAAGGGAATGCGGCCCCCAGGACACACCCTGGACATAGACCATGACTTATCAGATGTGGCTGGTAAGATCCATTTTCTTGTTCCATATAAGTAAACTGAAAGCACTGGAGCGGGCCCTTCAGTGTCTGAGATGGAGCAAATGCAACGATTATTATTTTTAAAATCAAGTCTTTCCACCTCATCCCAGAAGTTCTACTTTTCTTAAATAGGCTTTTAAAGACTTTGATCATTTTTCACCTTCAAGCAACTATACTATGGCTATCTTCCCCTGATCTTTTTGCTGCTCAATTAAAATTTATATGTTTGTGGCTTCTTGGTTATTGCCATTAATTTGTATTGTGGGTTTTATTACTGCCTTTCATCAGATCAAAATGTGGGATATTAAGCCATAACCATAGTATATAAAAATAAAACGAACTCAGCCCGCTAGAGAGAAATAATATCGGTGGGCTACAGCCTGCGATTTTGCAGGCAGCAAAAACAGGAAGTTCTCATAAGAAAATAAGAGCCTGCTGATCTAGTCTAGCATGCTGCTGGGCAATGGCTGGTTTAGTTCAGCATACTGCTCTCACAGTGGCCAACCAGATGCCAGGACCTGTGCGCAACAGCACTCTCCCTACTTGTGATTCCCAGGAACTGGCATGAAGAAGATCCAGCAGTGGAGGCAAAACATAGCCATCATGGCAACTAGCCACTGATTATTAATTAGTCTAATGCTCTTTTAAAGCCATTCAAGTTGGTGGCCATCACTACTTCGTCTGAGAGCAAATTCCAGAGTTTAACTACGGGCTGCTTGAAGAAGTACTTTCTTTTGGGTTTATCCAGACTTACCTTTCCTCTGCGCTTTGCAGACGTGGTCTGAGCACGCTGAATCAGAGCAAGTGGCAATCCATGGACAATACAAATAGCCCAAATAGATTCAGTTTTAAAGAGTGGGTTTACGCAGGAAAATTTATGGAGCAAAAAAGAAAAAGAAGGGTGCTCGGACATGGCGTTTTAAAGCACAGACCTTTGCCTGGAAAAAGCAGGGCAAAAGGTAATTGTGGATAAGCCCTATGTCTGCTCTGAATCTCCCAATCATTAGATGTCCCTAAATTCCACTCTTAAGAGAGAGGGAGAAAACTTGTTCTCCATCCATTTTCCCCACACATTCTTAACTTTACACACCTCTATCACATCTTCCTCTTACTTGCACATTCTCTAAACTAAAAAGCCCCAAATGTTATAGCCTTTCTTCATAAAGGAGTTTCTCCATTCCTTTGATTATTTTGGCTCTCAAGGCTCAAAGGCAGTCTCTCGCAAACTGCTCCCCGCCCCCAATATTTTAGAATACAACCCAGCATTTTGGGAGTTTTGTCCTAAAGATCTGGAAGGCACCAAGTTGGATAAGTGAGTTCTCGGACAAGGTTAGCAAGCTGTATTTGGCCTGAATGTCACAGGCTGTGCAAGCCTGAGAACAGTGTACATTTCCCCACATTCACGCAGAGTGCAAACAACACCATTGGCAGCACCGGTCATAGGTGACTGGGATAATCCAGAGCACAAAACCCAAAGCCTGAAGCCACAAAAGTGCTGCTTCTGGTCTTAAACCAAAAATGACACATGCAGCCCCAGTCCTTGAGAACACTGCAGAGAGCCACTACAGTGTTAAGAACTCACCAAAGGCAGAAACTTTCTCACTTATCTGCTTCAATCTCATAACACGACATTCTTGATTACAGTCTTTCTTTTTCTTTTTAATCATCTCTGCCTCCTGCACTGCGACCCATATCTTTCAGGGTTTGATCTGAAAATAGCCTCTGCAGCTGCTGGCTTGGGAGAGTTTCAGTAGTTTTCATTTCAGGAGAGATGCAGGCCTGATTTTGCAATCTCTTGAATAGCATGATCATGGGTGGCAGATTGCTGCGCAGTGCTCCCTTCTCTTGGTTTTGTTTGTTTTTTTAATTAAAAAAAGGAGGAGTTAATATTGCTCCAACTGGGGGGAGACAGCAGATGGCGCTGAAAGGCTTGTGCAGCAGGCACTAGGATCGCTGGTTCAAGGTTTTATAGACAAATGCTCTCTTGGCGAGATGTCAACTGCGGACAGGTCCACACCATACATTTAAAGCATACGCAACTCACATTTAAAGCACATAACCTGCCCCCCAGTCCTGGGAACTGCAGTTTCCCCCTCACCCAGCTACAATTACCAGCAACTACAGTTCCCAGGATTCTCTGGGAAAAGTCATGTGCTTTAAATGTGCATTGAGTGTGCTTTAAATGTACAGCGTGGATCTGCCTTGTGTTTAGATAATAGGATGGGTGTGTGGCAAGATATTTTCCATGGGCAGTTACACCTCCAACAGAAATTGAACCCAAACTACCTTCAAACGGCATTATGAAATTAGACAGATTCACAAAGGATGGGTCTTTCAACAACTATTAGCTGAAGGAGACGTCTATGTTCAGAGGCAGCTACCTCTGAATACCAGTTGCTGGGAGGCAAAAAAATGGGGAAGATCTGTTGCTTTCATGCTCTGCGCATGGGCTTCTCAGGAATCCCATTGGCCTGCTTGTGGGCTTCCCATGGAGGCACCTGGTTGGCCACTGTGAGAACAGGATGCTGGACTTAGGTAGGCCTTTGGCCTGATCCAGCAGGCTCTTCTTATGTCCTTATGTGTGTGTGCAGTCTCATGACTGCAAGCTTGAGGGCAAGGCCTGCATCTTTTAATTTTGCTTTATGTACGCTGCCTAGTTACTATACATACTTGAGAAAAATAAAAATTCATTAAACACACAAACGTTGGGTTCAACATTTTTGTTATTTTTTAAAAATTTCGGATGGTGGTTGCCTAGCAATTCATCCTCTGTACCGCTGTCACTAAAACAAGATTAATAGGGTCAAGTTATAAGAAATTTGTTGGGTCATAAATGCCTCTAGCAACAGGCATAAGATACGTGCCAGGGGCTGCAATAATGCTAAACTCACTTACCTGGAAATAAGCCCCCCTGAACTCAGTGGGACTTTACTTCTCCACAGACACAAGTTACAGAAAATTGCTTCAAGTTGCAAAAAACTGAAAGGGGGTTTCGAGAGAGGACAGAAAACCTGTATGGCCTTTTGCTTCTTCTTGCTTAACAGGGGGAGGGTCTGTGCAGATTTCTTCCTTCCGTCCCAGTCAGATGTCTTTGATAACTGTCACCACCATGCCCTTTTCTCTCACCCCTTTGGGATTATGTTGTCACATAGGGACATTCAGCTCCCCTGCCCCCTCCATACCCTCCAATCGCAGCACACACTGCTCTTTCAGAGTCTGTAAAGCCTCAAGAAACCTCCAAACATTTTCATTTGTTCAGTGTTAGCCAAGGTTGCCGGTGAGACGTCTGGAGGATTCTAGACCAGCAGTATCATTTTCTCAAGTGCCACACATTTGGGGCAAAAAGCCTAGCTGGTGGTATCGAGTTTAGTGGAAAGGGACAGAGGGGAAGCACAGCTCTGGGACTTTCTTCAGAGCAGAAGCATCAATGCCATGTACTGGAGTGACAGGGCAATTGACAGGCCCTCGTTGCTCTAGCAAGGCTTACAAATGTGTTTGTGACAAATTAGCATGGAGAAAGTTAGAAAATGGGGAAAATAACCAAGCAAAGGCGAGGTAATTATTTTTCTTTGATGCGGGTTCCTCTTTCACACTAGCAATTTAAATCATAACACTTCATTGCAGGATTGTTTGCGTTTCTAATCAAAAGCTAAAGGTTACATTACAGCTGCCTGAATAACTTTTGTGAAAGCCTAGCGTTGAACCTATGCAGAACTTCCTGACAGTAAGAGCTGTTCGACAGTGGAATTTGCTGCCAAGGAGTGTGGTGGAGTCTCCTTCTTTGGAGGTCTTTAAGCAGAGGCTTGACAACCATATGTCAGGAGTGCTCTGATGGTGTTTCCTGCTTGGCAGGGGGTTGGACTCGATGGCCCTTGTGGTCTATTCCAACTCTATGATTCTATGATTCAGTCGTAAGTAAGCAGCACTGAGTTCAACAAAGTTTACTTCCTGGAATTTATGCACAGGATTGCTGTCATCGCTAATCCTAATATACTGGGCATTCTGTTATGTAGTGCTGTTATGTAGTGCTGTATTTGTGCTGGTATACACAGACAAAGAGCAGCACCACATAGCATAAGATCCTATTTATTTATTTATTTATTTATTTATTTATGTGTGGGAGATGAACTTCTGCACACACTTGTGTGTGAGAGATGAACTTCTGCACTTCAAACTTCACCTCAATGCTGATTCAGCCAGATTAAAAAGAAATAGAAAAAAACAGACAGGACTTTATGAGAACAGCATCCTGAACCAGACTGTAACAGGCACAATGTGAGAAAAAAACCACAACCACATCCTGTACAAAGTTAGGCCACTGGGTTCATCTGCAACTCCCTCTTGGCTACAGCTCTCCAAAGCCTCTGAACCTTTCCCAGACCTGACACCTGAGAGCTTTTCAATAGGTTCGACTAGTTTCACAAGGTGAAGAAAATCTTGGCATGGCTAGAGGTGTTTTTGTGGTTGGAGAATTATAGAAAGATCTTACGACTTGAAAGACTGGAGTAAAATTATGATAAAAGTGTGCAAAGGCCTTGATGTAAGATGATGCCTTCTGCCAGACAAAAAATAGAGGGGCTGTGGCTAACTCCCCCCCCCCCCCCGCAAGCAATCCAGGAATATGAGATGGTCTGTGCCGCTGAATCAGTTATTTCTTCTGATCTGCCTCTCTTCTTATTCCCCCTCTCCTCCCAATCATTAGATCACATTTTCAAAAAGTTGTTTCTGTCTGCCACCATGAGAGACAGAAACTGACTTTGAAAGTGGAGACTCTCAGATTGGGTTGTCCCTAAGCCTCAAGGCACCTTTCGCATATACTGTGCATAAATTTACCGTTAATATTTACCATGCTGCATTTTTTACATATAAAAAATAAAGAGGCAGGGTAACAAACAAAGAAAAATCCAGCTTTTCTTGAAATGTTCCATCAGCAGTCCCAAAATAGCCAATGCCCTTTGGCAGCTGTGCTCAGAGCAGCTGGCCATTGTGATGCAGTTCTTGTGGGGAGGGAGGAGCGGGGCACATGATCCCAGCAGCTGTTGGTCTTTTGACCAGAGGCTGTGCCCTGGCTGTACCCTTGTCCGTGGGGTTCAGGCTCCATCCTTCCAAAAGCCTAGGCATCACTATGCAGCACCGGAGTAGCAGGACGCTGCCCACTCTTCGTTTTAGAAAATGCCATCCCCCACACCCAGGCATAGTTCCTCTCCCTGTCTTAGTGTGAAACTCCCAGGCAGCTGCTGTATGTGGGTGCAAGGGAATGAGGAAGCCTCCTTAAGCAAGCCAGACTCTATCTGAGGGTGGGCATGCTGGCCAGGGCAGGGTGGGGAGTGAGCTCTACCTGAAAGCTATTTCATTGGATCATAAGAATCGTGGAGTTGGAAGGGACCATGAGGGTCATCTAGTCCAACTCCTTGAAATGCAGGAATCTTTCACCCAGCATGGGGGTTGAACCCACAACCCTGGGATTGCTCTACCAACTGAGCTATCCACTGTGAGGGAGCTGCAGGGATGGCAGCAATGCTTTGAAAGCGAGATCTGGTGTGGAGAAAGTGGAGAGGGAGGGTTTTCTTTCCTCTACCCAGCCCCAGGACATAAAAAGATGGAACTGAGAGGAGGTATGTCTCATGCGTATACAATCAAAGATTTGAAGTAGCAAATGCTTCAGTTTAGGCCAGTTCAGGTTTGCCTAGGGCACGGGTATAGAACTTTTTTTCCAGCCTGAGGGCCACATTCCTTTCTGGGCAACCTTCCAGGGGCCACATGCCAATGGTATGTGGGGCTAGAGGCAGCAGTGGGCACAGCAAATAATGTAAATATTGCCTTTGTACAGCAGGCTAGTTTCTGCAAACACATTCCTCTCTCTATCCTCCACATAGAAGAGCAAAGACATATTCCAGCCAGACAAAAACACTTGGGGTGCAAAGCAGGGCCAGTGAGGGGTGTGGCCAGGGAGCGGAGGCATGGCCCAGTTAGCATGCCCAGTGATCAAGGACAATGGGAGAAGTAGTCCAAAACATCTGGACGGCAACATGTTGGCACTAGGGGAAGCCTACCACCATCATGCTCTGCTTGTGAGCTTCCCAGAGGTACCTGGCCGCTGGAAAGGGGATGCTGGACTTTTAGCCTACCCTCTAGCTGGGCTTGCCTGCTCTCGTACCAGATGCAACATCTGAATTTATTGAAGACAACAGATGAAGAATATGTGCCTTGCCTGCCCAGGTTTATGACTCCCCGTGGGATGCCCGTAGGTGTGTTGAAGGCTGGCAGAAGTTTCTCTCCAAGTTCTAGGGCTTTGCTTTTGAAGACCTGTTTGAAAGAGAGAGAAAGAGAAGAAAGACATCGTGAGAAAGCAGATAAGGAAAATAAGAACTGTGCAGGAATGCAAATTGTGTTGTGTTTCCAAATAGAAATCTCCATATGTTTAGTTTGTAAAGAGGCACTTCACAGAGAGGCAGGCTGGGGTTTCAATCCACACAGGCTTTATTTTTTTCTGCCAGAATCAAATGCAATGTGTTTGTGTGTATTGGCCACAGGGGCTATCTCCCCCCCCCCATGCAAATATAATGAACTATTTTAACCATCAGCTGGGGCATCAGGTTGGGGATGGCAGCTTCACACCAACCCCAAATCCCTCCAAAGCAAACCAGGACACAAATGAATTCATGATCCGATACAGCAGCCGTAATGCAAAGGGAGATGAAGTGACTGCACCTGAACCAGTCACCTGTGAATGACTCGAGGAGGTGAGGAAAGATTCACCCTGGAAATTGATCTTCTACAGCTGGAGACGGGCATCATTTTTGCAGAGCATTTAGGATGATAGGGAAGAGGCACTGTTGTCTGTAAGGTGCACACTCAGCCCACTACAAACCCTGGCAAGCCTGCATAGCTCTCTTTGACCAGATGCAATAGCATACACAAGAAACGGGTGTAAACAGCACCGGTAAGGATGCCTCTTTCATACCACCTTCAGCAGCCTTTAAACCTGTTGCAAGTCAGGAGTTGCCAATTTAGGATACTAAGCATTAGCTTATGAAATGATCCACTTTGGACATTTTTAGCAAGAAGGGCTTTGGCCAAGAATGTGTGGTGTACATTCAAATAAACAACAATGGGTTGGGAGAGCTGAGAGGACCTCAGCTTGTCTGCAGTCTTGGGACTCAGCACAAGTAATTCATTTGCAATAAGATGCCTACTCATTATCAGACTCTGCATTTGCATTCTTCCCCCCCCCCCATGTAATTTACAGGCAAGCCCTGTGTTATCTGAGGAAATGGAAAATGAAGAGGATTACGTGAATGCATCCCTACATCTGGCATGAAAAACGTGGTATCTCCTCGTGTGGCACAGCTCATCTCCCTCCTCCCCACAAGCCACTGCTCCTTTAACCAGCTGAGTAAAGACTAACCAGTAAGTCAAAGGTTTCAGCTTCAAATCCTGCCACCTGGTTTACTGCCAACTCACTCGGAGAAGCTGGCTTATGGCTTCTCTCCACATATTCTTATGCTAATGCCTTGGCAGGCGTGCCTTCACTCTACTTTGAGAAGTGTAATCATTTTTTTTATTTTGTTTTTTTGGCTGGAAGGGTGGGTGGAGCAGGATGGGCACTGCACGACTGAGATGTTCACGCCAAGGGACAAAAATGATTTCAGGAAACAGAAACCACAAGGGATCTGAAACTTGAAGCACAACCACAACAGCTTCTAATGTAGTGTCAATATACCCACATCACACAGCCTTTTTGCTCACAGTTCATTACTACACAATGAACATCAGGATCTAGAACTTCAAGTCCACAGTTAATGTCTTCCTCATTCCTTTTTTTAACAGTTTACTTTCTGTTCTAGTTCATTTCCAAGGTTCTTTTTTTTTAACTTGGCAAATTTAAGTTTCCCCAATCTGGGCCTGCCAATTCTTTTGAGGAACAATTACTACCAGTGCTCAATAGATTAGTCATGACAACAGGAAGCCTATTAAGTTGCTTAGGGGATCGTGCACAAGCTTTTTCCTTCAAGCCCCCCTAAGTGAGTCCAAGCTGCAGCTGATGGTTCTAAGACAGCAGGAAATCCTTTGGAGGATATAGTCCACGCTGTTTCCCTATATATTTGGGGGACTTTCATTTAGATGGCAAAGATCAGGTCCAGAAAGAGAGAAGAGGTGGAAAGAAAAATGACTTGGATGTACCTAAGCCAGGCATGTCACAGAATTTCATCAGAAATGGAAGAGAGAGTGGAAACTGCCACAAATGACATACTTGCAAGAGCTAGGGCAGCCTTCGTCAATCAGGTGTCTAGGGGAGTTGCAGTTGAAAACATTAGTAAGATGCTGTATCAGGTTGGCAAAGGCTGAGCTACTAAAATAAACAGCTCCACAGTTCAAAACACACTAGCATTTTTATTTATTTTTTAAGTAGCAAAACGCTAGAACATTTGCACACAACTCCTTCCATTTTTGGCCCTGAACTGGTTTAACTCTCTTGCTCAGATATGCAAAGCCCCCAGCCAGATCTGTGGACAGGGAGCTTGCCGAATGCTCCAGCCTCTGCCTTGGGCATTTTGCGCAATCCCTCCATGCCCACCGTCAGAAATATATGACGCGAACAGCCTCTGCTTGTACTTGGGAGCAGCGGGAAAGCAAGAAGAAAGCGTACTGCAGTGGAATTTTATCGCTCAGCAAAATTCATTTTGGCAAGGGAGATTAATCTTTGTTGAGGCTGGAGGCTGCATCACCTTTGGAAAGCAGATGGCATTCACTCAAAAGGGAAGAAACATCTTTGGAGGGACACACCATCGGCTGCAGGGGTATCACTAAGGCCTTCTCTTCCCCCTGCCCTAGGTTCATACCTTGCCCATTCAAAGCCTGTCAGTTAAAAGCAAACTTCCTCTCCAACCCAGATCTGGGACTTTGGGTCATCAGGGATGGCCCAGTTCCTCAGGGCTTGAATAGGCAGCATGACTCCCTCCAGATCTGTATGCAAATACATATTTTCAAGGTGTGAAGATTAAGGTTTGGGGCAGGGAACCAGGAAAGGAGAGGCAGCATCATTCGTTCTGTTTCTGTAGAATAGGGTGAGCTGTAGCTTAGTGGTAGAGCACCAGCCTTGCATGAAGAAGTCCCGGGTTCAATCCCCAGCATTTCCAGGTAGGGATGGGGGAGAACACTGTCTGGAATCCTGGAGAGGTGCTGCCAGTCAGTGTAGACACTGCTGAGCCAGATGGACCAGTTGCCCGACTCAGTATAAGGCACCTTCCTATATTCCTGTGCTAGCACTATGGAGGGACACCAAAGCCCTACCTCCTGATCCTTGGAAATCTCACAGACAGAGGAGTCCCTCTCTGGCTTATGCCGCATCACCAGGTCTTGCTCACACACTTGCAAGACTACATTTGCAGTTGTACGGGCCAGAACCCCTCTCAAATGAAAGCTGAAATTTTCAAGGTACCAAAATCCTGTCCTCGGCAGTGAATTATTGTGCCTTTCCCGTCCTTGCATAGCATCAGTCGGGGGGGTCTGTGTGCTTTTTGCAAGTACAAGGACTGAAATCAACGAGCAAGCTAGGATTTCTAACCAGCCCTCTCAAATCCAAGGCCACAGCTCCATGTGCTAAGATGCTGGTTTTCAAAAGGGAGAATGAGAAAATCAGTCATGAGGATAAGTTGCCTCAAAGACAGCTTATTTATTTTTATGTAGTTTAGCAAATTTATAGCCTGCCTTTCCCACCAAAGATACCCAAGGCAGCTTCTTTGCCATTGCCACCCTCTCCCTCTTCAGTGCACAGAGGACTAGCATATGGATGGTAGAGTCCCTGCGTAAGATTCTGCGATGCACGCTAACGCATGACACCAGTTTGCATGGAGCAACAAGCTCAAACACACACAGCATGCTGTACAAAGGGAGAAGGTTTCCACCCCCCCCCCAATTTTCTGTTTTTTAAATAGCTTGCTAAGACAGCGAGTAGCCGCTGTTTCCATGCCGGCTGTAGAAGAGGGTGGGTTCTCTTCCACTGCAGCTGGCCTAGGAATGCACCCTCTTAGCAGACTAGTCTTTTGTTTTTCTGTAAGTTGGTAACTTTCGTTGGCTTATTATTTACAAGACTGCTCTATCTTCTGACTAAAAGTTCTGAAGGTAAGTATTTACTCATCTGATAAATGAAAACCCTAAAGGGACTTTCCGTCTTTGGACTGAGTTTTGGTGGTGGTTACAAAATGGGGGGGGGGGGGCTTGCAGTTGGCGGGGCTTCCGCAGAATGGTGCAGGATGCCTTGAAAAGCAGAAAACAGAGCTGAGGGCCTTGTCAAGCTGCCTTGACGCTCATGGCTGCTTTTTGCGGCGATATAGCGGAAAACAGCCGCCACTAAAAATGACACTTACCCCACTGCAGCATTTAACGTGACCCCGAGGGACCTATGAAAGTTCTTCTCTCGAACATCAGGAAATTAACAAGTTCTGAACGCAAGGCCAAGATCACGGCAAACAGCATTTCAGCGGGGACCAATGTACCAAACCAAAGAGCTATTTAGGAAAAATTGTCCACGGGAGAAAATATCTATACAGATGAGCCAGGCAAAGTAATTATGCAAGACTTAATTAACAGCCATCATCAGCATTCCAATATTTATAAAGGAGTCAGATCTTTAGCTTGCTGAGACACAGGGGACTGCTTCGAAGGGTTTGGTGGTTAGGGTTCTCTGGGGGCAATTGTGTGTGTTGGGTGGGTGTTGGTGGGTGGGTGGGTGTACGAATACAGCTCTCTCAGACGCTCCATGTATGAAACGATGCGGAACAAACCTCTTCTCCAGTTAGGTAATATGCAGCCAGAAGCCCTCCGATGTAGCGGATGTTCACTTCAAACAAGGAAGCTTCACCATTCTGTGGAGAACAATGTGGGAAGGTTTCAGGTTATATGCTAACCGGACGGTAAGACTGTAAGACTGACCAGTGGCACAAAGTAAGCAAAAACACATTCCTCAGGATGGAACTTGAAGCTGACACAGAGCGTGAGGCTGCTGGCCAAAACAGAAGCCCGAGTTTCCTTGCAACTTCTCCTCCAGTAAATCTCACTGCATGACATCATAGCACTGAGCGTGTCGCTGCCCACTTCCATTAGCTGCTTAAAGGGGTGGGGGGAACATAATGGTGCCTAGCAGTGAGATGCTAGCATGGGGAAGGGGAGATGGAAATGCAGGGCCTTTGCCAGCAGCGCTATATCTAGCAGTGCTCTTACAGAAGAAGTCACACATGGCTGCAGCACACACTGAAGAGGTGCTGAAGTGAGCCTTGGACCTGCTCACCCTCATCCACATTATGCTTCGAATGAAAACTGGGGCCTGGGCAGGTCGGTTCCCAAGCAGGATCCCACTTACACAATCCATAGGTTGGCAAAACGGGGGTGGAGGGTTTTTTTTCCAGACAGGCCTCTGATCACATTTAAGAGGCTACGTGAAGTGGGAGAGAATATGCACATCCACAGTCTGCCCCATGCCATAAACCGCTCCTGCGTGTGAAACTGACACGCCAGGGCCATGTGTGAACTGCCACATATCATGTAGCACAGTGGCGGTGAACCTTTGTCCCTCCAGGTGCTGCTGAACTAAAACTCCCATCAACCCAGGCCACTAGCCATGCTTGCTGGGGCTGATGAAAGTTGTAGTTCATCAATATCTGGAGGGCACCATGTTGGCTATCCCTGAGGGGTTCTTAAAAAGATGAAAAACAATGAAGTCACATGAGGAAAGTACAGGTGACTCTCAATTTACAGTGGGGTTACGTTCTGCGGATTGCCAAAGTCGTTTTCCCCAGACGCCCACTCCCTTTTTAATTTTCTTTTCTTTTGGCCAAGTGTGTAAAGCTGAATGTGTGCATGTTAAAGAAATGTAAGTTGTACCTATATACTAACCCTAGAGTTACCTGCTTACTAGCCCTGCTGTGAACTTTACTCAGCGGACGAGGCCTTCCCACATGCAAAGGAAAGGGTGGGGCTTCCAAAATGGTGCTCTCCAGATGTTGCCAATGGGCCAATGGCCAGGGGTGATGGGAGCTGTTGTTCAGCGACCTCCAGGGGTCAAAGGGTCCCTACATCCAATACAGCCATTTTAAAAAGTGATAGAGCTTTACATGACTTCCCTAACTTATGTAAATTCATAGGCGGGGGACTGGGCCAGCAGTGCCAGCAACTGAGTGTTTGAATGTTACAAGAAGGGTGTTGGCAGGAGAAGGCAGGAAACATGACTGCTGAACGCTTCCTGTTCCCTCTGCTTTGTGTCTCGTTTGAAGAACTCGCATATCCATTTCGTTCAAATAATGGAGGGGTACGTTATGGATAGGCAGGAGACAATGGGGTATTTCTAAGCAAAGACATTTGGGACAGTATGGTGTAGAAGGCAGGCCTGCGTAGCTTTCTTTCTTTCCTGGGCATCCACTGATTTGTAAATGGGAGTCTTTCGGATAACCCTTTACCTGCAGCTAGTTGTGATCTATAATAATCCAGCTTTGGATCAGTGAAATGTCAAAGCAATTGCAGTCAAATTGTTCCTTTCAAAGATTTGCTCCTCAAGCCTGATCCTGCATGACAATTCAGTTTTGCTTTCTGAATAAATATCAGCTTCTTGCAACACACACGCACGCACGCATACACAGCTTCCAGGTAGAACATCTACTTCAGGGATGAGTAAAAAGCACCATTAGAAAAAGGGAAATGGAAAGGAAGTGCAAGAAAGCAGCATACATCAGCCTTGAGAAAGGGTCGCAGGTTTCTCTCCTCACATCATATACAGGGAATAACTCTCCCTCCCTCCCTCTCTTTCCCACACACACTTTATTCCCCACAAGGAGCTCTCAGTGGTACACATGGTTTTCCTCTTATTGCCTTCTCAACAACCTAAGAAGGTTATATGAGGAGTGTGCAACTGGGTCACCCAGTGAGTTTTACAGTGCAACAGGGATCTGAGTCCAGGGCTCTGTACACACTATACATTTAAAGCACACACACACCCCGCCACCTGACAAAGAATGGTGAGATCTGTAGTTTACCCCCAGAGCTACAATTCCCAGAACCCTTAACAAACTACAATTTCCAGGGTTATTTGAAGGAAGCCATGTATGGTACATACACAACCACTGTGGCATATTTCAAGTTCTGAACATTTTCAGGTTGGTGTGACTTTAGAGTAATGTGTGAAATGCCACAAGCCTGACATTTCATAGCTAAGTATACACATTAGTAAAACTGGGTCTCAGATGTGCAGGCAGGGCAGGGTGGCTGAATCCAGCTGTTAGATAGGTCAAGCATGCCCCATGCTAGGCTACCAGTGCCTGGCTGTGTGTGGCCAGGTGGGAGCATCAGATGAACACACATGGGAAATGAGATGGTGAGGGGAAACAGTGGCTGGGGTGCCCTGAAGTGTAGCCCACACACCATCCAGCGGAGGGACAGACAGCCATGAGGTGTGGCATTTTTATTTAAGGATAAGACACTTGCCCAGAACCATCCAGTTCTGACTGGACCAGTTTTGAACCTAGGACTTCCAAATTTTAAGTCCAATCCTTTTAGGAAATAGTTAATTCATCTCTGCTCAAAAACAGACAGAGTTGCCAGCCTTTGGGAACAATGCACTGTATATTTTATTTTCCAACTGCATCACCTTCATGTTGGTTGATTCTTGACTGCTGACAGTATCAAATATGTGTGCACGCGCATGCGCACACACACGGTTTTTAATGCAGACCCGGTCTCATCCCCATTTAAATCCTGCGATCCAGCTATTTAAAAGGTTCATTCTTGAATTTGCAGATTGATCTGTGAGGGCGGATGGGGTGGGAGGAAGAGCTTTTGTGAAAACACAGATCAATTATCCCTGTCTATTCCATCTCTTGGCCTATCGATCTGATGCCAAACACAAACCATTCAACCAGAATTTATCAGATGCGACTGTCCGTTTGCAAGTTCGTGCTGGTCACCTCTTTCAAAGTGACGCTTCTCTAGGAAGGTGAGGCAGCTGAACTAGCCGCTCTTGCTTCAAAGAAAATGCTAGTTATGCTGCAACAACTGCAGCATAACTCTGAAATTAGAATCTGAACACCATCTTGGTAAACACAGGATCTGCAACCTCAGTAGTTTTTGAACCAGAGACCCAAGGGATGCATGCCAGCCTGTGCATATCACGACTAAGCTCTAACCTTAGGTGAGAGTGGCACAGGGACCAGCAAAGAAGCTGTATCTCAGTGGCTGAGCATCTGCTTTGCATGCAGAAGGTCCCAGATTCAATCTGTGCAAACTCTCCAGCTAGGGCTGCTATGTTCCCCTCCCTGAAGAGTAATGGCCAGACAGTGTAGGTAATGTTGTTTTAGGTGGGGAACCCTTTTCAGGCCAAGGACCACATTCCCTTCTAGTGACCATTTACCAACTGTGGGAGGGGCCAAAGGCAAAAGTGGGCGGAGCAACTAATAAAAATGCCATCTCTACACAGTAGGCGAGTTTCTACACACACTCACACAGCCCTCTCTACCCTTCTGCAAGGCAAGTAAGAGGCATTAGAAGAGTCCAAGAACACATTCCAGCCAGGCAAAAACAATAAAAGAGGGTGCAAAGTATATCCAGTGAGGGGTGTGGCCTGGAAGAGGAGGCGTGGCCTGGAGGGTGCAGACCTGAGGGCCAAAGAGAGGCCTGGGGGGCTGCATTTGGCCCTAGGCCTGAGGTTCCCCAGTTTCCTTTGCTCCTCTGTCTCTTAACAGAAATAGGCCAGAGAAGATCCTGATCCCTATTCCAGCTTCTAGGTCAGCTTCTCTCATTGGTCTGAAGAACAGTGGCGATTCTCTTCCAGTATTTAGCCTCTAGGCTTATTACACAGAAGGCTGCACTAGCTCATGCAAAGTTATGTTTAGCTTCATTTTCAAATGGTGATTAACTGAAGCGGAAGATTCAGAAACCCATTTATGATGGCCAAATACCAATATCAGACTTAAATGTTCATAAGAGAGCCCCTGTGACCCAGTGATTTCGGTTCAGGTCTGGGAGGTTTGGGTTCAAGTCTCTCCTCCACCCAGTTGCCCCATTCTGCACCTCCAATAAAAATGTGGTGTTAGATTTAACACAACTTTTTATTACAAATTGAAAGTGCTAGGCTGTTAACACTTGAGCTTCAAATGCCTTGCAGCCATGTTTGACTTCTGAAACGACCAACCTTGCTGAGTGGACAAGGAGTAGGAGTTGGAAGATAGAAATAAATAACACTTAAGGGAAAGCAACAGAGAAATTGACATGATTGGATTCTTATCTTCTCTGATGCTCTTATCCAGTGAGCAAGGGAAATTCCTAAATATAAGAAGCATCAAGGACACTTTGGGCTCATTCACACTTCCTTTTGTCTGTGTTTCTGGTCATAGGTCTGGGATTCCAAGTCTGTATCCCAGTTTCAGGGATCCACTTCAGGACCCATGCCAGTCACACTTTTTTGTCTTTTTGTACTGTGTTTCCTGGGTCAGGCTACCAGTCTGGGACGCTGAGTCCCCTTGCAACGTCCGCCCTACACCAGTTAAGGCTTCTGCTGGTCCACCTCTTCCTGTCCTTCCTTTTCCGCAGGGTCTTTCTGCCCCCCTGGGTTCCTTCCCTCCTGCTTTCCCCTGACGCTGAGTCCCCAGACGCCTGCTCCCCCCTCCTCCGTGCTTTGGGACCAGGCTCCTCCTCCGGGCTCTCTGCATTTCCGCGCGCCTCCACATTTGAACTTGGCGCCCGTTCGCTACCCCTGACCTTCCTCTTGACAGTTATACTACTCTCTGTACTACTCTCCGCCCCTTCCGGCAGGACGTCTTGCCCCGATCTCCTTCCCCTCTCTGCTTCCTGCTCTGCTCCTTGTGTCACACTGGGAACTCCACCCTCTTCACTCCGTTCCGGCTGGGAAGCCGGCCCCGATCTCCCACTCCCACTCGGGGTTTCCCTGCTGCTCCCCTGCTCCTGACGAGTCCCCCCTGTGGCTCCCCTTGGCCTGACCAGGGGCGCCCCCTTTTGGGAATCCTCCGATTCACTTGAGAGACTCATGGAAGCCCTCAAGTCATTGTCATCCTCCTCCTCCTCGTTCCTGGATTCTTCCCCCTCGCTCTCAGTCTCCTCCCTCATCTGTGCCTCTCTCCCTGAACCCCTGACATCCATCCCCCTCGAAGCCCCCCCTTTCCCCCTCCCGCCCGTCGGGCGCAGGTATTGGGAGCCGCGTCTCTGCGGGGGTAGATGCTGGATACAGTTCGTCTACTTCGATTTCCTCTGCTTCCAGCTCTGCTTCGTCTGTCACACTGGGAACTCCACCCTCTTCACTCCGTTCCGGCGGGGAAGCCGGCCCCGATCTTCAACTCCCACTCGGGGTTTCCCTGCTGCTCCCCTGCTCCTGACGAGTCCCCCCTGTGGCTCCCCTTGGCCTGACCAGGGGCGCCCCCTTTTGGGAATCCTCCGATTCACTTGAAAGACTCATGGAAACCCTCAAGTCATTGTCATCCTCCTCCTCCTCGTTCCGGGATTCTTCCCCCTCGCTCTCAGTCTCCTCCCTCATCTGTGCCTCTCTTCCTGAACCCCTGACTCCAGTGTTTTGTTTTTTTGCTTTTGTACCAGAGCTTTCACTGGGTAAACCCACATTTTACCACTGAACCGGAGTAAATGGCAATCAGGTTTTCAATGGATTGCTCCATTATTTTGCTTGTTTGTTTGTCCTGGCACTTTCCCTGGGAAAATAGACATGTTACCACTGAATCAAACAAACAAAATAAATAAATAGACAGACAGATTGGACACGGACTTGGAAAGCCTCTGGACCTTTGCCTAGAAAAGTGCGCAGCAAAGGTTAAGTGTGGATGAGCCCTTTCTTGGTACTTGACAGAACTGCACCAATTCCCAATTCTCAGCTTGCTTCTGCTGGGTCTGCATGCCTTTGTTTGTGAGGAACCCAAAGTCAAAACTCCAGGGTCCCAAACATGCCGGGCAGTTTCTGCAGCTAAGAGAAACATATTCAAAGACTGACTCACCACATTCAAGTCAAAGTTCTTCTCCACCCAATCTTTGGCTTCTTGGAATTCTTCTTGCAGCTCCATGATATACAGAGTATCTAAGGCATCCACCACAGTTGCTCCCCGGAGACCTCCTGCATCAGCAGAAAACAGAACAGTTTGAAATGGATCTTTATTCGACTTCCCATGTGTTTGTGCATGGATGGTTGTAAAAAACAACAACCCCACAAACACTAATGGTTAAATGGCATTTAGCATTCACGTTATCATTTAGAATTTATACAAGATTCCGGCTGGCATCTGTGCTGCTGTTGTTTTTAGCTACGTAATTGTTTTAACGGCTTTTATATATGTATTGGTTCTTAATTGTTTCTATATATGCTTTTATATGCACATTTATTGCATTGTGAAATTGCTTCAAGATGTTTCATAGGAAGCAATTCATAAATGAAATAATATGGTACTTTTAAAGGGGGCAAATTCCTTCCCCAAGGAGTTTATGCCTGAAATTGTGATTGGGATGTGTATGTGTGCAAAACAGAGAAGCTAGGCAACAGAGAAATGGCTGAGGTGTAAATGGGAGTTACAACACACACACACACACACACACACACACACACACACACAGCTTGCTTGTCAAATTGGCTTCTAAGTGGTTTCCAAGTATAAAACCAATTACAAAAATATATCCACTCAGAATTAAAATATACAGTTGAACAATTTCATCAAAACATTAAATACATGCTTAAAATGTAGAATAAAACAAGCCCATTAAAGTAACATAACAATGAAAACAGTCAAAACAGCAATTGCATCCGGAGGTTCAGGTGAGGAGTTGAGGGAAATGCTTGTCTAAATAACTGTGTTTTCAAGAGCCAGTGGGATGTCAATACTGATGGGGCCTCTCATATTTCAGCACAGAAAGCATTCCATAACGCTGGTGCTACCAGTTAAAAAACCTGCCTTTGTGCCACAGCTCCATAGCTACATTTGCAGCTAAAAATTCAGCTGTTGCTGAGTGTCAAGGGGTTATTGCTGAAGGCTTTCCAGACAGGGCAAGTTCTGGTGAAGGGCGCTGGAGGACATTGTCATTGAAATTTCAACAAGAACCCCAGTTTTCAACCCATCTTTAAAAACACAGCTTTAATTTTTATATCCCATGTTGAAACAGTGTGTTCAGCCTGGGTTCACGCCAATTAATCAGTGCAAGCAGCATGATCAAGTCCATCAGCTGGCTGACTGGAGAACGGAAATGGAGCATAGACCAAGAGTTCTCAAAAACAGAGAACAGGCTTTCACAGCAAAGCAAAAGCAATTAGCACCTCTTATTTGCTCCTCTTAATCTCCAGTTTAATGAGCTTCACATGGAATCTCTGCCTTTTTCACAGATACCACACACTGAGATGACCTCCTCATCAAGTTATCCAGTGCAACCCCGCTAACTCTTTCCTGGTTAGTCACCAACAGTTCAGACTCATTTGGAGTTCTTCATGGTCTGTCTTGGATTTCATCATCCCAAATAATTTAGCATGATCCCTACACTCACATATCCAATTGCTTCCTCCCCCTTAACCAGTTACCATTTCATCAAAGCAGGGATGGCCAATGCGGGGCCCTCCAGGTGTTGTTATTATTTAATAAAATGTATATATCGCTTGATTGTATAAAACCTCAAAGCGGTTTACGTGTTGTTGGACTTTAGTTCCCATCAGCCCCAGCCAGCAGGGGCAATGTTTAGGGATACTGGGAGTTGTAGGTCAGAAACATCTGGAGGGTGCCCTGTTGGCTACCCTGACCTCTTATCTTGTGACTGCTATGTGTACTTAATAGCCTTTGGGGAAGGATTTTGTCAGAAGGTTTTTACAAGATCCAAGTGCACAGTGCCTATCAGTCCAACCATATCTATCTACCTGTTGACAATCTGAGAGAATTCTGAACGACCGATGAAGTCAGGCCTCCTAAAGCAGAAACCGTAACAATTTGTCCCTTTTCTTTTGTCTCTAACAATTTTAATAAAGCCTCTGCTCCTAATCTGTCAATTCATATGAACAAGACGGAGGTTCACCTATCCTCAGTCCTCCACAGAACAGTCTGCTTCCTCTCCAGGAAAGCAGAATTCTGGAACAACCTTATATAACTTCACGCTCTTACAGGATCTCGTTCAGGTGTAAAAGAAGGGAGTGTATGCAGTGATATAAAATGGGTTGCCAGTGCCCGGGGCCACACAGAGGGGGTGGGTGGGAAGGAGGGAAGTGGATGGAATACGCATGCATATTCAACTGCCTAACAGTGTCAGAGATGTCACTTCCTGGTTTGCATGGGAAAGTTGCTTTCAACGGAGCCCAGAGATGAAAGCATGAAGCTGTATTTAGGCAGCACTGGGTGTTGATATTTTGCATCTGAGGCAACTGCCCCTGTGCTACACCACTGGGTATATGGCCTGAAGCATGTTGAGCAGCTTCCACTTCTGCATGTTTTCCCATTCAGCCTTCCCAGATGATGGACTGGAACAAGACCCGGAGCATGTGCACAGCGGCTCAATTTGACGAAGGAAGAAAAGAGGGCGAAGACATCAGTAAAACAATCTCTCCCTCCATTGAGTTTCTGGTGCCTGGATGCAGAGCAGAGAGGAGAGAGACCCTGAACTGTCTGGTGTTTAAGGGCAGAAAATCCCTAGGGGTATATTAAGATCCTATAGTATTGAGTTTTTAAAATCTATGAATGACTCAGTGAAAGCAATACTGTCAGGAGACTTAAAACAGAAACAACCTTTAATTGGTTCACAACTCTTCTGATAACTCGTGGCTCTCATCAGCTATGAATTCGAAGCCAAAATGTGTTAAAGCCTGATAAAAAGCGAACAGTTTGCTCCTGGGGAAATCAGCTGCAACAGATGTCTGTGTGAAAATAGTTTGTCAGACCACATTTCCAGATCATTCTGAAGAACTGCTGCTTGGGTCACACCAATATGGTTACGCATGGGATTCCAACCAGAGAAGCAGAGCCCCATTAAAGACCAAACACACTGGCAGGTGTCTCCAGAATGGTCTCTGAAGGGATGCTTAATGCGAGAGACAAGTTGCCTTACCACTATGACAGCAACGAAGAAAGAGTGTTTTTGTTTTGTGTTTCTGGTTGTGGCCTAGGCAGATAAATGCCGGGAATTAAGAGTGAGGCATATATATGCCATGAGAGATAACAAAGAGCCCAATCTGAGGTAGACCAGAGCCTGAACAAATGAGACCCAAGACATTTTAGTGCTTGAAGTGGAGAGTCCAGATTATACACCCGCCATACACCAAGCAACACAGGGTATTCAGAAGAATGCTGCCTTCCGCAGTGGAAGCTGAACATAGCCATTATGGCTCCTTGCCACTGATAGCCTTCTCCTCCATGAAATGTCTCATCCTTTTGGAAAGCCATCCAAGTTGATGGCGATCACTATCTCCTGTTGGATCAAATTCAGCAGTTTATGTGCTGTGTGAAGAAGTACTTCCTTTTGCCTTCCGATGTTGCCTCCATTCTAGTGTTATGAGAGCCTGACTGACTGCATAGCTCCAGCGAGGCTGGTGTAACATGTACCCTTCGGACCAAGCCCTGAGACCAAACAGTCTCTCCAGGCTCTTTCTGGTTAAAGCACAGTTTTCTCCACAGCTGCTTGGCAAGGGCAGGGAGCCATTCTCTAGCTGCAAGAAATGACATGCAAGATCAGATAGCTCTCTTAACGGAGAACCCTTTGTTCTGTCAGACAATGAATGCACATTTCCAGTGAAAAGTGACTCATGGCTTTCTAGCACTGTTATGAATGCTAAGAGATGACAGCAACTGGCAACAGCAGGTTTCTAAACAAACACTCTGGGTGTCCAAAACAGGCCTTGTCAAAGGAACAGTGCTGCTGGATTAACTAGCAGAGTATAAATTTCCTCCTGAGCAGGGATCTAGTGGTTACTGCCATTGTCCTCCAGCAGGGGGCAACAGTGCATATGCAGACCAAGCACAACTGGCTGCAGCGCCCTACTGTATAAACAACCAGGGGCTTCACAACCTTGTCACACTACCAAGCAGAATGCCTCCAACCCCCTGTTTCTGCTGCCTGCCTTGGACTGCAACAGCAGAGGGGTTGTTGAGCACCCACCATGCCAGATTAGGAGGGCCAGAGGGCTGAGTATGGCTTATATTGCAGGTTTTCAGTTGCAGGCAACCTTCAAACTGAGTTGCTACCCAGCTCTGAAGCTATTAGGTGAGATTCAGCAAATTTAAGCTGCATTAATAAAACTGCAGTTTCCAAGTCACCAAAAATAATGTACATCCGCAGCCACCCCTGAGTGCAATTCGCTAGATGACTTTTCCATGATGACAGCCCTACACATTGCTTAATTCCCTTCCCTTGTAGCTAGTCTTTATGTTGATGCACAGCAACCACCCTGATATATTAAGAGAGGGTGGTACTTTCTAGAAATAAAAGTAAATGAACAAATTTATTTATGAAATATATCTATACTTCTTGATTATAGCAAGACCTCAAAGCGGTTTACTAAAATAATAAAACAATAAAATCATAAAAAACAGTTTAAAACAACTATGTAAAACATGAAAAAATGACAACCCAACAATAAGCTAAAAACCAGATTAGAACACATGCCAGCAATTCTACATCACTTGATAGGCTTGCCTAAAGAAAATGCTTTAGGCAGACACCGAAAAGAGTCCAGTGAAGGTGCCTGCCTAATGCCAACAGGCAGGGAGTTGCAAAGTATGAGTGCTGCCACACGTAAAGATAATTTCCTGCAAATGCAGAATGAGCGTCATGTTGCACCTGTAAGAGTGCCAGGTGGCTCCCCCCCTCGAGGTCACTGAGCAGAAGCTGGGCAGCCAGAAGGTTGTCCTAGCTGGCCTACACAAACCCCCTCCAACTCTGTGGATTCTATTACTGTAAACTCCTGATGGGACTAACCATGGAGGCTTGGCTAAGCCATTTTTCTCAGCTCCATCCTCTGTACAAGCCAAGTGATAGCGGCCCACATGGGCAGTGTTGGAGGTAGGACAATGGAGGCCTCACAGACCACTTGAAGATTGCTGAGGCTCTTGGAAGACCACTTAATGGTGTGTTTTTCTGCCTGTTGTAGCAGCTGTA